GCGACAGGCCAGGATTAGGCGTTCACCACCGCCAACGAAGGCTGTGACTACTTCTCGTGTCCCGGCTGGAAAATCGAGAAAAGCTCGCGTTTGGAGAGCCACAGGGTCAATGACACTGGCCAAAGGGCGACCAGAGGGTAGTGTGATGGCCACCGCAGAGTACTGCTGCGGTCCATCCATGGTGACAGTCGAGATCAGGCTAGCGCCCAGCTTGTGTGCAACGTTGATGGGATGAAGAATGAAGAGAATTTATGCGATCGTCGCAACGCATGCAAAATCCGTGGTAAAGCGGTGATGGATAGGTTCTGAAGGGAGGAGGATGGAGAAAAGGATGCTGGTGTTTGCAAGAAAAGTGAAAAGTGAAAAGGCTGAGATGGAGAGGGGAAGAAAGCACAAGCAGCTGGAGTGAATCATATCTGCTCGTCACTTTGGGGCGGCTGGCTGCCACTCTCTACCGGTTGGCCCGCAGGCTTCGGCCCCATTCACTTCACTTTGTGCTCACAACGCTTAAGAGGAGAAGAAAAGGCGAAAGACACCTGGAAGATGGAGATAAAAAAAAACCAAAGTCCCCGCCACTCACATTTAAAATGGGCTGCTGGCCCTGTGTAATGCCACCCGGCATTTGGTGCCCACCAGGAGCTACACCAGCCATGGTGGCATTTTGCTGGCCGCCCCGGCCTCCATCTTGCTGATGTTGAGGCTGCAGAGGTCCACCAAATATGCCGCCGCCGGGCGCCACCTGTGAGTTATTGGGAGGAGGTTGTGTATGAGAGATGGATGCAAACATCTGGTGTTGCCCGTTCGCACCGCCCGGTCCGCCATGCTGGATCGGCCGCCCATGCTCACTCTGCAAAGGACCACCAAAGGTGCCCAGGGGCCCGGACGGAGCGCCAAGTGAGATGGGGGGCGCGTTTCCATTATGATTCGCGAGCAGTCCTCCGGGACTGTGGATGGCACCGGAGATCCGCGATGCCACGGGCTGGTGGATGGGGATTGAGCCCGCGCTGCTCTGGTGCGGTGCCGGAGGGTAACGGTCGCTATCTCGTTCTCGTTCGCGCTCTCTCTCTCGCTCCTGGTCGCGGCGAGCCATCTCCTCGTGCTGTTGAATGGCGCGATGTCGTTCATCCATTTCGCGCTCCCGATCGTACGGCGCGCCGCCGCCGTGGCCGTGGAGATTCTGGCTGTTCATGCTGATCTGCCGAGAAACATTTTAAATTAGCAAAATTCAGGAGACAATCGACGATGGCTTCTCAAAGAACAATGCGAAACCATGTAGGCTCTTCGTAAGGGGCCTATGTCGGCGGTTGACAGCTCCTCGCCAATGTTTGCCCATCCACACCTCTCAGCCGGCTCAGGAGATTATTCGGAGGGCTGTCTTTGGTCGCGCGAAAGCGGAATGAAAAAAAAAGAACGACTTACAGCTTGTAGGCACAGCTAAGCCGATGTGCTCCTACATGGAATCTCTGATCCGTGAACAAGACCTGGCCAGAGGAATGGCGCGGCAAAAGCTACAAGAGAAAAAACCTGAAGACCACACAAAACTTGTACCGGTGCAAATCTAGGTGTAAGTAGGTAGCTCCGAACTGAGAGGGTGACGAGATCTGACGGCCATCGCCTGGCCTTGCCGCGGAGGATTCTGCGTCACGTGCTGATAAGCGCTGGGAAGCGGAATTCATCCCTCACAGCAAGGCGTTCGGCAATGCTAGGTGGCTCGGATTATCGTTTGTCCCTTATCTGATTCTGGAGCTGCGGAATTCGGCGCCAGCGGTGCGACATGATATCATGCAGCCCACCAGGAGCGCAAACAAGCTAGGGGATCATTTGATGCTCATATCAGCCCTCGGGAGAACTGGCAAGCGTAGGGCGTGCATTGGTAGGCACAAGAATATTGATCCATTACTATGCAGCTAGGCAGAGTAGTATCAGGGAGGATGAGACGTTTTTAGAGGTCAATTTAGCATTTGATCCATCGTCCATCCATCCCTTGGATGCCGCTCGCTTCGGTAGGTGCTAGGCCATATAGGCAGTACATCAGCTATTCTCACGGATTTTAGCTATGGATCAGACAGAATCTGGGTTTTGCTAGCACCTCTTGACTTACTCGTACCACCATTACCTAATTACCTCCCATGCGGTGTTTACGGAAGAGGCTCAGCAGTAACTATGTACCCAACACTTGACGAGAAGACAATGAAATGTTATCAATACTGTTAGTACCTGTACCTTAATACAATTTGATACCAAAAGGTGAGACAGGATCCAAGTTAGTAGCTCCTGCTAGGCAGCAACCCTGAAACAAGCAAAATTGCTAGCATGTAACTATGATGTACTACCCTGGTGGCCGTTTAATTCTCGTATATACCAGGCACGTTGCTCTCGAAATCCGAATCGACTCGTCCCGGCTACGGAGCGCCGGTAACTTCGATAGCTCCTTAAGGTAGTTAGTAGTTCCTAGGCAATTTATCAGCGGCACTCTCATCACTTCAGACCCCCGCCAAACATAGCTGAACCTTAACCAACTTAACCCAAAACAACCATTTTGAACTTTTGCGACAACTCTCTATAAATCACCTCGCCGCCACAAACTGTCCCTTTTGCATCCTGCTTTAGATTTTGATCTCCAGCCATGGATTTCAACAGCTCGTCGCCCTTCCCCGAGGGAGTCATCTCCTTCCTCGACACGGATCTGTATAAGCTGACGATGCAATGCGCCGTCTTCAAGTTCTTCAAGGACGTGCCCGTGACCTACGCCTTCACTAACAGAACCCCCGACAAGAGGCTCTCCAGGGCCGCTTTCAAGTGGCTAGAAGAGCAGATCCGAAGTGAGTGCTTTGCTTTCCCATTGCTCTTCCTTGAATTGTCAGCTGCGCATGTGTACTGACTCATCTCGACAGAGCTCGGCAACATCTCCCTGTCTGACGAAGAGTACCGATTCCTGCAGGAGCACTGCAAGTATCTGGCTGCTGACTACCTCGAATTCCTCAAAGAGTTCCGGCTGCGACCTCGAGAGCAGGTCCTGACAACCTTCAGCCCCGTCGGGGATGACTCGGGCTCGGATTCTGACGTTGGCGACGTCCACATGGAGATCAAGGGCACGTGGTCCGACACGATCCTTTATGAGATCCCCATCCTGGCGCTGACATCCGAGGCCTATTTCCGCTTCATGGACACGGACTGGAACTACGAAGGACAAGAGGAAAAGGCTTTTGAAAAGGGCTTGCGCCTACTGGAGGCTGGGTGCACCACGTCCGAGTTTGGGACCCGTAGACGCCGCGATTACCACACCCAGGCCCTGGTGTTCCGCGGGTTAGTCAAGGCATCCAAGGAAGCGACCGCAAAGGGCTTTCCTGGAAAGCTGACGGGAACGAGCAATGTGCACCTAGCCATGCGATTCGGCATCCCTCCTGTCGGAACGGTAGCTCATGAGTGGTTTATGGGAATTGCTGCCATAACCAATGACTACACCAAGGCGACAGAAGAGGCCCTGCGCCACTGGGTCAGCTCTTTCGGCACCAACCTGTCCATTGCTCTGACAGACACCTTTGGCACTCAGGAATTCCTCAGGGCCTTTAGCTTGCCCATTCGTCCAGTCGACGGCGGATTCGGCCCTGAAGTCTTCCAGAAGGCTGACGGAAGCATGAAGACATATGCTGAGATGTTTGCGGGAGTGCGACAAGACTCGGGTGATCCTGCCGAGTATGTCAAGCTTCTACGTGATTACTATGATGGACAGGGTATCAAGGATAAGAAGATCATTGTGTTTTCTGACTCACTCAACATCGACCGCTGCTTGGAGTATCTGGAAGTGTCCCACAAGTACGGCTTTCAGCCTACATTTGGTGTTGGCACCTATTTAACAAACGACTTTACGCACCTCAAGACTGGCACAAAGTCTGTGCCGCTGAACATTGTCATCAAGCTCAGCTCGGCTGCTGGTCGGCCGGCCGTCAAGATTAGGTGAGTACCCCGTGAAGCGCGCAACGCCCGTTTAATGCAACAGTCGGCTTACTTGAAAATAAAATAGTGACAATTCCGGTAAGAACACTGGTGACAAGGAGACGGTTCAAAAGGTCAAGCAGCAAATTGGCTACGTGGAACAAGAATGGAAAGACGGTGACGAGACCGCACGTTGGGGCAGAGAAGAAGATGCCAAAGCGTAAGGAGACAAAATTGAACCTATTTGCTCAGCGGATTGAAAGCAGCGGCCAGAAGAAGAAAAAATCTTGGTTACAAGACCAACACTGGATATGCATACTCTTGGAGATATGGCGGGAAACTGTTCCAATTACGCCAGTTATTCATTATATACCCTATAAAGATAGACAAAGATACGGGCCAAGGCCAAAGGTAAACTCTTTTGCGCCCATTGGCCACCAAGATTGCAATGATGTGAGTGTTCAACATTTACTCTAGAGGTCTGTCCATTCTGGCAAGATTGAAGAGACAGAGATACATGGGAAATAGGCGTCAAATATCCATCGTTTGAACACATGCATTCAAGTCATATCATGAGGCTGTCGCATTGTTTTCTATAACATACGCATATTACCGCCTACCCGTGTCCTCTTCCCATCCTGATCATCTTCAACTTCGTGACCGCCAACTTCCTAAAAAGCATTGTCATCGTCACCACCCCCCCCCCCCCCCCATAAACGCCAGAATAATGCCAAAAAAAGCACAATCGGAAGAAACTTTCTGAAGAGTGCTTTTGAAGAAGGAAGAAGAAAAAAAGGTATCAAATATACGAATTCCACAGTTTTCCATGCGTAAATCAAGTAACCCTCCCACATTTGTATTTGTTTTTTTAAACGAGTTTACTATTGTATCAGTTCTCAGTCAACGTCATCGTTGCGCTTTCGTCGGATAGAACAATGTGCAAGACTTTCGAGGTTTCTCTAGGTTTCGTCTTTCCAAGTCATCCGTTCCGCTGTTCCTCGCTCATGCGGACAGCAACGATTCAAGAGGGAGGCGGCTGTGTTGGTTGAGGCTTTCTGATGATTTTAATCTTGGGGCGTGCACTCGGTACGGCTGCTGCCGCCACTGCTGCTGCCGTTGCCGCCGCTGCCACCGGTGCTGCAGTCTGATTTGGCACCGGCGGAGTAGCCGATTTGCTCGGCGACTTGCTTGGTGATTTGCTGTGCGACAATTTCGGCCCAGGCATGGGAGGACGATGTTTTGCGAATATTTTGCTCGTCGTAGGACCTGGGAGGCTTGCCGATGAGCCACCTGTTGGCAGAGGCTTTCTCACCGCATCTCCAGAAGGTAGCGGCTTACGCGGAGGCTTCGGTGCATTCGTGTCCTTAGCTGACCCAAAGGAATTCTGTTGTTCCTTGGAGGGTGCAGACGGCAGAGCGGTCCTGCCAGGAATGGCAGAAGCGGTTGAAGCACTCTTTGATTCACCAAGAATCACAGCAAGCCGTTTAGGATTGGAAGTTTTCAGAGTGACAATACGACGCTTTTTCGGGGGAACCCCAGGAATCTTATCCAGGTTTGACGGCTGCGATTCCACCTTGGGCCTCTTCGATGCCGGGACACCATCGCCCTTTTCTGGCCTAGGTCGTTTAGCCAGTACACCAGCTTGAAACTCCGATTTGACGGTGGGCTTAGCAGGGACGCCATTGCTGTTAGCTGGACGAGAGGCTACAGAAGCAGCGACTATTGTGTCACTAGGAGGTGTTGGATTCAAAACAGGTGTAGGCCGAGGCGATGGTAATGGCTGTGCGGCCTTGGTATTGATCTTGATCGATGATGCCTTTGGCATGGGCGGGGGCAATTTGGCCTCTGGCACAGGAGGCCGTGGTGGAGGCACCGCATTCTTGAGCTTCGTCTTGTAATAAGACTTGAAATTCATCATCAACTATCCCCAGTTAGTAAGCCATCTAGTAATAAAAGGGGGGGTGAAGAATTTATGTTAACTCACCCGATCAGAGAGCTGCTGTACCGGACGCTCCACCCTCCATCCCTTGGGCAAGTTGAGGGTGAGCACCCAGCTTGTAGCTTCTTCGAACATCATAGCTGCCAGATCAAGGAGGGACTCTATTTCTGCCCTTCCGAGGTTGGGGTGATCCAGCGCCTTGCGCATAGCAGTGCTGTAATGCCTCTCATCGGCAGCATACGTCTCTTCCATTTCCTTCCTCAAAGCCTTGAGCGCGGCGTCGAGGTTTTCCTTTCGAGCAAACTTTTCCTTTCTGGCAGCAACTTCTTCTGCACTATCTTGAATAAGTAGCAAAGCGTCTGCTTCATCCGGAGCAGGCTCGTTCTTAACGGCCTTTGAGTATTCACCGAATGCAATGGCAGCAAGCCCTCGAGCCACCGCTTGGATAAGTTTGTCCCGAACAAAGGGCGATCGGTCCGTCATGAGTGAGTAGAATAAAAATGTGAATACTGTCGGATCCATCAGTGCCCCGAGGTCAATCAGAGCCTCGAAGCATTTGATACGAATAAGATCATGGGTTCCGTCTAGTAGATATTGGCCAAAATCGGCGTAATTTGTTGGTATTACCTCTGCCTTCATGAGACGCTGCTTGGCATCCAACCCAGCGATGGTCCATATGTTCTGGTAGGAGTTCGTCCACTCGTCACGCCTAAGGACACGTTCAATCTGCTCCATTGCCTCATCAAGAAACTGGCGTTCCTCATCAGTGGGTATTTTGACTTGGCGTTTGAACCACTCGTCTGCTTGAGCCGGGATGAGTGAAGTGGCCAGCGCTTCAACCAGCTTGGCAATGTAATGATGATCAGAATACGGGTTGTTCTCGTTGTTGTTGAAGAGCAGCTGGTCCAAGATAAACTGCCGGGCTTCGAATGGACAGTAGTTTGTAACATCTCTAACCTCGGAAATGGCCTTGATGATTGAACACCGGACATTGTACTGTCGCTTGTCCGAGAAGTCGTTTTGAAGAGGCTGGTTCGTCTGGTCGTAGCAAAACATGTCGCGAAAAGCCCGCATCAACTGCCGCAGTCCCAGCATCGGGATGTCTTTGATGTTGGCTTGCCTGGTGAGGGCTTGCGCCGCCATGGTGCGAATCCCGTGGAAATAGCGGCGATCAACAAGCGTTCTCACGAGGAACCCCGATGCGATCGGATGAAGAGGGCCGGTTGATAGATACAGCATCGCATCTTGTTGAGCAACAACGTCCCTGTCTTGCTGAAGCTGGGACACATACATGTACGGCTCGAGAGTTCTGTTCATGCTGCATGCCCACTCAAAATCGGCGTCGACTCGGATCCATTCATAGGACTCCTGATCCATCTTTCGCTCAGTTTCCGGGTCCCATTCTATCAACTCCCAGTCACGAAGATCTTCTGGGCTTTGAAGAACATCTCCCAGACAGTAAAGAAGCGCATCGTCGGTATTTTCAGGGATTTCCATACTAGCTCCAGCATTGTGCTTCTCCTTCATCCGGCGCGTCCTCTTTAAGCGCTTATATTTAGTATTGTATGGAATTTCAAACTTGGTAGAACGAGTGGCATCTTCTCGGATCTCCAAAATGTGTTCATACGGCGTTCCATCAGCCTCGTGTATCCGGACAGTCATGGGTCCAGTAAACAACGGCTGCACCTCACCAGTCTTGAGGTCCGCCCTGCGCTCTTTGATAGCTCTTAAGAATTCATCTCTGCTCAGTTCCGTTTTCTTGCTGGTCTGGTGCTGTACCTGTATCAACATCAACTCGACACAAAGCCTCTTCTTATTGAATTTAGCCTTGACATCAAAACGTGGACAGCCAGAGCTGTATACCCATTGGTTCCAGAAGCTCTCGAGGCGGTACTTAGCAGCCTTTTCGCACGTGGCTCTAAACTTTTCCGAATCCAGGACGAGAAATTTATCACTGCCCTCAATCTGAGCCCTAGTCAAGTGTTTCTGCAGAATGCGAGTCAATCCATGGCCGCCCGACGCTTTGCTAAGCCGCTTGTCAAGGATAAAAAACACAATGGGTGCCTTGAGTGCCATGAACTCCATCTCAAATTCGCCCAAATGAAGGTTAGGCCCAAGATCTGACAATGAAGGTCGGTTGACGTCCAACTCGACAAGTTTGTCCGCCATCATCTTCATTCGGAATCTATAATCGTTGTTGCCGCAGAGCTTCTTCATGAACAGGTCCGTCATGTAATGAGCAATGCCAACCACAAGCCACATGTCGTTGCGCGTGTTGGGGATCATGTTGATCCCAATCCATTGCGAGGTTAAAGTATGAACGATTTTCCTCGTCGTCTCAATCTCGGGATCGATAATATCCTCAGGATACAACAGTCGGTTGCTGATAAAGGCCAGCGAGTGCAAGACCACCGTGTCCTCGACCATGTCATCAAGGAAGCAGAGTTTGAAATTGCCAAATGGGTACTTGGCAAAGGTATAAGTAAAGAAGTCGGCAGCCATAGTCAAAGCTGCAGCAGTGTTGCGAACCCAATCCGCCCGGCCGGGTAAGCAGTAGGCGTGAATTTTCAAAGCACTCATTCCAAGTTTCACCTCATCCTCTTCGGTTCTCGATTCTGACGAGAGGTTGATGTGCTCAAAGGGACCTATGGCAAAGCCCAGCTTTTGCACAGAGACCATCTTCTCCGGCTCAAAGATCATAATCTTTTTATGGTCGTCTTCGGGATCAACTGTCTCTTCCATAAGGAAACCAGAGCAGACAACGGACATTTCTCGCAGCTTATCCTCCTCGGCGAGTTTGAAGTGTAGATCATTGCCATCAGTTTGAGCCTTCTCCACGCCGTTGTGAGATGGCCCATCTTTCTTGGTCGCCAGAGCCTGTTGGAGGGCGTCACCGAGGGTTCGTGGATATTTGATGGATATCCTCCAATCACACCGAGCGCCGTGATCGTCAACACAGGGGAAAATGCAGCACGCAGTTCCCGGCTGGATCGAATGGCGAGTGTACATGTGCGTGAACCTGTTGTCCAGAGGATCGACGCCAACAAAGTGCAGGCCGTCTCTGGGGTTCTTGTTCGTAAACGGTATAGTGATCTTGAATTGCTTGTGAGGTTTTTCCACGGCATCCAGATTCGACATTGATTTTCTTATGATCAATCTTGGTCGTTCTTGCTCTCCTTTGCCACGGAAATTCAACTTGAGCGAGCCGTAGGTCGGCGTCGAGCCCGCGAGTGTTCTATTCTCGGCGGGTACGTCGGCTTTGCGGCTGTGGAAAATCAAACGAGCGCGGATACGCCGTAGATCATGGTGGTCGGCTGTCCAGTTCCAACCCTTGGGGTGCACGAGTTTCTGGTAAGGGTCGTGGTATTCAGCAGTCACCTTACGCTTCTGACCTTCGACGGGCTCCCCATCCACCTCTCGCATTTCAGTAACGGTGATGTTATTTGTATCGATTTCGCATTGGGCAGCGTCGAGTAGGATTTCTTCGACGGGTCTATCGGCGAAGGTAACAATGAAAATATTCGTCGTGCCATCGATGCGTCGATCTCGAAAGTTGACCTCGAGATTTACTTCCTGCTTGAAAACTGAGAACCCGAGGATCGACCGGTCTTCGATGGGAGGAAGGCCATCCCGCCCATCCAGCAGGGGATGCTGCGATGCTGTCTGCTCCTCCATGTCGGGCGTTGAGTTGGAGCCGCTGGGAAGTGTAGTCATGGCGGTGGTAGCGAGAAGTTGGAGAGAAGAGGGAAGTGGAAGAGCGGCGCGGCTCCAGCGAGCTTAAATCTCAAAGTCACTGCATCGAGGTCGGCCAAATCGGTGCGGGCGCATCTGAGACGAAAGTGAGGCTCTCAGATCAGCATCGCATCTGGATCCCGTCGCCAATGAAGGTTGAGGCTGCGGTAGGTCGCAAGGAGAGCTGCGGCGGCAGAAACGGCGCCACTGAAAAGGACACGAGTCGGTGTAACTAAATCGCAAAACGCCGGTGCGTTGAAAAGAAAGACGCTGGAAAAGCAGAGCTTGGAGAGGTGAAGGTGACGATACTAGCAGTTTGCTGAACAAATTGTTGCCAGAGGTGGCGCGCGTCGAGAGAGAGAGAGAAGCTCGAGAAGCACGGGCCACCTAGCAGCGGATTGTGGTTTCCGACTGGCTCAATCTCAAACTCAAGTCCCCAGCGCCGCAAAATATCCGGAATGGGCCGAATCCAGTGACGCTCCCATATTTTCTCTCACCACTACTACGTTATTTATCCTTTTTCTTTCAATTCTACAATTGTTCTCTCAATGGCTTCACATTGTCCAAGTTTATTGCGATTTCTTGCTCTTGTTTTTAGAGGATTTTATTTCTTCTTTTGGTTTTGTTTTTAAGAAACTTTATTTGTTCCAACCTGATAACTTCGCACCTCCATAATCTCTGATGCATTATTGCTTGGTACTATAACCCCCATACTGCCTTGGTACTAATCTTACATACATGAGCTACTTAAATCTCCTCTCGATGACCTTAACCGCCAAACGCCCTGCAAATCAGATCCTTAGACGCCATTTGTATTTTGTTCTTCCAAGCCTCCCCCGGGTGACGCCCGTAGCAATTGATGCCAATGTTATTTCGAAGTCCGCCGCTCTCGCCTATCCCTGCGCTTCTTCCTCTCACGAGCCTTTAGTGTTTCCTCGTTCCGATACTCCTCTGGCAAGGCGAAGTCGGCTTCGATTATGTCAGGGATTGGATGGCCCCAGGCGAGGACTTTCCTTCCGGCTCGTCTCTGCCGGTTAAGCGCGCTTTCACGCTCATACTTCTTGGTGAAGAAGGACTTGAACTCCTTGGGGGGCTCTGGAGGCTTTGTTGGAGGTGTGGGTTTGCTGGCTGGCCGTGACTTGTTGGAGTTTTTGGCCGCCAATTTTGATCTCGCCCTGGCCTCTCGTCGCAGCTGCTTGGCTGGCGAGGACGTCTCGCTAGCATCATCTTGCGAAGGCTCATCCTCTTCAGCCTCGTCTTCGCCTTCATCCTCTTCTTCTTCATCTTCTTCATCTTCTTCGTCACTCTCCCTGGAATGGCCATCTTCCCTTTGTTGAGATTCTTCATCGCTATTGTCGGATTCCTCTTCTTGTTCCGCCCTCTCTGCGAGAGCCCTCTCTTTCTCGAGCTTCCGCCGCTTCTCCTCCAGGTTCCAGTTACGAAACTTGGCCAGTATAGCCTGACAGCCCTTGATGAAGTGCATCCTGGCCGGTTCAAACTTCTTCTTTTTCGTTTCGGTAACACCACTAACACCCATGACTCTTAGCCAGTCGTGGCCCTGGAGGCCCTCAAGGAGCCGAATGATCTGGTCTTTCTCATGCTGTGCGCGACCTTTCTCGGTATTGCGGATCGACCGTTCAACCCTCTCTGCCTTTTTATGGATTGGCTCAAACAGGCCATCAGGTAAGGGGTCTTCAATATTCTTGTTCTTGTGTTGAGCTTCTAGGAAGCCAAAATCGATGCGTTGGGAGTCGAATACGTCAATGAATAGGGCATCGCCGTATCCTCTGACGGGGAAATCGACGCCACTTGGGTTCTGGTGGTGGGGTCGGAGCGCTGTGCGTTGAGCATCAGGAATCGCGCGCGACAGACCGGTATCGATAATGATGATGGGCGTCTCGGGGTTAAGCAAATCTGCATCAGCTGGTCAGTCCAATGTCAGAATAGCAAAAAGCACGAGATGGCAGGGTCATGTCCGAGGTAGGTTGGTAGAGAGGTAGGGGGGGCTGCTCACGTTCTGCTTTGGGGTCGTTGCCTATCACTTCGTCGTAGTCCGGGAAGTAGGCAGAGAGGTCGCTCTTGAACCTGGTCGCCTCCTGCGACCGCAGCTTGCGGCCCTGCTCCTTGGTATCGTCGTGGCTGGGCTGTAGGCGATCCAGCTCGTGCTTTATGCCATTTATTACTTTGGCCTGGTGCTTCGTCAGGCTGGCGTTGTGCGGCTCCGGTTCTGCGGATATGGGCGCCGCTGGCTTGGTGGGCTGCACAGGGGGGACGGGCTGCCTACTTGCGCTGCTCGCCACAGTGGCTCGTCGCGGTATCGGCGGTTGTACATTCACAGTTTCGAGAGGCAGCTGGGGCTTTGCGAGAATCTCGACGGCGATTCTCGTCTTCTTGTGCCGGATGGCCTCGAACTCGCGCTCGGCCACGTCGAGGGCTCGCTTTGTGCGACCGCCCGCCGCAGCGCCGTGGTGGAAGGAGTTTGGCCCAGGCCCCGAGCGCGTGAGGGGGCTGGCGTTCACGTTACGGTCATAGAGGTGAAGGCCCTCAGCTCGCCGGTTGGAGCGGGTGATGGAGGCCATTGGCAAGCAGGGGAACGCCAGTCATGTTTCTTCAGGTCCGCTGCAGAGGGCGCTGTCGCTGTCGGGACACGCGTTGCCTCGATGTTTTTGCTCGATGCACCGATGCCGATTTGTTTCGTGCGACGTGACAACTCTCAACTGTCAACTATTTCTCCCTCTGCGCCCGGGGCAGGTTTTTTTTTTTTTTTTTCTTTCTTTCTTCTTGGGCGGAAGGGGGCGCTCTAGCGCCTGCGCGTCATGGAGTTTGGGGAGCTTCTAGCGAGTGGTCCCGGTAGCTCTTACCCCCTCACAGGTGGCTCGGGGGCGCCTTTATAGCGAACTGCTCCCTAAGTTTAGTGGCGCTCAGCCCCCTTTACAGGGCACTTGAAGCTTCTTGTAGTGATCCACCACGGCTTTAGCATCAATGTGCGCTCAATTGATATGTGATCCTATTACGTCGGGGCGGCTCTGAAGCTTCCAGCTATCTAAGCATGGGCAGGATCTTGGTGTTCTGTGGAAGATTTCAGTCATCAATTCCAGGGATTTCAATTATTAGAATTGAATCCATCTAGGTATTTACAAATATGAACAGCCCCAACCATCGACCCTAACATTCAATTTCTGCTGGACGTCCACCGAGATCCATACGACTTGATTCAGTGCCTTTATCTCTTTTCGTTGCAGCATTAGAATTTGATGCTCTTGGGCTGCTACCGGGTAGAGAGGAAAGCGCACGCTCAATGTCCAAAATGTCCAAAATATCAATTCGCTCCTCCAGATACCTGTACCCAAAGTATGATGATGTATTCCTCCATGAGCAACAATGACTTGGCCCGAACAAGTCCCAGGGTATTTATACGTACAGAACAGGTCCAACAGGACTACCTATGCCTAACCAAATGCCCAACCAGAATAAAATGATGCTTTGCCTTTATAGATATGTGACAGTCCTCTTTGGAGAGTCCTGGCCAGCTGCTGTAGGCACAATATGCAGCTTTTCCATTGCCTTCATGGCAGCTTCTTCCACATGAGCCTGCCTCTCGGCTTCCGCTTGCCGTTTTTCCTCCTCCACGACTTGCCTCTCCCTCTGAGCACTTTTGCTCATGTCTTTTTCTTCCTCCTTTTTCCTCTTCATCTGCTTTGGATGAACCGCCTTGTTTTTGCCGTGAATCATCTTGTGCACAAGGTCTTTGCCCACACGCCGCGTCTTGGTATATGTCTCCAGGCCCAAAAGGACGGCATACGCCTTTGAAATCGGCACGTGCCCCACATCGACGCCTTCAGCCTTGAGACTCCGAAGAAAGGCGCGGAAATTCGCCGTCGGAGGGCGATAGTGCCCGCTCAGCGGTGACAGGAAATTGAGCTTGCCCTCCTTGATCCCGATGAGTCCTCCAGCGGATATGCGAGCACCCTGGAGAAACGACGAGTGCTGAAAGGCACCAGCCTGCTTGATGCCTATGTAAAGCCTAAAGTTTGTGTCGGCGACAAAGATCCACGTGCCGTCCTTGACGGTCTTGCGCAGAATTTTGTTCAGAGTCGTCGTGGCGGAAAACTGCTTGACCTTTTTGATATCACGCTGTTCGGGTGGCGGGTTGATGTACTTGTCTGCGCGATGCTGTTCGGGGTTCGACTCTCCGTATGCGGTCGATGTGTTCGAGGCCAATCCGCTGGCTGAATCGGCATAAGGATTTGGGTTCAGAATCGGCCGGTACGGTGGCGTCGGATCGTCTACAGGGACGATGCCATGCATGCTGTCTCTGTACTTTTCACTCGTATCGATGGGCTCGCCGTTTTTGGCCCAGCATAACCGACCCTCATCATCGACTGTGGCAAGATAGAACTGGCGCTCCTCTCGGGACAGGTACCGGACCTGGTCCCTCTCCAGTCTATCTCGTGGACATGTGTCAAGCGATATATATCGGCCCTCTCCATAGTCAAGCCAGTAGAAGAAGTTCTCGTTGGTGTCGGCTTTTCGCCATTCCTCGTGATACATGCGTAAGTTGGTGCCGTATCGATGCTTCTGGTCTACGATTTCCAACCAATACTGAAGCCCGAGTGTGAGAGCAGTTGACCGTCGCCGAGCATTAGCCTCCTCTCGAAGTCGCCTCAGTTCTTCCTTTTCTCGAGGCGATAAGCTGCTCGATTCCGATGAGCTGTCCGAGTCCGACTCTTCCTCCTCATCATCGTGGCCGGCCCGAAGCGCAATCATGCCCAGCTTCTTCCAGTTTGACCGTGCGGTTGATGAGTGTAAGTCGGCAACATCCCCAAGCGACGACAGCGTATCTTGGCTTACGCCGGTGAATGATCGACCTCGAGGGCGCGTGGTTTCGCGAAACTGCGCCTCGCGGATGGCAGTTATCCATCTCGTGCTCGGATCCAGCGTAAACCCACTCATTTCTCTTCTTGCTCGATAACCCCGAAACGTCTTCTGGATGACGCGGGCAGCATCGCTCCTCTCATCGCTTCTATTCGACTGCAAGCTCCGCCGACTCTCCTGTTGCGATTTTCGCTTCTGGTGCTTTACCCTTTGCCTGATCTCCTCCTCCCTCTCCTCCTGCACGTGGGCAATGCGCTCAAACTGGTCTCGAGACGGCGGCACTAAAGAGTCCATGTATTGCTGCGATTTTGCCGAAGAGGCAGAGAGGGTGGTGAAGCTCGAGGTGAAGCTAGCGGTTGTCATGGTGCCGTCCAGGTGGGTTATTATATCATTACATCAATAGAGCGCCCGGGACCTCCCGTAGGAGACTACTTCTGCGGGGTCGCATAAGCGGCCTGGGAAACAAAGGAAGTAAATCAGCTATCGTCACTGTTTTGAGATCAAAGACTTGAGTTGTTAGAGGCGATTCGGAGGTTGAAGGGAGGGTTGAAGGTTGTCGTCGACATTCGGGTTGCCCGGGATGGGCTCCGGGCTGTGAGGAGATGAACTCCAAGGTCGGCGGCTGGCTTTATAGCACTTGGCAAGCTTGGCTTGGCAAACAGGCTGCGCTACAGAAGCGGGAAGACGGCCCTTGAGACACTGATAAGAACTAAAAAAAGCGACCTGTGGCCACCTCTACGGACCCAATAAACAGTTCGAGCCGTGCTGGACAAGGTAACATGTCTGATCGGAGGCTGACCACTTATCGCCGGCCCCTGAACTGGGTATAGGTGCCATTTGGTTGATGACGGAGTGACGCAAGGACCCGAAAGCGTCGGGATGCCAGTCAACGAACCATGGCGGCCCAAAGAAGCACTGCCTCTGGATGTTCCGAGACCTGGGGGGGTACAATCATTGATGGCTTGAACTACCGTCTGGAGCGTGCGCTACAAGGGAGGTTGGGAATACTAGCAGTACTACGGAGTACTTGCAGCTCGGTACGAGTATTAATTCCACAAACCAAGCACAGGCATTACAGTTCAACTTGGTCTCACTATTGACACTTAGTGATGCAGTAAGATGACGTGACGTGGGGCCCTATCAAGTTCGAGGTTGTCTTAGTCTCAGCAGAATAACGGGACAAGAAACATGGCCAATTCCGTACTTGGAGAAACGAGCATGTGCCGTTGTGATTTTCTCGTGTTTGCTCTGTGGTACTTGCGCCCAGGACACGCAAGAATGGGAGAACCAACCGGAAGATTAGCATGGACATGCTCTCTACTGTCATTGCGTAACGTCAAAGAAAACGCACAAGTATTCAAGGCGGCACAGCCAGTCGCGTGGTCCTGTCAAATCCGGCGCATGCATGCGGAATCCTCCGAAATCTCGAGGTGCGTCGATCTCCCAACTCCGTTGGCGCCAGCCAAGAAGGGCATAGGGCAGGATTCCAATCATCGATGGCGCCGCCTTGCTGCGTGTTTCTTGTCTCGGAAGCGGGACGCTCTCGGCCAAACAACAGCGCGGGCTTGTCGGCTGGGGCCATGAAAGCCAACATACTGTAACATAACATCAATGTTTGAGGCGGTGCAGGGCGGAGCGGAGCACAGGCGCGGCGAGGTTCCGGAAACTGAAAGACGGAGTCGAATGGTGGTATGGAATCTGCTCCGTATGTAGTTTCGCATGCGGATCTCAATCTCACAGCGCGTTTATTTCAGTAAGCGGCTGAAGTGAGCAGAGTAGTATCGAGCGTTTAGCGGCTAGAAGCGCAAGGGGGGGGCCCATGACAGGCTTGGAATCAACGAAACATCGTATGGAACAGTTCGGGCGTGTCTCGCTTTAATAAGGGTGTTGAGAGTTTCATGTCTGGTGGTGTGCGACGATGTAACATGCGCTCAACACAACATGCGCTACGGCTGTACGGTACTCCGTACAAGCTTGATTGAAGATTCCTCATTAACATTATAGTATATAGTATATACTTAGAATATCATACACGACATAACAAGTCAGGCCATTTCGACGCGCATAAGCCTCAAACCGGGCTGTAGTAGTAATACAAGAACAAAGAACATGCTCAAAATAGATGAGAAAGATATTACCCAAAGAGGAAAACTCTCGACGTCGTTTCCCCAGCTCGTCGTGCGGCTGCACGTGGGGTGCTTCTCTGGTGTTTCGGCAAACCATACCTGCTTGGGTATGTGCATTAAAAAAAAAAGGGAAAAATTGATATAAAAGATAAGAAAAAGAGGGTGTCCAGAGCAAGACAGTTCAAGAAAAGGATACCGCGTGATTATGCAAACAGAAAGTCATTGAGGACAGGTGACCCCGAAAACTCCGGGTTTAATAGGATACAGCTAAACACCTGTGTGTCAGTCCGTGCAACGACAGGAGCATGAAATTGCTAGAGACGCTTCGTACTTTAAGAAATATTGCAGTCCAGCTCGGCGCTTCTCTAGAAACTTGGGCCGGAATTTGAAGATTGCGCTCTTGGGCGGTAGTTCCGGCACCGCCGCTTTGAAGTTTGGAAATGATAATGTCAATTTCTGCCGGAAGTCGTCGAACTCGGAGTAGCGCTTTCGAATATTCATATAGCTTCCCTATATAAACGGAAAAAAGCATCCGTTAGCCAATTGCCTCATCCACACGATAACAACCAGCGCAGGCGCAATCGCAGCATATTTGCGCCAGGGTGCTCGTGTAGGAAAGACGAAGATAACTTACAGTGAGCGTTTCGACTCGAACATTCCACACGACAAATGCGCCAATGTTTGTGTTGCTGCCATTGACGATGATGTAGTCGGTAATCTCCACGCTCTTCGCCCAACACGCGCTGTTCCTGTCGTCGTCGTTTGTGTCACGATCAAATAGCCTTATCGCGCCTACAGGCAGGATAGACTCGGCCGACATGCTGGAGATTGTTCGCTGGTGCGAGCCGGCATGGGGCCAGTAAGGCGGGGGCGACGTCATGGAGCTTGGAGACGTCGTCGCAGAGAGCGCATTGCGCAGCGCCTCGTCTTCGTTGTCGTCGGCATCGCTGCGTCGGTCGCGAGAGCCGCTGGCCGAGGAGAATTGCGTATCCAACCTGCTCAGGATGCGATTTGGCGATGCCGTTGCGCCGGACTCGGCAAGCGTCCGTGACCCTGTCTCGCTCGTCAAGTCGCCTGGCGCAAGGTCCTGGTCTACAGCCGGCGCCATTTAGCCATGTGAAAGGAATCGTAGAGCTCGCGTGGCTATCGATCGAGATTGCCTCTTGTTATGGAATCGGTTATCGGCCCCGTATTGTCCTGAGGAAGAATTTCTCAGGCCCCTTGGCAACAATTGTAATTGCGCGCGGGATTGTCAAGGGCCGGGATTCGAAAGAAGATTGCCGCTGGTATCGGAAGGGCCGGGATTGTCGTGGACTCGATGCTTGCGCTCAAGATGTATGGATGTGAGAATGCTTTGCGTCTCGGTAGATGTAAGAGACAAAGATCCCCAAACGGGACGGCTTTTGGATTTGTGGCCTATCGTTATCATCCACGGCCTCCGGGTCGCCTCAAATAGTCCGATAGTGGCGTAACTACCTTCCCCACGGCAGCTACAGTAGAAGCTGCCACAACGTGGGGTTTATTCGGAAATAATAAAAAGCCATTGAGCTCCCCTCGCTATGAGAATTGGGTTTTATGAGAGAGTCAACAGTTGCTAATTATAGCATCAAAGTGTGATGCATAGAGAATGCTATTGTTGCTATTGTTGTTATTGCAACAAGTTTGGAAGCTCCACAGAAATTAAACAACCTAACATGTGGAATCGTCATGGTCAAGGAGCCCATGTGGCGAGCATGCGAGTAAGGAGCATTTACAAATTGGTGGACTCAAGGAGCTGTGGAACGACTCTTGTGGGTAGAAGCATGGACCAGATGCGTGTAGGGAATCTAGTACGACTTCCAGGTCTTAAGACCCAGACTGGAATTTCCCCTGTTTTGACAACCAGGTATTAAGGCACAGCACCAAAGGCTCTGAGAACTAGTGCTCAACTCCCGTTCATCCCCCACCCGCATGATGGGACTTGTGTCATTGTTTTGTAAACACATCAGAGTAAAAGTAGTTGCACTGCCGCTGCCAGGAGGAATCTGCTGTTACAATTACGTATAGCGAGAGAAACATCCCAAAGATCTTGCTGGAGTGGAGATATCTGGGCAAAAACCCAGGCATCTTACTGGGGGCCAGCGGTGTTGGTGATGCTGCTATCAGGATCCGATTGCGTCCTGGGCTGTCATGGAATAGGAGCCACAGCCCCTCGAGTCCTTGGGAATGTGGCCTTGCCACCAGGTGGGAATAACTCGGGATATGCACCGGAGCAGCGGCGAATTGTCGACTTACCAGCGGTTTGCCTGGCTGATTTAGTCGGCCTGGTGGCGATGGAACTCTACCCACGACTTAGCCCTCTTGCTTTTCCCATCCCGTTAATGCCTGATATCGCAGAAAGTCGCATTGACATTTTGCCATCGATTTTTGCCAGACCAGTCGTACTTTCTGCTGTGGCCATTCGCCAAAAGAGGCGAGTATAGTCATCCCACAGCCTTGGAATCTTGCTAGACAGGAAGCGAGTTATCCATCGAGATTCTTGTTCGGAGTATACATGATTACTAGATCCGTGCTTCTTGATGGTGATCATCTCCTTAATGCATCTCTCGGTGTCGCCGGATGAGTAATGCTAAGCTGACTCCTCATGGCCACCTGTAATTCGCATGTTTCTCGTTCGAAATCGAATGAACCAGGGCAAGCCCTACTGAACCGAATCTCTGGGCCACGTTGAATGCATGAGTAAACGATGCTGAGCGAGGAACCGTTTGAAATGACACATCGAAGATGCTGGTTTTGCTCGGGTTGATATCTGTGGGACTCACATGTTGTTGGTCATGCTGGCCGTCACTAGCTGTACTCGTATATCTCTCATCAATTGCATTAGTAGGTGCTGTAGCGTCCATCTTGAAGGGTGCCCCGTCGCCACTGTCTCTCCATGTGCCAGTATGATGAGGCAGTCCATTACGGAACACCTTGGTAGAGTACATACCTACCTAGGTAGTGACCAACAACCATCATTCGGCCAACAGTCGCTACAAGTACTGGTCATATCTACCGAGTACGAGCAGCAGCTGCTTGGCTAATACAACGCGTTATTGCGTTGAAATTAAAGGAGAACTCCGTTTCATCAACGCTAGTAAGATTACAAGGCAGTGCCTCACCGTCTGTCGACGATTACTCCGTAATGAAGGCATTCTGATGGCGGCAAATCGCTTCGTACGTCGTATTCATGCCTTTGGGTCTGATACGGCGTATCACGTCTTGGCACCCAAAGCAAAGCGCAATGCTCGTAATGATATGGAAACGACACGACACTGTGCCCGTACGAGCATTCTGGCTAATTCTCGTAGCTCTGGACCGATCGTCGTCTGATGTGGCAGAAGGGAAAAGCCGTATCCCATTTGCCCATCTTGATTCCCCACACTAGAACAGTTCTAAACGGGACCCTCTTCTTATATCGCGCAGCGCCATAGCTCTCGTCTCTCGTCTCTCATTCGCGAATCGCTGGGTTGGATTAAACTCGTCCCTCCAATTTGACTCTGCCCCAGATTTCAAGATCTGCCAAGCTTTCCCAGGCTCACGGTGGGCATCTTTGCTATCCTGAGCCTTATCTTGTATTACACTGCATCAAGAGTGCTGTCTGCATCCGGGTGCTCGCTCCGACTTGCGCTTGAGCCTTGCTTTCGCGATGCTGGGCAGCAGATTCTCCATAAAAAGCGAGTACAGGTACGGAGCAGCCCGTGCTTGGCTCTTGCCACGAATCCGAAGCATGTCTGTGCAGAAATGAGGCCGAGCAACCAACTGCCTACCTAGGCAGGGAGCAGGAATGGAGCCTCATACCGGGATGCATGTCTGACAAGTCATGAAATTGCCCTTGTACCTCGTCCACTCCGAAGGGGGCTCTCCGTTATAACTGCACACAGACCCTGTCGCGACCAGGGACGAGAAAAACCTTCAATAAGCTCGGGGCAGCATGGTGAGATATGCACGCTTTCTCCCATATTCGCCCCCTCGCATCGCCAGTGCTGTGGTGATCGTAACCCGGTTGCGCAGGTGGATCTCCCCACGAATGTGACTTTTCAGGCGACTCATTCTTCCGAGAATGCTGTTGCGACACTGTGCCATCTTCAGAGGCTACTCGTTCAGTAGTGTGCGGAGAACGCGGAGCATTTTCACCTGTCTCTGCGTGTGTCAACTGGATGCAAGTGTCTGCATAAGTGCGATTGTAGCTCCCGGTCTCCATCTGCATGCATAGCACAGCGGAATACGAAGAGCTCAGAGACTGATACGGTACAGAATGGATGGGTGGTTCTGGCTCTCGTCAAGCGGAGAATCCTGGGTCGATACTCAACTGCCTTCCAGAGCCGCTAGTGTCCTCTGCTTGCTTGGATGACCGGGGCTCGTAATGTTGGATCCATGGACGGCTTCTTGAAAGAGCCCGCAAATGCAACCTGTACGAAGTGCTGGACGAAACAGGAGGACGCACATGGCAGCGAGGATTAGGTAGTGGACGGTAGCACGGCGGAATGCCAGTCAACAACTCAATGTGCTGTACAGTAAAGGGAGCGTCTGGCTGCTCGCTCCAAGCCCTGTACGAGTAGGATTTCCCTCCGTCGTGCCCTTTTTTTGCGAGAGACGCTTCATTTCCTAGCTCGCCCAGAAGCTCAAAAGGGGGCAGAAGCTACTGCAAGCTCGGATCTTTCCACTAGCGAACGCGCGCTACTAATGGGCACTAGCGGGCAATTTGATGACTTGTAGCTTCGTGCTTGAGCCACTCGAACAGTCGAGTCTTTGGCCGTCGAACGTTTATTACTGAACTCTGGATAAACAAGTCGGGGAGATGGTGGAGGCACTAGGCCGGCAAGGGCCAAAGTCGCCAATTTTGAGTGCGAGATTTGCAGTAGCAGCAGCGCCACGGTGCCTTTGCTCCAGGTGCTACTAGCACTAGCAGCGCCTGCGAGAACGAGAACAAACCCAACATTGCAACCTCCCCGTACGATACACCTTACAGTATGGATGCCCTACCCGTGCAAAAAGGTGAGACCTCTCACAGGGGGGCCCGTTTGCTCTGCCCAGACGGTGCTGTGGAGGAACACGAACTGAGCTAGCCTGATACCGAAGCTGCCCGTTTGTGCGTCCATTGGCTTGATAGGCAAAGCTTGAGCTGGGGGGGCCGGTGGACAGACTCGCCTCCTGGTCTCGCTTCCCACCCGCCCTGGTCACTTGGGGCTTCTGGAGAGATTCTGTGCCGGACCTCCGTCGCCTCCGCCGGCCAGCTCATAAAAGTGCTTCCGGGCATGCATCCTTCTTGATCCTGTCCTTTCCTTCTCGCTGCTGCCGCCATATCTCTGTCGTTAACGAGTCGTTTGTTGAGCTCCTTTTGCCTTCCCAGTCTTTCGCTTTTGGGTCCGCACTTCTCCTGCAGGTCGCCGTTTCCATACCTTGTGAGTACAGAGCTGCTTCCTTTCTTTGCCGGGGTCTAGGACAGGACCTCGTCTGCTGCCTTGTCTTTGTTGTCTCTCCGTCATCATCTTTTTCTCGTTCAACCAGACAATTACATCTTGCGAAGCGTATCACTAATATTCCCCCGTGATAGTTTATAATAGTATCACTTCACGAACGCGTCTCCCCGTCGTCGTACAATACAGTCAATATGGTGTCTTTCAAATCAGCCGTTGCCGCCGCCACGATGGCCTTGGCCTCGTTTGCCAATGCGAAGAGCTACTACGTCGACCCTGACAGTGTTCCTCTGACCACAAGACGTGAGATACCCTTTGGCAATCATGGTATGGCACGCAGATGCTAACATTGTACAGAGAGCTGGTGTCGTTCTGAAACGTCGACCTGCCCCATAATTTGCCAGCAGACCACGACCAAGCCGACATTGGTCAACGACTGCAGCCCTGTAAGTTGATGAATATAACGGCATTCGTGTGATGTCCTTTCGCTGATGATTTTCTTTCAGGATACCTTGAGCTTTGGCTGTCTCTGTGGTGACAACAAGCAGCCCAATATTTCCGAGTACACCTTGACACTGCCCTTCTTCATTTGCCAGGAATTTGTGATCCAGTGCAGGACGGCCTGTGGCTCGGACAACACTTGTGCGTCTAACTGCGCCGAGGATAACCCTTGTGGTGCCACTGATCCTAAGCGTTACAACTCAACTTCGACTGCTACAACAACAACCCCTGCCGCCACCTCTACCACTGCCGGCCCTGACACCATCTTCACCGACACTCCCGGAGGTGGTAGCAGCGGCAGCGGCAGCGGCAGCGGCAAGGGCAAGTCAATGGCAGCTCCTGCGGTTGAGGTTGGACGGGCCTATGGATTGGCAGTTCTTTTCGGAAGCATGTTTGTCGGCTTTGCTCTGCTATGATAGCTGCTGCAACAACAAGGGGGGGTTCCGAAAAGGAATCATGCGGTCGAGCGAGTGATGGATTGCTCAATTAAGATCGCCTAATGTTTGATTGGTTTGCTGGTTTCATTAGAGCGTGCGTCTTACACTGGAATATCATTATGCGTACTGCCGGAAGTTTGGTCACGGGAATTACTTAATACTGTTGAATGCCTTTTCGATACGATACATTGACATGAATATATTGCTTTCAAAGCACTTTGTTTGCCATTGAGTCGTCATCATCATGTCATGTTGCAAAGCATATCAAATTGATGCCCTTTGTCATTGGATATCGGGAAAATATCGGAGGCAAGCATTTAGCCTATGATGGTTGCAGCTCCAGAAAGCCCTTTTTGTGGTCCTTTGATGGTTTGCACATGATGTTTCTACATCACATCACGCGACCTTTGGCCGAATGATTGACATCATGGCGAGCTAGAAGTTTGACCCAATGTCAAGACGTACTCGATCCTTGAAAGGGCCCAATCACGAGCTCTCCAGCTCAGAATCATGTGCAAGGGTTATCGTGCATATTGGCGAGATGGCGGCTGCAAGGCGGACAGCTTCTGGTGGACAAAATAAATGAGACTGCGACTTGTCAAGAGAGCTGGCAGCCGTATGGAAATCGCCCTACTTTGTTCCCGGAAGAGCATCTTGTTGAATATAATGCATGCGCCCTTTGGTTCTCGCTTCTTTTCACATGTCCAAGCGAGCACGCTCTAGATATCCTACCTACCTATATACCCAGTAGTCTCCAATGTGCTTTGCCAACTGGGTCACATACCCACTCTACCAACATATTTAGGCACTTCTGCTTTTCGTCCAGCGATTTTACCCAACGCCCCAGTGGCTACGTAGGCAAGTAGGGTTGAAGAGTCCTGAGAATACACCGGCTATCTACTGGGCAACTGGTTCTTTAGGTGTCTTCAAGTGTCTGCTACTATCATCACTCTCTTCTAATTTCTGCGATCACAACTGTTAGATCTAAGTAGGAATCTGCATGCTGGATGCAGCTACTCCCTTGAAATGACTTTGTTTCACAGCTTGTCAAACAAACGTTGCACCTTCAACGTCTTATTTTGTCACTGCCAAAGTAGCGCTTCCTACCGGCTCATCGACCCGGCTGGCAACGTCACACTATACTTTAGCAGTAACACCAATGACTCAAGGACATTCACTGCGCCAAGTACAGTATCTTTCCGCTTCTGCAAGCCACAGTGTTATCTCGGGTACCGCTACCAAACTGAATGTATCGAGGGATTAGCACCAAGTCGACTTCTTGGCGCCTCAACGAATTTCGGGCTTTCACGTGCTGGCGACTATCATCTCTTTAGATTACCAAGAGTGGGGCCCGCGTGAAAGATCCCCCATTAGGCTCTGAGTTGGGGGGTTGTGGAAGCTCTCTAGCAGCTCTTTGGGGGCTGTAGCGGTTCCAGCTCAGGGGACCTAGAGGCCCACGGGCAGATTTTCCGAGGCTCTTTACAGGGGTCCGAGGACCACAAACCGCAGCTTTTCATGCACGCCTCCCAACGAAACCAGACTCTTGGTCACTTGGCCGACCAAAAATTCTTGTCTGAAGTTTGCGCACTCCAGACGCACGGGAGCAAGGAGTAACCAACTAGTTCTCCCACAAAGACAATCCTAGAGCGCCTGAAGGTTCCCCCTTGGCGCCCTTTTGTGTCCTTTTTTAAAAAGAAGCTCCTGCCTCCCTCCCCGGACCCCCGGCTCCCGCCCCCCTCTACGATGTCCAGCAACACGCTGCCATTGCATCAGGGCGATATTACCTCAACAAGAGGTGATGGTAGTATGGCTCCTAACACAAGTAAGCACACAATCTGTCTCTGAACTGGGGAGGGATCCTTGCTTCGGTTCTGGGCGGTGGCTAGTCGCTCGCGCTATCGAGATGGACGGCTGGAGGGAGTCGTTTTTTACTTTCGTTGGTTGACTTGGTGGCTAACCCGGCTTGGTGGGCTAGAGCAGGCTGTGGCCGAGTGCATCTCGGATGATGCCCTGATCCATCTCAAGTCGTACAAATATTCGAGCGTCGATAAATCACCGGTATCGAAATACATCCTGGGTCCATGGGTACGGCCTCACCGATTCATCCCCACGTTTCTGCATGACGTTGCAGTTGGCCTTTGTTGATACCCTGCCCCTCCTCGCGACGGGCAGGCCCAATGTTAGCGAAACTTGGAGGCAAATGGTAGCTAACGGAGATTGCTTTGCAGTGGAATGCCTTCGTCGAAGTGTTGCCGCTATGGCTCGCCCCCAACATGGTCACCCTTCTGGGGTTCTTCTTCATTCTCTTCAACGTCGCGTTGATGGTCATCTACATGCCCGATTTGGTGGGACCGGTACGTCACCGACATTCGACCGTGCCTCGTCATTTTGCTACGCGCAACTGCGAAAGTCAACATGCTGATTGGAAATCCCCGTATAGGCACCGTCGTGGCTGTACTTTAGCTTTGCATTCGGACTCTTCATGTACCAGACCATGGACAATGTCGACGGAAAGCAGGCCAGAAGAACCGGAACCTCGAGCGGCTTGGGCGAGCTCTTCGACCACGGCATCGACTCGCTCAACTGCACGCTCGCCAGTTTGCTCGAAACGGCCGCCATGGGACTGGGCACATCGCCCTCCGGCATTTTCACTGCGCTTGTCCCTTGCCTTCCCATGTTCTTCTCGACGTGGGAGACGTACCACACGCACACGCTGTATCTCGGCTTCTTCAACGGCCCAACCGAAGGCCTCCTTATTGCCTGCGGTATCATGATCGTCTCTGGAATCTACGGGCCGGACGTTTTCACGAAGCCTCTGGCACATATCTGGGGCGACCACTTGGAGGGGGTGGCTCACCTCATTGGAGATGTTTCTTTCCGGGATATCTGGGTTGGCATGCTGATTCTGCTGCTGGTTACCTGTCACATCCCCTTTTGCGTCCTGAACGTCACCCGTGCGCGCCAAGCAAAGGGCCTCCCTGTTCTCCCCGTGTTTATGGAATGGATCCCAATGGCCGTCTTCACCATCTGTACCGGCGCCTGGGTGTTTTCTCCATACAGCTCGCTCATGAAGGACAACCACCTGGTCCTATATTGCTTCACCATGTCCTTTGTTTTCGGACGACTGACGACTAAGATGATTCTTGCACACTTGACCCGCCAGCCGTTCCCGTACTGGACCGTCATGCTGACTCCGCTGGTTGGCGGTGCTGTTCTTGCGAACCTTCCTAGAATCGGTTTCCCCCAGATTAGCCCCCAGCTGGAACTGTTTTACATGTGGGCATACTTCCTCTTTTCGGTGGTGGTCTACTTCCGCTGGGCCTATCTGGTGATCACTAGCATCTGCAACTTTCTGGGCATCCAAGCTCTCACCATCCCCAAGGAGAAGCAGATGGCCAACAAGATGGCTGCTCGAGCCGCCACCAAGCTGCACTAAAGCGTGTTGCTGATCGTCGCCCCGAGGATCTCGTGAACTTTTTTTCTGTTCTGTTCTATTCTTTCCTTTTTTTTCATTTCCAGTTTCTCTACTTTTGTTTTTGCTCCTTCAACACAAGTAATGCCCTCATGAAACAAAGTTAGAGACTTTGATGCGGAACTTGGATTCCAGCAGCCGTTGGTGGGTTAAAAAAGGGGAGAAGAAGGAGAGGCCAGACGATTCGACGACGATTTCGACTAGAAGACATGGTTTGGGGCATATATAAATAGAGAAGGAAATGCGTGCTTGTATATGATATGAGCAGCCCAGAGTGCAACAGGCATGGCTGACTTGGCGTTTGGTTTGGTGCTTTACGCTTTTTACTATGAGCATGCTCTGGCTTTTGAGATTCCCGGGCCAAAACGGGCGGCATGTAATATTCTTATCTGGTATTCCTTATTAATCCGGGGGGCTATATAGATTCAACCTCATGTTTCAAGAGTAACTGCTACAAATACAGTAACATATACGGACAGGTAATTCTCCCAGGTGATATTGGGCATCATGTACAGTCTGGCGAAATCCAGATCAGTACTAGGTATGTGACGGGCTCAAAAGCAGCATGGTGGTACTCGTATTCTCCATTCCCGTGGTGTTGCAACTTCAACGTTCCGGAGTTGAGAACCCCAAACTCCCTAAGCCGCATGCAGACTAACCGACGCCTGAATTGCAGCGGCTCAACGATGCTCAGGAACAGGGACATAACAAGGGCTAGGGGGCTCCGCAATGCGGTTTAGCGCGGTGGCTTCCGCATGCCGCAGTGTGGCCACGTACTTTGGCTGGTGCTAAGATACTGGCGATAACACATTCCACGTTCGTATGCGGTCTTGCGCCAGACGATGACAACCTCGTCCTAGACGCTTCTCCGTGTGCCTGGCGTCGCCTTTGTTTTCTCTGGTTGCTGCCGGCCTCTCGAACTGCGGGAGAGCGCAGATTGGCCCTGCAGGCTGGAGCCACTGAGACCGCTGACCGAGCCTGACGAACGATAGAGATGCTCTTCAACGTGGTGCTCCCGCTGCTTGGCCTCGTGGGCGCCGCGCTCGGCATTGGAACTCTAACCGACGACGACCTGCGCGGTCTACCGTCTCCCGGCGACGATTTCGATATTCACAAGGGGAAGCTCCTAGCTCCGATCCTCATACCGCGAGTGCCCGGCACGGAAGGGCAGAAGAAGACGCAGCAGCACTTTGTCGACTTCTTCCAGGCCAACTTGCCGGAATGGGAAATCGTATGGCAGAACTCAACCTCCAAGACGCCGGCGACTGGCAACAATGATATCCCTTTCGCAAACATCATTCTGCGCCGCGATCCTCCGGGGTATCGGGAGGGAGAAGTCGGGAGGCTGACGCTGGTGGCGCATTACGATAGCAAGATTGACCCCAAGGATTTCATCGGGGCGACAGACAGCGCGGCGCCGTGCGCGATGCTAATGCACATTGCGAGGAGCATCGATGGGGCGTTGAAGTCCAAGTGGGATGCCATGTCTGCGAGCGGCGACCTTGACGACAACTTGGAGCCTGGTGTTGGGGTGCAGATCCTGTTGCTGGACGGAGAGGAGGCTTTCGTGCGCTGGACGCACACGGACTCGCTGTACGGCGCAAGGTACGGAATACAAACACTGTTTGTTCTTTTATTGTTGAATCGTCTTTGTTAACATTGTCTTCCCAGATCGTTGGCCGAGACGTGGGAGTCCGAGTTTCATCCTTCCATGTCGACTTTCAGGACGCCTCTGCACTCCATCAGCCTCTTTGTTCTCTTGGATCTTCTCGGGTCGCCTAACCCTCGCGTACCATCCTACTTTTTGACCACCCATTGGGCTTACAGAAACATGGCGGCGCTGGAGAAGCGCATGCGTGACTTGGGACTGCTTGAATCCAACCCTAGCAAGCCCTTCCTACCAGACGCAGAGAAGCGTGCTGATCAATTCGGCTATGGAGGCATCGAAGACGACCATATTCCCTTCCTAAGAAGGGGTGTTGATATCCTTCACTTGATTCCCACTCCGTTTCCTGACGTGTGGCACACAATGGCGGATGATGGCGAGCATCTTGACATGCCGACTGTGTCGGATTGGACAAAGCTTGTCATGGCATTTACGGCAGAGTGGATGGACTTATCCGGACACTTCCCAAAGGCCGCCTCTAAGGAGAAAAGGAGCGAAACCACGATTGAAACCAGCAAAAAGACTGAATTATGACTACGTTGGGGGGAAGTTTTATGATCAAATATGAATTGCCTGGTTGGTCCCGGCGCTTGTAGACCACAGCCAGAAGATATGGCTTATTGTGGCCAGATTTGTAACTATTGCGAAGCTGGCATTGAACTGAGCATTGCCGTGTATATATTGATAGAGTTTGCACAAAACAAGCATCTACTATCATTCATTCGCAGACATTGTTTATGATATACCGTGTACTCTTAATGAGACAGTGAGTCTGGTACAGTGCGTAATGTCGCATGCACTGTGTGTTGTACATGACGGCCGGCCAATCAGAGCCCCACCCTGCGACTCAACCACGTAACCTTTAGGACCAAAGCTGTTCTAAGCTGTCATCTTGGAGCATCTTCCTCGCACCAACGTCGTCTGTCACCATGCGATTCTCTGTTGCCTCAACACTTTTGGCGCTCGCCACGGTCGCCTCCGCTGCTTCCTCATGGACCTTTTCGGACGGTACCGTCAAAGTGTTCTCAAAAGCTGGCAATGATGCGGTAGAGAAGTGAGCTTCCCTGGCGCCAAGACTGAGCTTCGGCCTGGTTACTTTCCTGGGCCATACAGTCCTTTTATCTTCCAACACAAGTGCTTGAAATCAATTTGCTAACAATTGCCATTGTAGATTCAGCGGCGTTGATCGAGTGCAAAACACCCTTACTCTGGGTCACCAGGACAAGCTCAAGGTGACGCTCACGACAAAAGACGGTTCCACGGCGAAGCGACCACACCAAGCTTTCTTGGTCGTGAAGGAGGCATCCGGTCTGGAGGCTCCTTTCCCGTTGACTGTGAAGGACTCTGGAAAGGGAACGGTCGAAATTGTATGCTAAACCCCGCGAAAAAGGAGACCAATTGGCTGGCGATAGCTAACATCCAAGGCAGTCTCAGAAAGATCTCCCCGTCCAACTGCTTCTTTCTCAAGAGCCTCTCGAAGCCAGCCTTGTTCTGGCCTCCTTTGGCTCTTCCAAGGGCTCAGTCACCCCTGTTTTCGATTTCACCGTCAAGCTGGACGCGGCCACCTCTGCGCCTAGTTACGAGAAGCCACTGCGATATGGCAAGCTCGCTGAGATCCATCACATTTTCCGAGCCGATCCCAAGAACCCTCCCAAAATTGTCTCTATTACATTTGCACTCGCCGTAGTTGCTACTGTGCCTGCCCTTTTTATTGGCGTATGTTTGATGCATCATCGTGGACCTGATAAAGAAAACGTATATATACTAACTTGCGATAGTGGTTTGCTCTTGGCGGGAACTTTACCCATGTGCAGAAGGCCCTGGGAAATGCCCCCATATCCCATGTCGTCTTCTTCGGATCAATCGTTGCTATGGAGGGTGTCTTCTTCCTCTACTACACGCAGTGGAACCTGTTCCAGACCCTGCCTGCGATTGGCGCTGTTGGCGTCGCCGCCTTCTTGAGCGGAACCAAGGCTTTGGGTGAGGTTCAACGCCGACGATTGGCCGGCGAGAGGTGAGGATCTGGAAGAGCAAGGTGGACAACGAAAATGGAGTTGAGATGGAGGCTATTTTCTCAGTTTAGAAGCACCTGGACTAGATCTCTAGTATAGCCCATCTGGCTGGAGAGGCATTGGCGTCCGGCGAGGCATGGATTGCCTCTTTTTGACGACATGAGGGATGAAAAGACACAAATGCATAGTCAAGATGATGTAAGATATCATGTATTGAAGCATAGAGCAGCCATTGTTGAAAGAAAAAAATGAGTAAATCAAATCATCAGATGCTATCACGCAAGCCTGACCTGCCGAGGTTCAACACGAGTGATGACGGTACGTATCGCTGATGATGTCAGCAGTTTTGACTTTCAACTACCTCAACACGAAGATACCACCACCTCCCGCGTTGATACCAGTTTACATATCCCGAGGTAAAAAGCACTGTGCCTTGAAAGACGTGAATTGGATGTTTCAGTTTGCATGATATCCTGGCATTTCATCTCGTAGACACATATAGAGCGCTATATCTGCTGCAACACTAGTTGGGAGCTGTCAGACTAGAACGCCAAGTGCTTTGTTCTCGCCCCAACGTCCCAATTCTCTGAGCTGGTTTGCTTCTAAGACAAGATTTTTCTCAAGAAACAGCGAGATATAATGTAAGTCCCCTCCATCCAATGCAATTCCCATCTCAGCAGCTGCCAGTGGCGAGTGTAACGCCCGTTTGTTGGTGACACTTCGCGCGACCCACGTCTTGTGTCTCAGTGGCAGTTGTGTGTCTCGCCGTTTCGCCTTGTTTCTTCATCGCCATTCATCAGAGGGGAGGCTGACGTGAACGCTGGATGTTCGTAGGGCGTTTACACCACCATCTGCCGAAGAGACTGTTAATCATCCGGCGTTTGCTTCGGTAATCTGGGCTCTGGAGCCTCATCGGCAAGGCACGGTTGAGGCTGCAAAAGGGCGAGGTGGTCCTGTGAAGATTGCTTGGGAGATTCATGGAGATGGGCCAACTAAAGTTCTGGTATGTTTTTTTTTTCTCCGGTCTTTGGTCTGCCTATGGCTGCCTTGTTGAGAGTTGAACCCCCTCGTATGCTACGGAGTAAACGCGAGCTCTTTTCTTTCATTCTGCTGACGAGTCTTGGCTTCTTCTAGCTCATCATGGGTTTGGCCGGTATAAAGACATCGTGGCAGCGCCAGACGAAATACTTTGGCCACGACCGCTCAAATGAGTACTCCGTCCTCATCCTGGACAACCGAGGCATGGGCGACAGCGACAAGCCCATTGCGCGCTACACCACCAGCGGCATGGCCGCCGACATCGTCGAGGTGCTCGACCACGTCGGCTGGACCTCCGAGCGCGAGGTCCATCTCGTCGGCATTTCCCTCGGCGGCATGATCGCCCAGGAGGTCGCCTGTGCGATTCCCACCCGCCTGCGCTCCCTGACCTTGATAGGGACCACGGCGCAGTTCGAGAGCGGGCCGGCAAAGTCCTGGTCCGACGCCATGTGGCAGCGCCTGAGCTTCGTCATCCCCAAGTCAGAGGACCAGAGCATCTTCGACACTGGCCGCAAGCTCTTCCCCGAGGAGTGGCTTGCCGCCCCGGATGATGCCGCGTCGCTGCCCTCGCCAAAGACGACGTCTCGGTGCGGCCCCGCGCCCGGCACGCCTGACGGAGAGTATCGCGCCTTTGACAGCAATTTCCAGCGGTTTCAGGCGCAGGAGCTCTTCAAGAAGCGCCACGCAAGCTGGTTCACCCAGCAGGGCTTCCTGTGCCAGCTGATTGCGGCGGCAGGGCATCGGAAAACGCCACAGCAGCTGCGCACGATGGCGGATCGCGTAGGGAGGGAGCGCATCCTGATCATGCATGGGACGGTAGATAATATGATTACGGTGCCGAATGGAGAGAAGCTGATCAAGCTCATTGAGCCGGGAACGGGGTTGATTGTCGAGGGAATGGGTCATGCACCAATTATGGATAGAGCAGAGTGGCTCAACGGCCTATTGGAGGAGAGATTCACGGCTTGGGGGAAACTGTGATAGATTTGAACGGGCACATACAGGGGCATATGCAGAGAGCGGGCGGATTTGTTGTGAATTGAATATCAGCCGTCATTTGAGTTATAAATTTGCGTCAACAGCTAACCACTTGAAACCTATCTATCGTTGCTTCTTTCTTCCTACATTTGGTGCTTTATCCAGCGGATAATATTCCTCTTCCCACGTTACAAAGCGAACTCCTTCTAGGGCAAGACCAATCCGACGCCACTAAGGGCATTCTCGTCCAGCTGATTCTTCTTGTCGACGCCTCCGGCTATGGGGTTGGCCCTGTAGTTGAAGAGGTAGTAGTGCAGCTGTCCGTCGCCGGCGCCAAACTTCTGCTGCTCGAGGAAGAGGCCGTTGTCCATGAGGGACAGGGCGTTGAAGACGTCGAAGCGGGCCTGCTTGGCGAGGATGAGGGCGTCGTGGACGAGGTCGTTGAGGCGGGACTTGAGGGCGGCCTTGTCGAAGGGCTCCTTGAGGGCCGAGTCGGTGGCGTAGTAGAAGAGGTAGGCGACGCGGATGACGTCGTGTTTGGGGTTGTTGATGGCGGATGACTCGATGCAGTAGAAGGAGAAGAAGTCGGTGATGTTTTTCTCGTCATCCTGCAGTGAAGAAAGAAGAAAGGAACCGTTAGTAAAAGGGGATGGGCTAGTTTTGATGGCACAAGGTGCTTTTTTCTTCTTCTTTTTTTTTCTTACCTCGACGACATAGGACCAGATGTATTGGTCTTGGCCGGCCTCAACCGTTGGGCAGAACCAATGGGTTGCTTCCTCCTTGGACATCTCAGGGGCAATGTCGAATCGGCTCATGTACCGATCCATCAGCTTGACAACGGCTTCGATATCGGCGGGCTTCATCTCACGCAGACCCTTGGTGGAGGTATGGTCCGGGACGGCATACTTGCGGATCTGGTACTGAGGCTTGCTCCCATGGGGCAGGTGGACAAAGTTGCACTCGTACAGCTTCTGCCAGTTGAGCGAGCGGTGGTAGTAGCGGCACGTGCTGACGGGCCTGGGGAGGACGATGCCGGCCGTGTACAGACCCTGCCAGATCTCGTGCAGATTGCTGATGCGGGTGATTTCCTTGATGAGGACGGGGGCCAGGCGCTTGCCTCGAAGCTTCTTGTGGACGCAGAGGAAATTGACTTCGGAGCAGGTGATGACCTTGTTGCGGACTCGCACGCGCACGGGGATGGCGGAGATGAAGGCGACGAGCTTGCGGGACTGGGTGGCGCGGACGCCGACGTGGTAGTGCTTGGCCCAGCCAGGCGGCATCATGGCCCTGGATTTCACGCAGATGATGTTAGTATCTCGTCCTCTCGGCTCAGTAATGGTGTGGCGAGGGGGGGATGCCAGATTCAGGCCAGCTCACCATTTCAGGATGCCAGGTCCGTAGTTGAATCGAAACATGGCTTCGTCGTCCTCAACGTAGTGTCCGTTGAGCAGCTCGTAAATCTCCTTGATCTCCTCGTCATTCGTCAGATCCATCTCTACCCACTCGAACCCAGCCACCAAAGGCGCCGGCTCCTTGGAGATCTCGTCGACCGTCTGGATCTTCAGGGGCCCCTCCTCAACCGTCTTCTCGTCCTCGCCAAACTTGGGCACCGGCTGCGTCTGCCAGAACTTGTACGAGGCCATGTCCTTGACGTTCTTGCCCGCCGCCGCGAGGCCCGTCATGATGTCCTGCAGGTTCATCTTCTTGAGCAGCTCGGCGATCTGGTCCGGCGAAGGATTTGCGCTGCCCGAGGCCTGCGCCAGCTCGCCCGCCAGAGCTGGGTTGAGCGCCATGAGCTCCTGGAGCTGCTGCGGCGTGAGCCCGCCAATGGCCCTTTTCAGGTCCGCCTCGGCGTCGCCCGACTTCCCAGTCAGCACCTCCTTGACCTTCTTCCGCTTGGACTTCTTCTTCTTCTTGGCCGGAGCAGCGCCGGCCACAGAGGCGTCACCGGCCGCGGGCTCGTCATCTTCCTCCTCGGCGTCGGATTCAGCCGCGGCCTGCTTGCCCTTGATGTCGGCGTCGACTTCGTTGACGGCCGGGTCGACCGGCTTGGATTCCTCGGCGGGCATTGTGCTGTAGGGAGCTTTCAGGTCCTGGGCGGCGCGTGATTGTTGCTTTTGCGCAATTCAGGGACGATGCGGAGTGGTGGGGTGAAGCAGCTTGAACCGAGCCTCGAAACCTGTGGTGGGGTTAGACGCAGGCTGGAGGTGACATGTGGTTTCAGGCGTCACGCTGCCTGGGGACAAAGAGCTTTGACTGCTGAATCATGGCTTTTTTGGTTCATTTTCTTTTGAATGACGTGGAGCGTTTAAGCTCTTTTGATAATTTTTATTATTTCATTGGAATAGGTAGACATGAGTGAAAGGAAGTCGTCTAGCAGCTAGAGTAGCTATTAAGCTCGACAAGTCTATGAGTTTGTTGTAAGCCACAATTGGCCTTTTACCACCGTGTTGGGTGTTAACATGGAAGATTTATCTGGGTCTCTGGCGCTCTTGCTAGACCCCAATGTGCAATTTGATATCCTGGAGAAGGACTATTCATTCGTTTGGCCCTCTTTATTTGCTCAATCACTCAAAGCGACGCAATAAAAGCACAGCATGCGGCGAATGTGAACTTGAACACTCGTTTAGATCCCTTACCCTAAAGCGAATCAAGTTCCATTCATTTTGTACCGCACTCAGTAGTTTTGCGATGCTCGCATAATAGGAAATAGTGCAGCTCCTTTCATCAACCATCTGATTGGCGGAGTGCCAGAGTGGTTAATGGGTATGACTAGAAATCATATGGCTTCGGCCTCGCAGGTTCGAATCCTGTCTCCGTCGAAACATTTATTTTTTTGCGCGTTGTTCCTAGCATGATGAAAAGATTTTCTTCTTTTCCGTTTCTCTGCACTCGAATCTCTATATTCATCTTGTGCTCCGCATCTTGACATATAACATCCAATAGGCGGAGTGCCAGAGTGGTTAATGGGTATGACTAGAAATCATATGGCTTCGGCCTCGCAGGTTCGAATCCTGTCTCCGTCGAGCATTTCTTTTTTTGCTTGGTTCCAAGCGAATATTTTCGACCAAGTGGCCCAATGGATGAAATGGTTCGATGATATAATTGCTCGACAATGGATCGTGTGTAACCGCCGTGTTGTAGACCCGTATTCTTTTTTCCTTTCTCGAGAATATTCCTGCGCGGCAATTGCTCACTTGGCTGATGCTTAAACTTTGCTATAAATATTGAGTTATCAGACTCGACTTGTTTCGAACGAGATTGTAGCCCGTAACTCGCTGCGAATATTCAGCCATGCGATGTACCTTCTCTGTGGAAAGGCCATCAATGGTAGGTAGTGCCTTCAAGATCAAACGACCTCATAATGGCCAAGCTGACTGGCGCAAAATTCAGAATCTCATTGTGTCCTTTTTGAGTAGTTAGCGCTGCGAGCCAATTCTCGAATATGATAACATACCGCCGTAGGGAAATAGCTCTTGACGAATTATAATGTCGTTGCCTGTCTTCCATGTAGTCACAAAGGAATCATTGCTGGTTCGAACTGTGCAAGACTCTTTCCAAGTGTCGAATTCATCATCATCTAGGATGCCAACCGTCTCGCTTGCGGCAGCGCGAAACATCTTATTGTCCTCCGTCCAGGGGATGTCCTTATCATTCTTTGCATGCACCAAGCTTATCCTCAATCTGTTTCTGGTGTGGCGGACGATATTGACGAGCCTGTCGGCCGAGTGCCACTTGTCCACGAGGACCCTGTCGAGAACACGATGGATCGAGGGATAGATGGCGAATGGCCCAAGGGCGGGTACGAGCCCTCCGAAACGATAGCCGCTCAGCATCGTGGCCAAGTCGCTGAAGGCGGCAACCAGCACGATACCCGCAAATTCAACCCCCTGAAGGGCATACCGTTCGGCGACACCACTGACAACCGCGGTTCCGAGGCTGTGGCCGAGCAGAACGATCCGATTCGGGGGAATGTTTGCCACGTTGATTGCCCAGTCGACCACCGCAGCGGCATCTAGTATCAGGCCCTTTTCGTCGGGCACGCCAGTGGAATGGCCGAAGCCGCGGTAGTCAATGGCCAGAACGTGGTAAGATGACGTATCAGTCAAGGCATGATAACTAGCTGGCCGAAGATTTTGGGCAATGTGACCGGCGTTCTGCATTCCATGGTTTGGTTAGCTGGGAGATTTGGAGTCCAGAATGACAGGAAGGGCATGAAAGTATCGGGGGCGGCTTACACCATGAACTGTCAATCTCCAATTAGCACAAATCTTTTTCAATGTATTTAGGGTATGGGATGGACTTGCATGTTATAATGAGTCTGGCCTCTGGATCGTTTGCTAGCAGCCGAAAAGATTCGGTCTGAGTGAAATCTTTACAGAACCCTAGGTCCTGTGTTGCCACTGTGGTTTCATGCTGCAGATATAGAGGCAGCGGCATGATGTGCCAAGCATAGATTGTCTCTCCATCAGAGGTTGGTAATCCAAAGGGTGTTACTTGGTTTTCTACGTGATATCGGAGCTGTTAGATGCGTGAGTCCCCCCAATTGGGATTGGATGCGCTGGAGTACGAACTGGCGAAGCCCCAGCCTACTGGGGCGTTGATATCCGACCACCATAACGAATTGACGGCATGGGCATATAGAAAGCTGTAAACGTGTACACGCCAAGTAAGACCGAGTGACTTTGACACTGAAACAAATCAATGAAATGCATTGATCACTTACTGCCTCTGGAAGAACGGGATCACGCCCAGTGCTATGAGAGCGATATAGAAGGCGAGCGGTGCGGCCGCCACGCCGATGGAAGCCCACAAGATAGGATGCAAGGGAACCGCCATCTTACAGCGCACAACGGCTGCCTCCCTTGCGTCTGGGGTCGATAATCGGTGTCGGAAAGCCGCAAAGATCCCAGCACAGGCGTTTGACGTGTGCGGGTGATGATGAATCAGTTGAACCCGGTGGGGGGTTTTTCGTAAGCGGATCTTCAACATTCCGCCGTCTATTACCGCTCCGGAGACAAGATGCGCCATACCGCGCTCCGTGGCGGTTTATTCTCTCAGCATCTTGATAGGCAAGATGTTGCGATTGTTCTCGCTCTATTGCCCTCTTTTTTTTGATTGCCAATTCTTGATGCAGCGCATGAATTTCATCAACGGATGCGGCGCTATCACATTGCAGCTTGCATTTGGTCATCTGCAGGTTTGACACCCTTTCACGGACGAGGGACTTGGGCGCGGGTGTTAGTGAGGCTTGAGCAGTATCCGGCTGTGCCCATGTACGAGTAGTGGCTAAGTGGAAGCGCCATTAAGCTTTTGAATACATATTGATTCGAGTGGATGGTCTACGGCGTATCTGAGATAAAAGTTCAAGTCTATGCAGCAAGAAAGCATAGAAATAATGACACCAAGTTCCCCATGTTGGTCGGCAGATGTGTTGGTGGAAGGCGGTGGTGCAGGGGCTGGCATCCACGAGATTCACCCTGCCTAAAGGCCCTGCCACACCGAGGCCAAGACGCAATTCGTATCCCAGCCCGTTATTTGCCGCTACACGCAAACTTGAGACATCTTGGGCAGTACAAGGCACGCCGGAGATGCCAACCGAAGTCCAGTGCGGCCATGAGCGACGTTGGGCACTGGTGGCTGCAGGCCGTTGAGGCTCAGTAGGATCTGCATCCTGCTCGCTCAACAGTGCTCGAGTCAGTATATCCGTATCCATTGTATCAATATCTGCTCAGTGCTGTGCTGTCGGGTGTAGTCCATACTACTAAAGGTCCATGCTTGGCTACCTATGTAGCATCAATCAAATCTCCAGCTATTTGATGACGAGATGATGCAGGTAAGCCCTCGCGGCTCCCATACCGAGTCATGGACTCAAGGCTCTGCGTCAGAACGAGCCAGCCACTACGACGATCAACTCCGGATTGCCTTTCGCAGTAAACTCTACTGCACTCGTGCGGCGACAGAGGCAACAGTTGGAAGTTGTACCTCGCATTTCAGCACTGTGGCTCCTCGAGTCCAGAGCGGATAGCGCTGCAACAGCCCGCCAATCCCGCGACGCGGACAGCCAGCCCCGGTGCTCTAGCGGACCAATCACGCCCCTGTTGCAGAAAGCTCGATGGCACTGCAGCGCATACTGGGGATCCACAGGGCTCTAGCGACCAACTAACGGCCGGGCAGCTTCCAGGATTTATGCCAACCTTTGGAACCTCTCTGGCCTGCTTCCACCAGTATTTTTCATCGCATTTGCCCTCTGCGCAGCATCGCGGCTCTTTTCTTCCCCATTGCAACGCCAGCAGCCTGGCCTCTTCCCCTCAGGCCGCTTGCTGCTCTCGCATGGCGCTCTTACGAGTATGATGCTGACCCGTCGCCCATCGCCTGCCGCAGCCGTGTAAAACCGCCTCGAGACGCGATGGAGAAGAAGCGGAAGCTCCCCGCGAGGACTTCGGCCCGCGTTGAAAATGCCAACAAACGCCGGAACATGACACCGCGAGCGGAGCGTTCTGCGACTCCTCTTCCTCCTCCTCCTGATCCCGAGCCCGTCAAGGAGCCGTCTCCATCGCCTCCGCCGCCTCCGCCGCCGCTGCCAACCTCGATCCAGCCCGGAAAGCCGCTGCCAACGGTCGAGGTAGCGCAACCTGACGACTTGTCGGCCAAGGAATATCAGTCCATCTCCGAAAGGCATGTGTACCGTGATTTGTCAACAGTCCGCTATTGCTAACTTGCGTTGGTATCCGACAGTGGCGTCCTCGCAGAATCTCTCTCGCGGTCTCGATATCGATGGATTAATGATGGACTCTTCGAAAAGTTTTGGACGAAACCTCATAAGCGAAAGGGCGTCCTCAACGAAGACCCGAAGAACCCTCCAAAGGACAGTATGACCAAGATTGGCCCCGTTACAATCACCATAGAACCTCACATTGTCGAGGCCACCATGTTCATCGTCAAGGAATCCAAGCAACGTCCCCCCCCGCCTCGGACACCACAGCAGGCACCAAAGCCGTCGCCAGTGTCTCAAACGCAAAGTCCTGCGCAACCACTGTCGCAATCACAACCACAGCCGCTCGCCCGTCCGGTACTTCAGTATGGCCCTCCAAATGGCTCCATGCCTCCCCCGCCTGCGCCTGGATCGTCGACCTCGACCTCAGTTCCTACCGCGGCTACCACACCAAAGCCCATTGCTCCCCCGAGTCCTTCCCTGAGGCCGCCGTCGTCCTCGCCCAGCACTTTGGGACCTCAGCCCTCACCCTCGCCGCTTACGACCATCAACGTAGCCACGTCACCATCGCCTAGCCCGGCAGTGTCTGCTCAGACTGCTGCTCAACCCCCTGTGCCTCCACCTTCACTTCCAGCTGCTACTCCCCCACCTCCGATTCGACAGCCCGCGAATCCCCTTCCAGCGCAGCACCAGGCTCCTACAGGCACGCCATTGGCAAGGCCCCCACCGCCGCCACCCCCGACCGCGACCGCGACCACGACGGCTCACGCTCGGCCGGCCAATGCTGGGCCAGCTCAGTCTCCAGCTGCAGTGAAGCCTGCAACGCCGGTTGCAGGGCGCCCTCCTGCAGCAAAGCCCGTCCCTAACGATCCAGTCATTGCCCTGCTCGCCCAAAAGGCGTCAGGAGACCCTGAGCTACGTGATCTTATGAAGAGGGTCGCCGTGGGCCAGGCCAAACAGGGGGAACTTGATCGCTTCCAAAAGATCATCGATCAGCTAAATGCCGAGTATCGGCGGAGTGGTGGGCAACAGGGCCCCTCGGCTGATAGGCTGCTGGTGGATGGAAGGACTGTCAAGTATTTTGCTGATGAAGTGCGGACTATTCTCGACATTGTCTTGGCATCCAACCCTCGCCAAACATCAAGCGAGCTAAGGCCACCGCCCAGGAGTGATCCTTTGGTCGTTTTGCTTGTGAAGGCTGCCTTGGAGGATCAAAAGACGAGCGATATGATTCGGCGCATTGCCGAAGGACGTGCCGGCTTTACGGATTCAACAGACCTCAAGGAGATTCTCGACCGGCTCCACAGAGATGCAAAGCCTCCTCTGCAGACACTCCCCGCATCTCTCCCCGCAAAGCAGTTGTCCAATGATGCTCCCAATGGACATATGCGAGCTTCGAATCCCCCAACGCCCCAGCAGGCAAATCCCCAGGCACTGAGGTCGAAGGGACCCCCACCTGTTCCGAAGCCTGACATTTCCGCGGTGGTGTTTGATTTTGGAAACGGCGATCGCTATCTATTTCCCAAATTCAGCATCCTGGAATACCTGCCTACCCCGTCCGGCCAGGAGGTAGTTGCATCATTCCTCATTGTCCGCAAAGGAAGCACATCAGAGTATGGCGGAGATCCTAAGCTGGACTATTATCAACCCGTTACAATACGTATTTCTACACACGTTGGGCGCTACCTTGAAAACCTGATGCGCGTCGTGGCCCCTCAGGATGAGGTACGGCGGTATATGGACGATGTCATGGACAATATGACACGCGCCGAGTACGTCCTACTGGCGATGCACTTGCCCAGAGTGCCCAGGGACGAAAAGGCAAATGGCGTGCCTGATGAACCCAAGACCAATGGATCAACAACCAAGGTCGAGGCAGAGTCTGACCACACTGTAGAGGTGAAGCCGTCTGTTCTTTGGACCAAGACGGCCAATACTAATAAGCGGTTTGATCTTCTCAAGCCACACGACGCCGAGGAAGAGAATGAAGCTAAATATAAGCGCCTCATTCAATCAGTAACGGCCAGGGATTGCTAGAGACTGAGCGTTTGACGTCTCCAAGACTGCATAGAGTTGTTGGGTAACGAGCGCTGTGCACGCTAGAACTATGGTTTGTTTTGTTATTTTAGATGCTTCAAAGACATGCATTTCGCGGAGCGGGAGAAAGGGGTCTGGAGTATTGGATTGGCACGGAAGATACGGATACTTTTCCATATGACGTCTCATATGGCAACTGTAAGATGCTTTCGGCCAGGTTTTCTTGAAGATTTTGCGCGGTAGTATGAGTATGGGTATGAGTAAACGAGGCGAACTGGCTGAAATTTATTATGCATCATTTCTATCACGAACGAACATGAAGCACGGAAATGAACGAAATAGAAAGCAATAAAAAAAAAATCCAAAACAGAACCACCTCTGAAGAGGTGTGGCGGATCTCTCCCGCCGGGAATTGAACCCGGGTCTCAAGCGTGACAAGCTTGCATACTGACCACTATACTACGGAAGATGTCTCAGGCGTTGAAGCGCCTGTTGTAGGTGGTTGGCTCTTGGAAGAGGAGCAGTGTTTATTTTGTCTATAGAGGTAGCGCACTGGAAATGTGGATCCACGCCTACATGTCAAACGAGGTATACCGCATGTATCACCAAATTGGTGACGAGTTTCCTTTAGATATTCAGCACATGGACATCTCTTCTTCAATGGCGATTCTTTGATAAAATGACCAAAGGGCGGAGAAAGGGACAAAAACCGGGCCATACTTCATGCATTGAATCCTACAGGTACTTGCCATCCTGCGTGCTGACTCAGCAGAGAAACGGTGACGTGAACGACACTCATTTGTCGGCGCCATGGTTTCATGGCTGCGTCTCCCTAAACTCAGAATAAGTGCTAGGCAGCCAACTGTGTTCAGACGTCAATCCATCTATCAATCAATGTAACTCTAGCATATGCAACCATTTCATCCGTCCATTCAATTGAATCCCCTTGCGTGTTTTTTGTGATACCCTGCCTTGAAGCCTAACCAAATGAATCTTCGCTGAGTCTCTCTGCTCTTTCGCCATGGGTCAAACCCCTTCCCAGACGCGGCCTCGACGAACGCCTGAGCAGCTGACGCTGGAGCTCGTGAGCATCACAGCATCCAAAGCCGCCCAGATGCATGTTTGCTGATGTTTTTTTTTTTTTTTTTGGCAGGCATACAGGTTCAAGGAAAAGTGCTTTACCTCGATTGAGTATTACTCGCTGAAGGATGTCTTCAAGAACCTTGCGGACCAGCAAGGCGACATTCGCTACCTCAAAGAAGACACGATAGCCCGGTTCCTGGAGATCCCAGACATCCTTGGGGCCTCGCCTGTGATTTTCCACATGGTTTCGTATCTTGGTGCCTTTCCTTTTCTGCACGAGGCGCCGGTGGTGCTTGAGCTTGCGCAGTTGATCATGGTCGTTGTCATCATGACGGAACGGTATAAACGGGTGCTCGCCAAATCAGCAGACAGGACAAAGCTTCTGTTCAAAAGCCTGGCTGTATACGACCGAAAAGTGACCGAGACCGAGCACACGCCGCAGAGTTCCGCTTCAGATGACGCTGCTGCAAAGCCAAATGCTCAATTCAAAGGGTTCGCAGTCGACCAGCCTGGCCTGGATGATGAATTTGAGGGCGATGAGGAAGATGAAGATGACCTGGTCCTAACGGCTTTTGAGCTGCTCGATATTAATGAAGCTGCTAAGCGCGGTGATGTCTCCACCATTCATGAGGCCATTATTCCAACCGACAACCTTCGGAAAATAATAATGCTATTGCTGTTAATTGCACCGCTGGATCCACAAGAGAGTTTGTCGCAGTATTCTAGCCGTGTCGCGGGCCACGAGCTGGAGCTGCTACGGGCCACGGCAGAGTGTGTATTGGCCTCCTTCGTCAATGTCGAGACCTCCCCTGGCATTGGATATACCCGATTCAAGACTGTCATTCCAGTCCTGTTTCCCAATCTCTTTGCTGGGTTCAATGGGCTGTTTGAGCATTTTCTCTTTTCCAAAGACCTTGACTTTTCTAAGCACAAGATCGAGAAACCCGGTGATGCATCACTTATCAGCAAGACAGCACAACCTCTGCTGCCGTCTCCCGGCGAGATTCTAAACGAGCACACCCTATCGCAGCTTTCGCTATTCTTACCTGGCTCTTCACTCTTTCGGAGGGTGAGGTTACTATACTCGGGAAACGATGCTGGGTTTTCAATGGGCAGCCTCGAATCCAAAATCTTCAACTGGAGGGCGCCAACGATTCTTTTGGTGAGCGGATCGAGATTAGCAGACACCCCCGACGGTGGACAAGAAGCGTCGTTTGCGGCTTCACTTCCAACCAAAAGATTCCCTCATGGCAGCAAATCCGAGCGTGTGACGTTTGGGGTCTACATCAGAGAGCCCTGGAAGCATACTCACCGAGAGTGCTTCGGCGACTCGGAAACAGTTCTTTTCCAGCTGGAACCTATACACGACGTCTTTGCCGCCTCTACGATAAATACAGACTACGTTACTTTCACGAAACCTCCTGGGAATCGACCGTGCCTCTCCTTTGGCTGCCCTCATCCTAAGCCGACACAGTCGCATCGCAAGGAAGGCATGCATGCTCTGGGGGCTGTTTCTCTACTCTTTGACGAATCTTTCGAGTTTGGAGTATTTAACCATGACTATAAGTCAAGAGGTGGTGCTTTCCACACCAGCATCGTGCGAAAATTTGACTTTCAAGACCGGTTCCGGATCGAGAACCTGGAGGTTTGGGGATGCGGTGGTGATGATGAGGCAAAGGCGCAAGCCGAGAGATGGGCTTGGGAAGAGAGGGAAGCTGAAGCGCGCCGCAGAATCAACCTAGGAACAGGCGACATCGAGGCAGATAGAGCATTGCTGGAAATGGCCGGTCTAGTAGGCGGCAACCGAAGTGGTGGCTCGATGGGCTAAGAGGCACGGCATGATGTTGATGGATTTTGTTTCTTGTTTGCTGGCGGCTTGATGTGATGTACAAGATTCCCCTTTGATCTGCAATAGATGCCAATGGCAGCATATAGAACACAGAGAATGATGCCTGGCGCAGCCGCCGAAGGTGTTTCTTTCATTTTGGGGTGTAAAACCAGAGTAGGGGTGCGTCAGCCAACCCCCATATGTTAGACTATCGTACATGCTCATAAAATTTTGAGAAAGGAATTTATACATGTTTCTTTTCTTCCTCCTCCACGTCGTCTGACCGTCAACAAAAGACGCTTCATTTCTTGGAGTCATCATCCTTCTTCGATCCATAGAGTTCACCCAGCGCTCCGAGTGAGCTTTTTGGGTTCTCTTTCCTCGCCTTCTTCTCCGGTGAAGATTCTTCGGCGGCTTGAGCCTCTGCAGCAGCCTTTTCGCCCTTTGACCACAATCCCATCTTGCCCAAAACGCCTCCAGTACCTTGCGTCTGCGCTTCAGCAGCAGGAGCGGCTCCTGTTTGTTCTGATTGTCTCTGCTTTATTGCCGCTCTCATCGCCTTGTCCTCTTCGTCACGGACCTCGAGCTCGTGGATCCATCGCTGGCGCTTCTCCTCCGAATCTCGTTCCTCCTTGAGCTTGCGCAGCTCCTTTGACTTTTCGCGATCCTTGTTGTAGTACATGCTTCCTGCGACCATGGCGATGACGGTGAAGCCCTGGGCGGCGACACGGGCGCGGAACATCTTGTTTGCTTGCCTGGAGTCGCCTCTTCGGAGGGCGCGGTAGGCATTGACGAAGGCGAAGACGGTCAGACCAATTCCTGTATGCGCGCTGGTTAGTCAATGGTCCGGTGGTGGTGTGCGATCATCATTGAAAGGCATTGGGATTTACCGAGAGGCACGAGGGGTTCTTCCTTGAGCTTGCGCTTGACCTTTTGCATCGGACCCTCATTGTAGAGCTCCCTGAAGCTGCATGTTAGCTGGTTTGTAGCCTATCGAGTGCCGGGATCAACGCACTGGTCGTCAAAGGACGAGGGCATCTGCCCGGTGAATTCCGGCGGCCGGCCTGCCATGATTGGGAAATAAATAGCAACGATGTGGTGAAGATGGAGAGTCGAGTTTAACAGAACAGCTTCCGAGAATCTTTAGAAGCTGCGTTAAAAATCCATCAATCCTGCAGAAACCAAAGCTATATATCCGGACACAAGTTTTGTTCGATGACCACACGACTGCAAAACCGCACCACGGCCCCTCACCTGCGTCAAGGGTCGTAACTTTCGGATCGGTCGCCGACGCTTTGATAGGTGGGATGTGAGCGCTAGCCCGCTTTGCTTAAAGAGCTACGGACCGCTAGAGCCTCTGTGGCTGGAGTCGGCTTGCTGTAAACATGGGATGTGTTGCAGCTGCGACTGATTTCTAACGCGGCCTCGTTTTCTGCCTGCTACACCAAACTCTTCAGAAGCCAAAACTCAGCAAGCTTGACTCAACGTCCCGGCCGGTGCGACCTGCAGCAATTCCGGATTTCAAGTGAGAGCGGCACTCATCCCTCAGCTGCCGCGCTCGTGCCAATACCCGTCCAACTGCCGCCTCTCTTCAACCCTCTTCGACCACCCACCGTTGCTACTACAGCGAAACATCCGCCCTCTCCCAAGCTGGTGGCCACGATGCTACAACAATAGCCATGTGGCTTTCGACTCCATCGGTCGAGTCTCTGACCCGGCCGCGAATCGCCGTCGCTCTCGTTTCGGCCATCGCCACAGCTTCGATCGGATACTACGCCTACCAGAACCGCATCAACAGTGCGCAAGAGGCTGCCCTACCCGGCGGCGGCCTCCACAGAAGCAACGCCATCCGCCGTAGCCGACGACGATCTCGCGGACATAGACCGAGCTCGAGCTCTTCCTCTTCAGATGTCCCCGGCGACGAAAACGCTGAAGTCGCCGATAATGCTGAAAATCAAGATGTCCCGGCCGCCCAGCCTGTAGGTGATGGCGAGACCGTCGTAGATGCTAATAATGATGAATGGTGGAACGATCCTAACAATTACCCTCCCCAGCAGCGAGCTGGCCACAATATCGTCAGCCTTCTGTTCCGCGTCTCGGAGGACAATGCCAAACGAAACGGCTGTGTCCACAGAGGATGTCAGTGCAATTCATGTGGCATGGTTCCCATTCGGGGTGTTCGCTACCGATGTGCCAATTGTGCCGACTTTGACCTCTGCGAGACGTGCGAATCCCAAGGCGTACACATCAAGACACACATCTTTTACAAAATCCGGATACCTGCCCCCCCGTTTGGTCCCAGGCAAATGCAGCCGGTATGGTATACAGGAGATCCTGACAGTTGTAGGCGTAATTTGCCTAGACCTCTGATCACCAAACTCACAAGAGAAACGGGATTCGAAAGGCCAGAACTCGAGGCATTCTGGGAACAGTGGACGTTCATGGCAAATACTGAATGGAGAGACGACCCCAGTGATCTTGGCATAGCCATGGATCGCAAGACATTTGAGCGATGCCTTGTACCGACGGGTGGCTCGCGTCATGCATCTCCAAATTTGATTCATGACCGGATGTTTGCCTTTTATGACGACAACAAAGATGATCTAATTGGGTTTTCCGAATTCCTACGTGGGTTATCCTATCGCAAACGCAAGGATAAGCTGAAGAAAGTCTTTGATGGATACGACCTTGACAGTGACGGCTACGTTGACAGGCGGGACTTCCTTCGCATGTTCCGAGCATATTATGTCTTATACAAGCAAATGCACAAAGATATCTTGGACGGTCTCGAGGATCAGCTTCTTGCTAGCTCTGAGGCTCAACAGTTAGTCGCTAGTCGCCAGCCCCTGAGCAGCCTGTTCGGACGTGAAGGGCGAGTTCCGACAGCCGACGGCCCTCTGGCATTTAGCGGTAAGAATTTTTATCCCGATGGTCACGTTGAACTGGAGCCTGGAATGGAGGAAGCCGTTGTACGCGACAGCAGCGACACGGCCGACCGAGATGATATTCTGACCAACCTCTTTGCTTACGACACCGACCCGTATTCGCGTCGACGGATGCCACCCACGGATGATGTTGACACCAACTGGCGTACGGTCCGCACCCTGACCGCCAATGATGTTGACAGATCGTACTTTTTGGCTTTGATGCACCCACCTGCTACCCTCGATGAGCTGCCCGGAGCAGTCGCGGGTAACCACGAGCCTGACGATAACGCAACGGACGAGACATCGGAAGACGGAACAACTGACGATAAGGAAGCAGATGAGGATCATGATAATGATAACCTCGAATCTTCCGGATCGCAGCGGCACGACTCCTTTACAAGTATTTTCCGGACGGATAGAAACCCCACCGAAAGCGAAATCAGAGCAAGCTATGTATCCCACTATCGCCAGCATGGTCCCAGAATGACCAAGCGACGCAAAGACATGGCTCGACGGCAACTCCATGAACGGTGGAAGAGGAGACACTTCTACCTGGACGAAGAAGAAGGTGGAGAGGCACCATCGCAATGGGAAGATGAAGAAGACATCCTTGAGACATCTGGCATCATGGGCGAAAGCTCAAAAGGAGCTAGCCCTCATCGCACATCAACGCACTCACGCTCCAGTTCCAAGGTCAGATTTGCAGAAGATGCCAGCGATTTGGAGTCTGGGTCCAACAGTTCGGAGTCTTATACAAGCCAGCCTGGACGCTCGACGTCCTTCACAAGCCAGCCGGAACGCTGGGCGGGGCTGGGAATTCCTGTTGCCGAAAAAGATGCCGGTAAGGAGGTCCTATACCAGGTCACACAGCAAGCATTCAATGAGCTTCTCGACATCATCTTTAAACAAGCCGAGGACCTTGCGGTCCAAGCAGCCGCAACTAAGGAGCAACGAGTAAAGTACAAGGCTGCCGTCGATGCCGTAAGTCTGGCGGATGAAAAGGCGGAAACCGGCAATGGCAGCCAGCAGGAAGATGTAACAATTTACACAGAGGCGTCTCCCCGAAGCAAGACGCTACAGGAACTCCTAGAAGAATCGGGTTACATGCTCGACCAACAGGAGCCTAGGAATGCTGTGGAGATCAGTATCGTTGAGGAAATCTTACGAGAAGACCCTGCTGTTGAAGCTGCTGAGCACTCTTCGGATCAGGGCGAGAGCGAGACTGAATCCGAGTCTGAGCCTCAACCCGAGACCGAAGACGAATACCGTGACCCTACCTTGCCACAGTTCCGCCCAAATAGCGATGCACCAGTCTCTATAAGCCAGGCACCGTCTTCTTCCCCCAAACGGAAGGACAAGGAGCCCTCTAAGGAGGAAACCCGACCGGCCTCGGCCAAGCCATCAGCTGCAAAAAAGATGTCGAGTGAACCATCGCCCAAAACTTTGCGGAGGTGGAAGAAGTTGAACATGGCCGAGCAGCAAGCAGCTGAGCGAGGAGGTTGGGGTAGACTCAACTTTGCAGAGTTTGAGGAGATTTACAAGAACCAGGAGCACCAGGGTAACAGACTGGATTATCTCGGCAGCTGGATAGACTTTTGCATCCCTTAGGTGAGGAGAAGGAGCACGCACGTATTCGTACAATACCTATACGCTTGGAGATGTAGATTCTCTTCCTCCAGCACCCGCAAGTAGTGAGGGAATCCGGAGGTATTGGGTATTTTTTTTCTCTACGGGCCACCTGTATATTAGAATCATCAGCGATGCCAATTTAGGATATCAGCGGATAGCGGATAAAATGAACACAACAACATCATGAAGATTTTCTTTCTGTTTCCTCTGAATCAAGCACGACCGCTCATCTTTTCTTTCAAGGTTGAGTCGGGACGCTCCTTTCTTTGCTTCTCCAAGCCACTTGCGACGAATTCAAAGGGGGAAAGTTCACAGGAGACAACATTTAATATTGTGATCTACTCTCGGCCTATTTTCATGATTTGTACCATCAACATATTTCCTCGGACCGCCAACTGTGAGCTCAAGCATCACCGCTCCAACTTATTTTACTTGCTCACCTCTTTCCATACGCTCGTTTGAAGTCTACGCAAGTCATTCTATCAAATCAAACAACACACCGCAGCAAACAAGCGAAAATGGCTGAACCAAAACCGCCGTCAAGAGAGCGTCAACGTCAAATGGCCCAAATTGCAAGGGACAACCGAACGATTTTCACGCAGATCAGAGCTTTTTTTCGTGCTCCTGAGACGATCGACACCTTACTCATCCTGAACGTGATATCGAAGTTCTTCATGGTGACCGCCGTGGTATTCATGTGGGCGCGGACGAGACCGTTGGGGTCGTTTGGGCGAAATGTTTTAGGTGGGCATATCTTCTTCTCTCCTTTTGTTTGCGCTGATGGGGCATGGCGGTTCTCTGAAGACAAAAATCTGATCAAGTTTGATTGTGTTTCTGTATGTCTGTGTCTAACTCGTGCTGGTTCTGTAGCATTCCTTACCGTGAGCGACATTGGTATTACGCAGCTTTTGTGGGAGTTCAATGATCTACAGTCTGTGTCCCCTGTTGTTCACCCTGTGAGGTATGAAGCTGATGCTGATGGTTGTCTTTGGCAGATCTTGGAGACTCGATCCCCCCCAGAACGATGTGGCTATTCAGGCCGAGCCCGAGAACATCAAGATGACAAGGGTTGTGGTAGAACGAGAAGAAGCTGCTGCTGCGCTGCCATCTTTGGAATTCGTGGGAGTGAGGAGTCTACGAGCTATTGAGGAGAGAAACCGACTTCCGAGAGTTGCAGTACAAAGTGATGCTCCTCCTGCGCCGCCTTCATTCGAATTTGAGAGGGCAAGACCGCGACCTGTTGGGCAGAGCGCTCTCCATCCAAATGTTGGCGAGGAGACTCACGTTAAGAAGAAGACAGGACCAAGGGTTACCTTTAAGCTGCCTGTTGTCAAGCCCGAGACGCCTCCGGGTACCGAGGGGGAATCGGATGCTGCTTCTTCGCTGCCCTCTTACGACTCCGAGACAACTCCATCGCCTCCAGATTCTGAAGAGTCATTGCGCGCTCCTTCGCCTCCGGATTCCGAAGAGTCAGTGCGCACTCTTTCGGTGTCTTCTCTCAGGTCCGACGCGTCTACAGCGATACCAGAGGTTGCAGAGGAAAGTTATTCTTCTGATACTGCTCTCAAGTCCGCTATAGCTAGGACGATATCAAAGGTTGCAGAGAGAAGGAAATACGTTTCGGAGCCTTCTCTCAGGTCCGACGCATCTACAGCGGTATCGGAGGCTGCAGAGGAAAGAGATTCTGCGTCAGAGCCTCCTCTCAAGTTCGGCACAGCTGCAACGATATCAGAGGTTTCAGAAGAAGCTGCTTCTGCTTCTGCTTCTGAGCCCGCTCTCAAATCTGGTGTAGTTACAACGATATCGGAGGTTGCAGAGGTTAAAAATTCAGCTTCAGAACCTTCTCTCAAGTCGGAGGTCACAGGAGAAAAATGTTCTGCTTTGGAGCCTGCTCTCAAGTCCGGTATAGCTGCAACACTACAAAAGATTGGAGAGAAAAAAGCTGCGGATTCCCTGCTTTCTCAAAAGTTCGACACCGTCGTGACGGAACAGGAAGTTGAAGAGGAAAGCCCCCGTGCAGGAAGCAATCTACGCAATCTCTGGGGCAAGGTCAAAGGCTTGAAGAAGAGCAGTGGCCGGAGGCAGAGCAATGACCGGAATAGTGGCCATGGCCAGAATCAGGGCAGCAACCGGAACAATGGCCGTGATTGGGCCCATGTCAATGATTCCGGCGGCCAGAGTGACAGCAACCATGACTGGGACGCTATCAAGGAAAATCCTGACCCCTCGAAGGACGATACGCCCAAAGATTCTTCCGACGACTGAGTAGTCTACACAAAGCTCCCCTGACGTGTGTATATGGCCAACATGAGAGCGAATTTGGTAACACAGCGGATGATTTATACAGCGTAGGTAGTTGTCAGAAAGTAGAGTTATCATTCGTTACTCATGCAATAAGCTGCTTCATCTCTTGGTGGAACAGACTTGTACTAATTATATCCCAAACGCCAGCGTGATGATTCTTGCTTTTCCCTCTCACACGCTCCCAATCCTACCAACGCCGTTCTGTATGAATGAATCCCTAAATAATATTACACAAGACCAAGTTCAAGACTTATACATCTGTTCTGTCCAGCGCCTTGACAAGGATGTAGCTCGTTCCGGCAGCCAAGACGCCTATTATCAGCGTTTGGATAGCGCCCCATAGACCGGCCCTGTGATTCCGAATCGCGACATAGTTCTTGACGTATCCAAAGCCCAGGAGGATGACGACGGTGACGGCAATGGAGACGAAGAGGGCGTCGGCAACCTTGTTCATGACGAAGTAAGGGATCATGGGGATTAATCCACCAACAAAGTAGCTCAGGCCCATGGTGACGCCGGAGACCCAGGCGCGGTGGATGTTTGGCTTCTCGAGACGCAGGGAAAAGTCCATGCGGAAACGAATCCACTGGTCGCGGCTCTTGCACAGCTCGTCGACGAGCGGGGCGGCGGCCTCGCGGGAGACGCTGTACTTTTCCAGGATGCAGAAGATGTCGTCGCGCTGCTCCTGGGGCAGGGAGCAGCCGGCCTGTGTGAGCTGGCGCTTCTCCTCGGAGTCGTAGTGGTCGCGCTCGGTGACGGCGGCGAGGTAGGCGCCCAGGCCCATGCTGATCATGCCGGAGAAGAGCTCGGCCATGCCGCCCATGATGACGAGCTTTGTGCTGCCGAGGCTGGAGAGGCCGGCCGTGAGGGCGAAGGGGACGGTGAGGCCGTCTGAGAAGCCGATGATGACGTCGCGGAGGACGTCTGTGAGGTCCATGCTTGAGGAGACGGATGAGGTGATTGAGGATGAGTCGGGTTGGGTTAGGTATTTGGTGCCCCAGGGCTGCTCTGTGGCGGGCTCTCTGGGTATTAGAGGTGATGATTCTGAAGGTGGCTGAGACATGGTTTTTTTCTTGGTGCGAAGTTTTCTTATATGTTGTAGTTGGTTGTTGTTGTTTCGTTGCAGAAGACGCCTTGAATGTGTTAAAGTCCGGTTGGTGAAAACAGTTCCTCGAGATGATTGATATGGGAGCTGTGAAGAGCAATGGCTAAGCAGGGCGATGTGAAATAGAGCTGAACGTGTGTTGTCAAGGCGAGCAGGAGATATTTATTATTATCATGAGATCTGGGTTCGTGAGATCGAGGCGGCCCCCTAAGAGATCGGTAGTTGCGTATTTATGGAGCAGCCTTCGCAATCCGCCCGCAGGCCGAACCAATCGCTGGGCTTGTAATTTGAAATCGCCGCGCCGGAGTTATCTGGAAAGGATTGAAGCGGTCGAACTTTGACTTGAGCTGCTGCTGGAGCTGTTCGGTCTCACTGACATGGGCGAGATGGGATTCTCAGACAAGAAGCGCGGGCCAATCAGCGTTGAGGGTTTAGTCAGCAACGAGTAACCAATTGCCCGATCGGGTAGTGACAACGCTTTCCAAGGCGGGCCCTTGTACCTCCGCTCTCCGTGAGTTGTGAATTGTGTACGAGATGGAAATGTATCCCCTTTGTTCTTTTGATTTCTTCTTTTTCTCTTCTTCATCTCCTTTATCAAAGACTCAGGGGGCGAAGGAATCTCGGGGAAATGACGTCTGACAAAGTCCCTCGTAGACCGAGCTGGAGGATTCGTCAGATGCCCTGCGGCGTGAATATGCCGTCCGCAAAATCGCCACCCGCAGGCCAACTCCGAACCCCGAGAGTATATGGGCTCATACTTGCTCGCATTGTCCGTTGCATAACAACCAATGCCGAACATGTATTTCATAAAGGATTTGCCCTTCGTCACCTGTCGAATTATTACTTTGTTGGCAAATTCTCCGGCCACACCAAAAGATCGTCCAGAGTGAAGAGCGGACAGGCATTCGAGGCTGACGCTTCTGCGCAATCGGCTTTCGCGTCGAGGGCCAGGGCATCGTTGAGAAATCCAAAGTCAAAGTCCATATCGTCGAGGTTGACCAGGTCGAGCTGATCTGTCCAGCTCAACCCACTCTCGCTCCCAGTCCCGGGACTCAAGCTGGCGGCCATGTCTCGCAATGTCTTCAAGTATTCCACGGGGGTGATGCCCACGCACTTTTTGAAGACGCGGTGGAAATGCCACTTGGACAGACCCGTCTTCTTCGCCATTTGACTCAGGCTCATCTTCATTTCCCCCATATCCTGGTTCCCGTCGCTGACAGCCTGATGATGCCGCACAAAAGCCCGAATCTTTTGCACTGCTTCCTCCTCAGGCATCAGGCCCAGCACCTCGGGCTTACATCGCTTGCAGGCTCGAAAGCCGTTCTGCTTGGCCTCGTCTCCCGTGGCGTAGAAACGCACATTTGCACGGCGAGCCAGCCTAGCTTTGCAGGTTGGGCGGCAGAAGACCTTTGTGGTGCGGACTCCGTAGACAAAGAAGCCGTCGGCGTCGGGATCGCGTGACTGTACGGCTTGCCATTTCGAGTCGTCGTCCATGAAGAGGGGGGTGGGAATTCCCACGGCTGGCAAACCCATGATTGCTGGTATATGCGCGTTTAGATGTTGCCGACTGTAGGCGCAGCTCAAGGCAAGATAGAAGGCAAAACAGAGGGTAAAAAGAAACAAGATCTCGCTGAGGCTTGCAGTTTCTGCTGTGAGAAGCCCGAATTGGCCATCTCGACGCCAAGCCGGGCAGCTCACGGCGTTTAAGTACTTGAACAATGTTGAAACTCGACGTTGCGACTTCGTCCGTCGTGAGCAATGAAAAGGTGGACCTTGCTTTTAATATGACCAATGGGGTTGGGCCAAATAAACGGGGCCGCAAAGTGCCGGACATGGCGATAGCTTAAGCTTGCCAAGGCTGGCCAGGATGATGGAATCTTTCATCTTGAATTCATCCCCAGTTGCTCGCGATATCCATCAGACAACTGACCTCGGACAAAGGCTTTTTCTTTCGTCCAGATCATGCCAGCTTGATGGAATATTCTTCTACAATGACGTCGTATTTTTTATCGGCTTCGTTGGCACTTGATGTTTCAAGATGTTGCATTTTGAAAAGATGACGCTGTTTTACTATTGCTACTAAGCTATATTCTACATCACATGCACCTTTTGAATGCTCCTCTCTGCCCCGTCGCTGATAATTATGCCCAATATCCAGCAATTGACGAGGAAAAAGGCCAGCGAGGCCAGCCACATGCCAGGGAAGAAGGTGCTGATACCTAGAAATTCTAGCTCATACCCTTGCTGCAGCCAAGCGGCCTGACCCAGAACCCAAAGCAACAACGCCGTGATGCCGCGACTAGGGGCACGAAGCATGGATGATCCAGGAAGGTAGAGAGGTAGGAAGATCATGTACCATAGGAAATACTATACAAGACTGTGAGTTGGCCGGTACACGAAATGGAGGTCTTGCGTCCAGCTTACCTGTGAGGTGCAGACTTTGTTAAAGGTGACAAAGGCAAAAGTCTGGGCCATCATGGACGTGGCAAGATCCTTTTTGGCAATGACAAAGGGGATAAAGAGGCATGAGAGGAGCAATTGGGGGAGGAATGCATGGAGGGAGCTGGACGATGGGTCGGCGGATGCGAGATAGAGGAAGATGTTATAAGGCGAGAAGTTGTGGCGGTGATCAATGCGAGTGACGTGGTGCAAGTAAGAGTGGATGAGGAAAGGGGTGCCATAACTGTAACATCGTTGATTAGCGGGAGACGAACGAGGATGTGGTGGTTTGGGGAATAAGAAGAGACGGTTGGAGGAGACGCACATATAATACATGAGGACGTTGAGTCCCATAAAGGTCGATAAGCTGATGAGCGTGAGTTGTATCCTCTGAGGGGAGAGGAACTTGATTACAGCGCCGGCAAATGAGGTTGGCGTTTTAGATACCGCCTTGCTCAGATGCTCATCATCCATCCACCAGATAATCGCGGGCGCATAAATAAAGGGGTAAATCTTGAAATGAACGCTCAACCCCAAGATGAAGCCTGCCACTCCAATCCTCTTGCCTTCCACAGCCCACAACAAGGCCATTGTCAAAACGCCCAGCAAACCCTCGGAGCTGCCTCTGGTGCTAATGGTCGCCACCATGGGGTTCCAAAGCCATATGGCGGCAAATGCACCGGCTCTCTCGGCGCTCATGCCCCTCTGCTTCCTCAGCACCCTGACAATCAGCCATCCGGCAAGCAGGTCTGCCAGAGCAAACACGACCTTGCCAAAGGAGAAGAGATGAGCCTTGGCGGTGGGAACTAGCATCCATGCCAGGAGGGGCGTGTACCGGTATGTCTCTCTGGAATACGGACTGAGGCCATTGGATACGTAGCGCGCGGCATCAGTGAAGACGAGGTAGTCGATATCCGTGTATTTGACGGCAGAGTGGGCGTCTTGCCAGGTGCCGTAGAGAAGAAGAACGAGACGGAGGATGGCAGCGATGGAGAATAGGGGAGCCGGGCGAAGTAACGAAGACAGGGTTGAAGATGACATGGTTGCGAAGATTGCTGGTTGCTTTGGATATGAAAATGGCGATGAGACGGCTCTAAGGACAGCGTGTTGCGATGGATGGTGGGTTGGTGTCCAGGCTCATGGCTCCAGGTCTGGGCCGTCCGAATCAGACCAATCCAAGCAAAGAAATGGAAAATCAAAAATCAATGGGAACCAAGATTGAATTCTGTTTTGTAGGATCTTGTTCACTCGGGAATGAGTGGATGGAGGAGGAAGATTCAGAGAGAGGTAGCTGTGATATGGGGATAAGCTGGCGTCGATACATGAGCTCTAGCTCTTATGGAGCTCTGACCTCACACGCTGCAATTGTGGTTTTTTAGTGGCTGCTTGGGACCAGCCGCGTCTCCACTCTCAACCACTCCAGCAAATGGCAAGGCAAACTTGAAGCTTTGGGTGCAGATTCACACCATCAGTCAAACCGCCAGAAAGACCAATCCATCCATTGACAGGCAACATCGCCATACAATCCTCTCATTTTCATACATAAAATCAACAAGACATGGCTGGAGGCGTCAAGAGAGACCGCGATGGCAATGCTCGTGCTAAGCCCGCGCAGGATTTGCCGCGGAGCCGGTTCCATGCCATGTTTGAGAACTTCCGAGATGAGCTGGACGAGCATTACGATCGCAGGGAGCGCGTCATCAAGGTGTCCCGAGATGTGACGGCGCAAAGCAAAAAAATGTCAGTAAACTCGTGGTTGATAATGTGTTGTTCATAACTACTTCTTCCGTTTGCTAACCATCTTCCCTATAGCATTTTCACATTACAAAGGTATCATCATCATAAACCACACCCAAATTCTAGACTCAAGTAGCAGCGGCTCATCTTTTTTTGTTTGTCATGACAGAGTCAAAGAGCTCAACAAGGACTTCCCCAAAGGAATACAGCAGGACGTCGACACGCGCCTCGGCGAAATCTCAAAACTCCTCTCCACAGTCACCGCCGACCTGCGGTCCATCAACCGCTATCGCTACGGCTATTCCATGAAGTGCCTGGAGGAGCTCGTCGAGGCGCTCTCATTCGCACACTACCTGCGGCATCAGAAGGTCATCACGCTGGAAGAGACGCAGGCAGCCACCCCCGCCGACGTTGTGCTGACGCCGCACGACTACATGTATGGCCTGTTTGACCTGTTTGGAGAGCTGATGCGGTTTGCAACGGTCACGACGGCGCAATCGGGCCAGCTGGTTGGCGATTACGACAGAAACATTCTCGGCGACATACAGGAACTTGGCTGCGCGTTTGAGCTGCTGCCTCAGATCCCGACCAAGGATTTTCGCAACAAGATGGAAGTTATGCGGCAGAGCATCAACAAGGTTGAGAAGCTGGGTTATGGTCTTGTCGTGAGGGGCAGTGAACGGCCTAAGGGGTGGGTTCCTGATATGAAAGATGATGATCCCCGACCTTCGTCGCCTGTGTGAGGAAACGAAGTGTTCTGTTATTGTCTTGTTGATGCTTTGTTGCCTGGCCCCATTGGTGGCCAGCTCTGCATTGTCAGAATGATGAATGGTTTGTCATGGCGGCTTTTTTCTCCTCTTTACTTTCTACTTTTTTTTTCACAAGCAAATACATATTCCAAACTCATCCTCTCTCATATGAAAATCATCATTGGTAAACACTTTAAAAGACGCAGATTATGTTAAAATGACGGATCATTAGCGCTCAACAATAATATCAACTGTCACCCAACAAATATCTATGCAATGCGCTGCTCTGCATTCTACAAGATTGCGTGTATCAAGAGAAGTTGCTTTCTATATGTCGCTACCGCCAAGTTTGAGATGTCAAACTCTCACGGCTGGTCTTGTTAGAGTAATTCTTGGGCATCCACTGTCACTTGATCATATCGTTGATCCCCGATACTCATGAGATTGGAATACTAGATGTCTACTCCTATTCCTAGTCGCCATAACCTGATATATTCCCGAAACCGATACTGCGTGATAGTAGCCCATGTGATAAAAACCCGAACCAAGCAACGTAAGATCAAATCCACTTGAGACGAAATCCGTGCCCCCAAAACGCCAACAGCCCATAGTAAATAGCCCATCGAACTCAGATCCCATTCTTAGTATTTCTGCGCCTCTTTAAATTGCTCCATGTAGATTTCCTCCCGGTAAAATATGTCGCTCGTGCCGCTAATGGGCGGGGAACTCGTCTAGTGGTGCCAGGAGGTCAATTTGTCCGGCAAAAAGAGCATCCTCATCCAGAAGAAGCGGCTCACACTCTGGGCTGGGGTAGCTCGCGTTGCACTGAAGCAACGGCGCCGGCTGGCTGTATTGTGGCTCAACAGAGAGAGAGGCAAGACTTGGACTCTCTGTGGTTTGAGCATGGGGTGATTGAAGGCCAGTTTTGGCATCCAGGCGCTTTGGAGCAGGCAAGCAATCGTTGCCATCATCATCTTGACCTCGAGGACGTTTCAACGACATTTGTTGCGTAGCTGCAAAAGCATCCACAGCTTGAGTAGCTACCAAGTCATCCACAGCTTGAATAGACGCTTGCTCCTGATCTTGGTCCTGGCCTTGGTCCTGGTCCTGTTTTTGGTTTTCGACTTGACCCTGAATTTGGCTGATATCAATAACCTTGTATAGTTCAGTCTTGTATTCTTCAGGCATCCCGGCCCAACCAGCCACCATAGCAGCAATCTCATCGCTGTTCGTCTCCAGGAACATCAAGTGCCCATTTCCAGTGACTCCAAACTGCGACAGATCAAAGTGATCCACAGAGACGCCAGCCTGTCTCATGAACATCACGGTAGCCCAGTCGAACATCCTATGAGAGCTTGCCTCAGCAGTAAAAACAGCGTGATTCATATGTTGAAGGCGAACCAGCTGTGGTACGGATTCTTGTCCATATTTGAGTGGTTCATCCTTTGTGGGAACCACGCATCCTGGCACGTATTTCTGGGCCATATAGCAACCCGAGTTGCTGGGGTGTTGGCGGACTTCGAGATCCAGAGCAGGGCCCTGAGATGGCTCCTTTGCTGGCGGGTTGAAGGTCAAAGGAACATCCGCAAGCCCATACTTTCGCACGCCATCATCTCTGCTCAACCATGAGCTGTATGTTCGGCCGCCGGGGTGGTTTTTGTGAGCTATGGCAGCAGGCGGTCCAGCAGGTTCGATTGCAACCACCTTGGCAACCGACTCCGGCATCGCATCAGCGGCAAGCCAGGCCGCTGTACATCCAGTTCCTTGTCCAATCAAGACTGCTTTTCCGATGGCCTTGAGGAGGCTGCATAGGCCATCCTGAGCCAGCTTTTGACGGACTGCCTTTTGCAGATAGAGTGCTTGTTGAGATTTCATATACGCGACAAACGTCGGGTCACCACGCTGGCCAGTCTGCAACGCTGTTAGCTTCATTGACTCAAAATCTATGAACATGGAATAGAACTTACCCCGGGCCACTTGTTGTGCAGACCAGCAGTTGGCCAGGCGGGAGCGCCTCCAACCATGTTCCTCTCGGGAGCAGTAAGCTGATTCTCAACGCTCTTCCCGCTCATCTTCTGCTCAGCATTCATGAAGTCGGAGCAAAGATCGAAATCAAGAGGCACGTCGGACTGGCCGCTGCCGGGCAAGTCAACGACATACACGCGACAGCCTCTCCTGAGGAAGTTGGCAGCCCAGCCCGGGTTGTCATCGGGCTTCGTGAACCAAACCTATGTTGGAACATGTCAATGCCAAGACCCTATCAAAGGCCCGTTGGATACTTGATAACTTACGGCGCCGTGATGGAAATCACCGTGGATCAGGACGATGGGGTCTCTATGACGGACCATCATGGGCTCTAGGCACTCCACATACATCTGGGCGACCTTGTCATCGCCTTTGCCAGGCCATTTTGCAGGCACCTCGAAACTTGTTCTGATACAAGTTACCCCATCTGTAGAGCAAATGGTTGGCTCGGGATAAGGCCTCGTAGCCATCATGAGCGCCATGGTTGCCAGAATAGATGGCGTGGTTGGAGGCTTGGAAGAGAGAGGAGAGGAGGAGGGAGAGGGGAGAGGAGAGGAGGAGGAGGAGAAGAGAGAAAGAGAAGGAAAGTTGTAGCAATATTTGGAAGGGCATTTATAGGTGCACGCACAGAGGTGTGCCGTCAAAGTGTTTGCAGCTGGCGTTAGGCGGTGATGGCGAGATTCTGCCGAGGGCGATCTTGATAGAAGTTGGCATTGTTTTGCAGACTTTTGTATTGATGGCTTGGTGGGTCTTTAGGGGGAGGTAGCTATCCAGCGTATCACGTTATACAATGATATAAGGAGGTATCAAAGATCCTGTGCTGATGAGTATCTCCTTTATACCAGATATTACAGCAAGGTAGAGGCAGTATAGAAGGGTGGTGATCTTACAAGGAGATACGTATTGTCACCATATAAAACGAATGTGGTTGCGCCAGGGGATTCGTAGCATAAATCTCAAATGTTTCATTACGGGTATCAACCTTGCTTCACCCAAATATCTCTCTCAATCTCATTCCAGAGCCCCCTTCTCCCTCCTCCGTGCTTTGCCCACCCCCCAAGAATTACCCTACCAAAGCAAAATGCTAAGCAACAATAACATCAAACCCAACTGCAGCCCTGAACCCCATATATCCATGATTACTGAGTTTAACAAACCAACTCCGAGCTTTGTTTCGCATTATTTGACTGTCCCAGGGTATGAAAAATCAAGAAGAAGAAGAATTGGCGGGACGAAAACTTGAGAACCCAGATCCCATAAACCTTCGCTTCGTGCTGTGTGATAAAAGAGTTTCAAACGCCTTGAAATAGAAGACATGACATTTCGGTGCCTTTCCGCCAATGTATTTGTTCCATAAATGGTTTTTGGTACGTTTTCGGTTTGTGTGTTTTTTTGTGTTCAATTGGAATAAAAGTGAGAAGATACTTGCACAATATTCCCAGTGCAAGTTGCCTTTGATATAATCTCTCCGGCTGACAAAATTCCACCATGTAGTTACTGAATGGTAATTCGAGTGGCAAGTGATCGATAATTCGACAGTTTAAGAGAGGTGATGCGTGGCCTAGATGGCTCAGGAGCGATTATCATCCGGCCATCTTTGCTGTAGACAATGTTTCCAAAGGTATCGCTCAATCCGGGGAATGTGGTGTTGGGCCGAACCCTGTTCATTTCGGTGATGATGTAGTCACTCCAGACCCCAGTGCATTTTCCATTCTGCATTAAGAAATACGGGTTCAGCGGTGGTAGCACGGAATCTAGTCCTACTGTTAGCAATCGCCTTGGGTGCGACATAAGAGGCTGGTTAAACAAACCTAGATCAACAAATCGAATCCTCAAGTATTCGACCCCCTTGAACTTGTCCATCGATCGAACCGCAGAAACAACGAGCTTCTCAAACGCCTCGATAAATGCCATATCCTGGATCCCAGAGCCGGAGTCGTGAAAGCTGAAGGACTGGCGACAGCAATTCTTGACAGTGATGTCAATGAATTTGAGCTTCGTAGTCAGGGGATCGGCTAGTCGCATTGCTGCGTCAAAGAAATGGTGGCAAACACGACCGGTGTAAGCAAAGTGCTCCAACGATGGTAAGACTCGGGCCATGCTAGAACAGAGGTGGGCTTTTTGCGCCACTTTGTAGTAAAAAGCTGGCATCACCCCTTCTCGTCGATAATCGCTTTCCATGCAGAGTGAAAGATTTGTAACGTGGCCTGGTAAGAGCGGCAGGAAATCTGAGGCTGTGATATAACTCTTAGATTTCGGCTTGCTGTAAGATCCCTGCCACTCTTCCAGATTCGGCAATGCCTTCATGAGGACTTCGAAGTCGTAGCCATTCCTCATCAAATTCCACTGGCCCTTGGTTACCAAAGTGCTCACCGAGCTGAGAGGAAGAAGTTCTCGATCCTCCGCCGCCAAGCCGGGTAGCCTCATGTCAAAATGAACCACTCGGGGAGCCTTGCGTCGTTCCCCACCTTCCAGAGTGAGTACTTTGGTCTCAGGAAGCGCGGCGGCAACGAATTGAAACACTTGCTCAAGGGTACAGTTGTTCCCCGGCAATGTGTATGTGGCATTGGTCAGCCCATCAGTCGTTACGGTGGGCAATGTGAGGGTGTTGGACAACGCCAACGGTCCGTAAGTCGGTTGGAAAACGGGGAACCAAATCTCAATGTGCTTGATATACGACGAAAGATGGGGTCGTTCAACCAAAAAGTCCATGGCATTGTTGATGGAGTCCAGCGTCGCCTTGAGCTTGATGTGCCGGAATAGCCTCTGCTGGACCAAGACACTCCATACACGGTTGACCAGAGCTAATGCAGTGAGCTCCCGCCTCCGCGAATGGCGAAGTGCCGTGCTCCACCCCCTAGTCAAACTGGAAATCCTCATTGTGCTTCTCGACGTAGCAGACACGCAGTATCCGAATATATGATCGAGAATCGCCTCATGGACTTCGGTGGGAAGTTGTTCGAAATGCCGCGCAGGCGGACGTCCGGCCGCAGCGTCAACGGATTCGGTCGACGACTCGTCCCAGCCACTGGCATCGGGGCAGGACTCTAAACCTCCCAGGCAGCAGATTTGCGGGCTTCGAGTTTCGGGATGTGGGAACGGCGTACTACTGGGCCGCGCGGGCGGAACAAAAGACGTGCTCTTGGCCATCTGGAAAGATGGGCTTGAGGGGCCGGGAGAAACGGGGCTCGAGGTGGTGTTGAGAAATGTCGCTACCATGGAGGTGGTCATGAGCGAGGAGAAACTGCCGTCGTCGGAATCGTCCGGCCGCATCTCGACATCGTCCTGGCATTCAACGACCCTCTCGTCCAGATCCATCCTCAGGCTGCGAACGCTCTTTGCGTCGTCACAGTTTGCGACATCCATGGCTTCCCCCATGCTGCGTAGGCCTATTCAAACTGTTGATTGGTAGTTCGACAAGGACGACAAGACACGCATTTCACGGCGACGGACGGTTGGATGATGGGGCGTCGTCAGCCCTTCTTTTCAGGCGGCAGTCAATTTCCAGGCTTAGTTCGTGGGCAGCCGTACGCCCCCAAGCAAATACCTAGGGAGGAAAACGTCTTCACGAGGCTCGCGGCGTCCCTTCGGGCGACGGTGGAAGGCAGATGGAGAGAGGTTGCACAGAATGGGCGCAGATACAGGTTCAGGTTCAGCTTTGGGTGGCCCGGCGAGATGAGATTTGCTGGCACTTTACGCGACGCCCACCCGGTCCCGTGCTCGCGTGCCGATACGGAGATTGCAAGCGACGGAGGGGGCGGTGCAGGAACAAGAAGGGCCAGACGATGGAGGATGAAAGAGAGAGTCTCTTGTCTCGCCCGGACAGGAATGCAACAGGGTGGCCACGAGCTGAAGAATGACAGATTCGCAGGCAGCCAACGGGCCAGAAGGGCGAAAAAGACAAGAGAGCAGAGCACTGCAAGGAGAGGAGAGGGAAGAAAAAAACCGACGTACAAAAGTGCTTCGTAAGGGAATTTGGAAGGGGAAAAAAAAATTGAAATGAGGAGGCAACTTAATGGGCATCAAAAGCCGTCAGACGACGGATGGGCGCTCAGTGGCTGTTAAGGCACGTCCGGGGAATTGCGTGCAGCTCCAAAATGACGATTGGGCGGCAAGCCGCTAAAATAACGCCAACCACCACCACGCAAAAGACGGCTTCATCTTTTTCTTTTTCTTTTTCTTTTTTTCTTTTCTTGTTTTTCCTTTTTGCGGCCGTATTGCGTATTGCGCTGAACCAGTCTCTTCGTTTCCCAAGGACTGATTGGCTCTTGAAAGACATTTCATTTGCAAGTAAAATTACCCCGCCTCAATATTATGCCGCCCAAGACAACAGCTGGCAGAGGACAAGACATTTGATCCAATTCATCGTGCTCAGTTTCTCTTGCTTCGCCCTCGTGACAAATATTCCTCCCCCATTGCACTGAGTACACCATGGGTACTTGAACCGGCAGCAGTGTGTGTTTGCACTCGTCTCATTCTCACACTACCTACAAGCACGCCTCACACTCTGCCTTGTGAATGATCCGTTGGTTACCTACCTATATTTCACGGTCTTCCGTATAACTGTCGGGAACACCGTTGGCCAACTGCCCAAAGATCGGGTGATGTACGGTAAGCAGTCATATCGTGATTAGAGCCCGGCGTCATCTGCCCTTTGGCTCCATGTTTAATTGCTGAATTTCCGACGTCTCGGTAGCTCTCACACACTAGGACGGGCCAATTTCAGTGCTCCACTTTGCTAGTAGTTGAGGAGCCTCACTGTCAATGTGCCGTGTATCAACGGAACAAGTCGAAGTTGATGGAGGGGGGAAAGGGTAAATTGTACCGCGAAAATGCTGAATGCTGTCTCACTGTTTATATCGTTGTAGGCGCGCATGTGCAAATGATGGCACATCTAGATATCTGACATCGAGATTGGCAAATACACGCATTCGCCTGTTCACATATGAAGTCTACTTAGGATTTATCTCATTATTCGATTCTGACAGGGCTGAGCACTCCACGTAAAAGCCATGAAGACCACCACAATAGACTCACTGGCTGCTTCCTCGTTTACCAGAGATTTGATTGGCAATATTCCAACAGGTAGTTCACTGAGTTAACCGGCATCAAGAATATGTGAATTTAACCGCAATCTCGAGATCCAGGGTAGGCACTGATTGCGGGGAGATTTTACCAAACTACCTACTTTTTGGCAGGCGAACAACACAAGGGGAAACGTGCAGGTTGGAATAAACGTCGAGTAGACACAAGTTGGATATCCGGTAGTGTATAAATTGAAATAGAATGGCTAGCCAGCAACCTGATTTCCTGAGACCCGTTAAGAGGACATTGAACTCAAGAGCTGTCTTTCAAAGTTGGGGTTGCATATAGATACTACTGGAGGGGTAGTTCTCAATGCCATGACAAAAAGGTAAGCATGACAACATAAGGTCCTGGTAGACAATATCTACACTACCGGACTGGAGCAGCAGGAAGAAAATCGTGGCCACCTACTCACTAGGTACCCAAGTTATCATAGGATTTCATCCCTTTATAGGTACCTACAGGTGCCAAGTTGCAGTGCACTAACATCGATGTCATGCTGAATACGCGTATCTACAAGAAGCAACTCCTACGACCAACGTCAGCAGGGGCTTCATATCCCACGACTTCACCTATTCGTACGCAACAAGACGTGATTCTCTAAATAGCTGCAAATGTACGAAATATGACGAGAGTCTCTCACTGGGTTACTTTAAGCGCCGCTTGAAACAAAAAAGCTGCCGGTAACTGCTTGTACCGTAGCCCCAAAGTACCTAAAACATGAGACGAAACCATCCACCAACTTGTCAAGCCTCCATGTTGCAGATGCCATCGCCAAGAATCCCACGCCGGCGCACAAGGCGAAAAGCGGCATGGCTGATCTTGGAATCAAGCTCAGTGTTTGACGACGGCCGACTTGGCAGGATTGAATCAAGTCGCGCCATCATGGAGCTTCTTCTTATGCTTAATTTGACCCGGCGTAAGAGTGCCATCCGAGACGTGGAATGTTAGAGGTGGCCAGAGCCAAGACGGCTGGAGACTGCGCATCGCATCTAGCTCGGCTGCCTACTCGTAGATGGCCACAGAGGCATCAAACAAACTAAATCATGCTTGATAACCATGCCTTGGATCATACTGGTGCTACTCTACTCTGTCCGCTACGGAGTCTGGGTTACAGGTTATCAAGGTAGATCCTTGTATTGGGTGCAGAATAGCCACCGCGCTTTAGGGTTATCCAAGCCCCCTCCCACACAACGATACCGTGTTGAAAAGGCACGAGCGGGACATGATGTGTGTCCTGTTATTGCTATATACTACTCGTATATGCAGGGAAATAATTCACTCGTAAATACTACTACTGGCAGGTATTACATAGGCACATGTACGGAGTACTAAGTCAGGCGGTTATTATACCTACCCGAGGCCGTGCGTGATATGTGTTCTAGCCTCCATCTGCCCGGGTATCACCGACACTACATGTATTCTCCTACGTGGCTACTGACTGAGAACCTCGTAATGATTTGCACGCAGCATGGAATCAGGCATTGTGGCCCCGTGATGAGGCGAAGCAACCTCGAGGCATGCATGCATGCACGTTGTTTTAAAGGAGTTCGTATGCGCTGGCAGACGGAAATTGCACACTCAACCTCAAACACCACGGAGCACAGGTGCTTGCATTACGGGCCTGCAGCCTGTCAGGTCAGGGCGTGCCCTGGCTCTGCCGGGGCCGAGCGTGAGGTGTGGGGAAGACGAGAGTGGGATTGAATGGAATTGATGGATTCAAGGGTGTCAGAATTCTAAAACCATGGGTGTCTACTAATGACAGCTGTTAGGTATTCCACTTCTGGCAGCAAGTCAAGGCACGTTCCGGTGGGTGACTTGCATCTGGCTGCACCATGCTTGATACCTGTATCAGCATGCCTGATTGGACCGATTGTTTTTATATAGACCTCAAGCTCCATTTGTACAAGCATTGCACTTGTATGTATCATCGGGGAAAGGCATTGATGGCTGCAGCAGTTGACAACACTTAGTGATTATGGTAACGATTTTCGTCCTCGTGGCTTTATCTGTGTCGTCGTGTAAAAGACATCTCACGATATTGCAGTCGTGATACTGGACGAGTGCAGCACGCGAAGTAACACGCAAAAGCAAGTATGTACATGTACTCGTAGGTTGCTCGGAGGAATTACGGCGTCATGTTTATGCCGTTGGAAGCGATGGCTACAAACGTTTGCAACGACTCGAGCAAATACGAGCTTGGCCTTGCGAGGCTCAATTTCATACTTGTAGCCCGTCAATACCAACACCAAGCCACCAACGCTTAGACGGCCCAAGCCGCTAAACAAACAGGAAAACAAACAAATGCTTATTTTTACAACCCGCGCCCGAGCTCACATGCCAACAACCAACAAAATACATAGCTTAATTCTCAACGTTGGAGAGCTTTCGCATCGTCTCACAGCGCAGAGGGACAACGACGCCGAGCTCTGACTTGGCTGTGTATGTATGTACTCGTAGCGCGCGTTTCAAGTGTCTCATGGCTAGGCCAATGGAAGAAGTTGACCATCTGGATGGAACAGACGCCGAGCTTGGAGATTCACTAGCGCAGCGTTTCAGCGGTGGGGCGCTGGTTTACCCCTGACGCCACCCGAAGCTAATTTCCAGGGCTGCCGAATTTGCTGCAGATGGGGGATCCATTGATGCTTAGATTTGTCGAGGTACCAGGTACAAGAGACATTTGGTACTAGGTACTAAGGTAGGTAACATGAACGATGGAAGTTGGTATGAGTAGGTATATCCTCATTGAAAGTTGCAGCACTGAGACAGACGCTGGCCCGGGCGTCGTTTGGATTAATTTTGAAGCGGCGGTGGGTTGATCGCATTGTGGGCGCATACGGGAACAATCATGAATATCATCAGTGTTCTGCATGCAAAGAAAGCTAAGAGATCTGCACTGCGCTTGGCTTTTGATCGCCCGATGATCAACTCGGAGGCCTTTGATGTATGTACCGTAGCACTGAACTCTATGTACGGAGGACTCGGCAGATCAAGCCGCACTTGATCGACACGAGAGTGCGCAGCTGAATTTTCTTGAATTGAGTTCAATCATTCTGAGTACGTACTACACTGGTTGGCACTAATACAACAAGCATAATATCCACGCTATTGGACTGTGACGGAGTTGCCATTCAGCACCCCGGCGTGCGTCAAGTTCAAGTGTCGGACAGGATGCAGAGGAAGCATGAAGCGTTTTACTTGATGTTGCTGGCAAGTACATGCATGGTAGGTTAGTAGCTGTGAATCACAGATCCTTTGAGTAGCTGCTTTTATCGCCGGTTTTCCCTCCCTAATCTCTGCTACCATAGCTATATTTCCCTAGTGTCCAGTATTCATCACTACCTAGCTTTAAATTCAAGACATTGACGGGATGCTGGATGGATGGCAAGCTTTGGGCGTTGAATGGCCACACCTTGCCAATTTTTACCGTTTGATGCGCGGGTGTGAGATGGCGATGTGCCACTGCCCTGACGATCGATATGGCGCTTGTGGCATCTCTGCAGATACACGCGCTCTACCTATTCCACGTATTAAATGGAGACAAAAGAAACCAAGGGATACATCTAGACCACGTAATTCGACCTCTTGTGAAATTGGCGCATTCAATCCCTCGGTGTTACTGCCTACCAACGTTGAACTCTGTTATACGAATTGTCTACATGTTGAACAACCGAGGTGCTTGTACATGTACCTGGTACCTGACGATCGGTTGCCTCCATTTCTCCGTACCTGCAAGTAAACCGCCTCGCGCGGGCAAAAGCAAAAATCTCGGCCACTGCCATTCGGCTATCCAACAGAAAATGTCGGCTCGCCAAGGCCTCGGCTGAAGCATTGATGAAATATCCTTACAGGGAGGGAAATATTGAAGCAACAACCAAAAAAAAAAAAAAAAACCAAGGAAAAAACAACAACAACACTGGACACAATATCAATTGGCTTGCTGCGTTTGAGCGTTTTCTAAAACAGCTCCCGACGTTTTGCGATTCGCTTGGCACCGACCCCTGCTCACCCGCTCTGAGACACCCCAGTCTCATCATCCATCTCAACTGGAGCCAGCCACGAGCGCCTGTACCTGGGCGGCGCAGTTGCCACCACACGCTACAGGAGGCTTAAAAGCCACTGGAAAGTTGTGCAGACAGCGACAAGGCCCGCTAGCAGGGGCTGCTCCGGCCCCATCAAATTGAACCACGGAAGCCGGACGTCCCTGGACTGGACTTGGCTTTTGCTCTGGTCTGGTACCTTGCCCAACATCCACTTCTTTTCTTCTCCTCACTTTGCTTTCCCCCATGTCACTGTTTTTTTTCTTCTTCTTTTCTTTTTACTACTTTTACTTACGTCGTTCCCTCTTCTCTTTTCTCTCTCTCTTTTTTGATCTTCACATCCTCCTCATACTCTCCCCCTCTTCCCTTCACGAGTCTCCGGCCTGGTCCTCCGCACTTGGATCGCTTCCCCATTTCTTCGCCGTCTTTCTTTCAACGTCTTATTGCTGAACCGAAGTAGCTGGCTATAGAGGACCGTTGATCGCACATCCTCGCATTGGCATTGATACTGCTCTGTTACTTCCTCTTTCTCTTTCGGGGGCATCGATATTCTTTCATTCACTAGAGAACGGCTGGACCTGTCCTCACGACAACTATTCTTAATATCCAACTTTTCTTTCGTCATCGCGCATCTCCCAATCTTCGGTCACAATGGCGCCCTTCAACACCATGCTCGCATATCTTCTCATGGTCGTGGCCCCTTTGGCGGGGGCTATGCCTTTCCACAACCGCCACTCGCTGAGCCCTCAGACACACACCCATACCGCTCTGAACCTGACCCATCTCATGAGCGTCGTCGTCAACCCTCACGCCAAGAACATCATCCCTGGCCGCTACATTGTCGTCTACAACAACACCTTCGGCGATGAGGCCATCTCCGCCAAGCAAGCTCAGTTTGCTACCGCCATCGCCAAGCGCAACCTCGGAAAGCGTGACGGTCTCGGCAACCTGCTGTCCACCGAGATCCACTCCTTCAAGATGCACACCTGGCGCGCCATGGCCCTCGATGCCGACAACGACATGATCAAGAGCATCTTCGACTCTGACGAGGTTGCTTACATCGAGGCCGACACCAAGGTCCAGAACGCCGCCCTCGTTGCCCAGACCAATGCCACCCCCGGCCTGATTCGTCTCTCCAATAAGGATGTTGGTGGTCAGAACTACATCTTCGACACCTCTGCTGCTTCTGGCATGACTGCTTACGTTGTCGACACCGGCATCCGCATTACCCACACCGAGTTCGAGGGTCGTGCCACCTTTGGAGCCAACTTTATCAACACCAACGTAAGTATTCTTTGATACAGAGAGAAGGCAATGTTCACAATCTAACACTGAGGCTCAGGACACCGATGAGAACGGTCACGGCACCCACGTCGCCGGTACCATTGGTGGTGCTACCTTTGGCGTTGCCAAGAGCATCAAGCTTGTTGCCGTCAAGGTTCTCGACGCCAGCGGCTCTGGCAGCAACTCTGGTGTTTTGAACGGCATGCAGTTCGTCATCAACGACGTCCAGGCCAAGAAGCTCGCCGGCAAGGTTGTTATGAACATGTCTCTCGGCGGCTCCTTCTCCGCTGCTGTCAACAACGCCATTACTGCTCTGGCTAACGCCGGTATTGTCCCCGTTGTCGCTGCCGGTAATGAGAACGTACGTTGGACCCCATCCGACTTCCACACTGATAATGCCATTCCTAACACTTATTACAGCAAGATACTGCCAACACCTCTCCCGGCTCTGCCCCTCAGGCCATCACCGTCGGTGCCATTGACGCCACGAATGATGTCCGTGCCAGCTTCTCCAACTTTGGTGCTGGTGTTGACATCTACGCCCCCGGCGTTAATGTTCTCAGCGCTGGCATCAAGTCTGATATCGACACTGCCACCCTCAGCGGTACCTCCATGGGTAAGAATTCCGGCCCTTGTATTACACTTGAGTGCCCATAGGCTAACTTTGTTTTGAACAGCTACTCCTCATGTTGCCGGTCTTGCCGCCTACCTGATGGCTCTCGAGAACGTCAGCACCCTCGACGGTATCACCAGCCTTATCAAGAACCTCGCCGCCAAGACTGGTGCCACTGTCCAGCAGAACGTTGCTGGTACCACCGACCTCATTGCCAACAACGCCAACCTCTAAATCACGACATCTCATCTGCTTGTCCAATCGCCAGTTAAATAGTCCTAACGAGAGAGGGCGCGCGTGCACTGCAAAAAACTTGTTACATCCTGCCATTTCATAGACATATAATTTTTTTTTGAGAAAGAGAGAGATGATTTGGAAACGTTTGCGAGACATCGGACCGAGAAGTAATTAGACGGTGATGATTGTCAGCGTACGGGCTACATGTAGATATAATAAATAATTGCCCTGACTACTACATTCATGAAGCAAGGCAAGAATGAATATCAACATGTGAAATAAAGTTGTATTTTGATGATGAGAACAATGCAATTGGCTATCTGACAATAGAAGGGAGTATTAAACAACGACGAAGAGTTACCAATTGATGGTATGTAGGATTCATTACTGCTTGGCAATAGCTCTAATATCGCCGAGTCACATTTCAACGCGGCAAAAGTTGACTCTTTCAAAACAACGCCACATCAAAAAGTCAAAGTTAATTGGCATAGAGAAATGTTTGCTCGCCAACACGGATCCAACCTCGTCAAGTCCAAGGCCGGAGGTTCCACGTTACGTCAGCTCGTTAGAGTAGACCAAAAGCAAAGTTGATATAAGCACTTCTTCGGCACAACCACAGTCATGAAAGGACTGGATTGCAATTTGACATCCGTGCTAAGAGTATGAGAGAGGTAGGAAAGACAACACAAACTTCCAAGAAATACCACCTGTTTTAATCATCGTACAGAGATACCATTCCCTGTCGATGTTTAGTATTAAAGACATTAATTATGATAAGTATATATATATATGTATACTTGGCATATATCATGAGCCAAGATCGTTCGTAGTACATGAGGGCATCAAGGCATCGCAGTTAGTGATATAATCAGTAAATGAGTAGTCGCGTTACAATTCGTCGCGAGCGCCCGTTATTGAAGGTGCGGCACTGGCGGCGCTGCTCCCAAACAGCTTGGCCGTGTCGACCAGAGTATTGTCGAACTTGGCGCCAAAGAACCAAGCAATGCCAATCTGTCCATCATTAGATTTACCAAGTCCATGGCTCGGGGGAGATGAAGCGTGGGACTTACCATCGTGCCCGTCATAGTCAACAAAACACCAAGAACGACAGCGACCATAATGGCAGTCTCGCTGCCAGTCAAGCCAGGTTCTTGCGTCTGCTTCTCCTTGGCCTCCTGGGCTAATTTCTTCGGATCTTGCTTGGGGAACAAGGTTTCGATGAATTGCTCAATCTGGAGAAATATTAGCATTTCCGTAAAGGTTCATGTTCTCCTCAAGATCTCCTCATACCTTGGCGCATTGTGAGCTGATTGCCAAGTAGCTGGGATCGCGAGGATCGTTCTTCTTCTGAATGCGCCGGGCATATCTTCGGAAGACCTCGCAAAGGGTTTGAAGGTTCTGCGTGCTTTCCAGCATGATCTGGCAAGCGTCTCCCTTGGTGATCTTGACGTTCCTCTCCAGCACAGCTGGGTTCCTGAAACAAATCTCCAAAGTGGCAATGGCCATGCCCTGTGGAATGGCAACAAAGTTGAAGGCACTTTGATCCCTCATACCCGCCATGTAGAAAAGACACTCTTCAACGTGCTTCAGTGCGTCGAGCACCATAGCTGATATGCACTCTACTCCTTGTTTCTGGTATTTGGGGTCGAACAGGTCTTCCCATCGGTCAACATGCTTGCTCCAAATCTCCTTTGGATACCATCGTCGGCCGTCTCGCCAATCTTCGTGAATATCACGGATGATGTTCGTCTTCTGCAAAAACTGACCCATGGATTCGGTCAGGGAGGGCCTCTCAGCCAGCTTTGGGTTGGCTAGCTTTGACGCCACAAACAGTCGCGTTAGGCCTTCACCAACCAATCCTGCAACGTAATGACAGTACAGCTCGTATTCTTCAATCGTCTGTACGCCGTTTTCGATCATGTAGGTGTTTTGCGCATAGTCTGCCATGCCATTGCCCATCTTGATGGTCATATCCTTAATAATTTCATAATAAGGCTTCTTGATCTTCTTGAGCTCAGTAATGACGCAGTCAAACTTTTCTAGAAGTTCTCGGTCCTTCTCCTTGCTCTCGTGGTATTGCCAGCCATCCTGTTCCATTGTCACATGGAAGTTTCGCAGCATAGGGACCTTTGTAGAGAGGGGGATGGTCATATCATCCTCAATGGTGTCGAGGCCACGTAGCACCAAATAGAAGAGCGTCACGGGGACGAGGAGTTCGTGGTTGAGTTCCTGGATGACGGCCGAAAAACTACGGCTTGTCAAGTTCAAGAAGCGGAAACATTCTTGTAGTGTCGCACATTCGTTGCTGGGGTCGCGGCGATTGACAGGCTCGTGCCATACCTTCCTACAGCGTCAAGTTAGCAGCGTGTTGCCGATTCGGACTTGGCCCCCTGTGAGGTACTGATAGTTAGACATACCATTGAATGATGGAACGCAGTTCGCCCGGATGCAATAAGTAGTAGATGGCGCCCATTGTGGTGGTGTTTTAGTGCGCGTTTAAAGGCTGTTGGCAGTGTGCTGAGGGCGGCAATGGCAAAATTTTTGTAGAGCTGTTGCTGACTAGCAGTATTAAGCGTCCTGCCACCGTGTTCGTAGGAGGGGCAGAATGGCGAGAAAAGAACGAGAAGAAGAGAGAGAGAGAGAGAAAAAAAAAAGTAATGGGACGGGGTATATGGTAGAAACAAAGAATTACGTGGAAGAAGACAGAGAGCCGGTAGAAGACAAAGTGAGGGAAAGGAAGTCGGTTGATGGGGGGAAGTGGAATTATAGCAAGCTGTGGTTAAAATGAAAGATTGCCAAAAGGCTGCTAAGAAGTGGGAGCTGGTGGATACGAATACGGCCGAAGCACGCCTGACCCCACAGCTGCGCACACACCAAATCCGCTGAGACGGGGTAGGGTTAGCATGAAGTCACTACTGTATCCGGGCAGTTGGCCTGTAGGTTCGATCGCCCTGCTGCAGCACTAGATGGATCGGAAGAGCAAGCGGACGCGGGTTTGAGCTAGCCAACTGCGAATACGGCATGGAGGATGAGAGGGTTTAGGGGTAAAAAGGCGGGCGGTAATACTGTATGAGTACAGTAGTGGCTCTTGGCTTTGGAATCGAAGAAGAGGAAACACGGCATTCACTGAAATCTCGTTTTAATTCCGTGGCCACGAGACGCAGGCAAACCGGCAACAACAACAAACTGCCTCGGATTTGGACCGTGATGTGCTGTGCTTCTATTCCGCATCGTACATACGTCGTACATCCGAGAACAACTCAAGGCCAAAAAGTAGGTAAGGTAGTTGAGCATTACCTTGGTACAGGTAGATACTACTACTAACACAGTAGCAAGTTTCGCGCGCCGTGTAACTCGCTTCGAAGCGCCACCAATTTCACCTTGCTTCCCCTGCGTCGATGACTCAGCTGCAAACTCGCCAGTAAATGTGCTTCGTTGAGGTCGGTCTCTGCGTAAGAAACAAGTTTGCCATCTCAGCGGTGAGGATGCAGGTAAGATGAGACAAGGCAATAAAACGCCAGCAGAGGTTGTTGGCAAAGGTCTTGGCAGACGTCTCTACAGCTATGCAGAGACGGAATTGATGGTGATTGAGTGAGTGCGAGCTTGGCGGGGTTATCTCTCAGAGTGTTGCTGCCAACTGTACGAGGGCATCTTTTTGCGAAACACGAGGGTGGATGTATTCCAAAGTCGCAGTGATTGCCATGTGTGATACTTGTCTGAACTTGACGAGATGAATACTAGGGGTTGCAGATGAGATGTTGTGTGTGGTCCGTGATATGGAACTCTTGTGGCGAATTACGATTAGACACTTACAATGTAGCTGCCCATAATACGGGGTTTTGAGATAGCAATAATAGTACATAGAATCGAGAGGAAAATAACAACCTTAGTAGAATACTGCTAGGTGCCTTAGTACCTAGGTAATAGTAACAGATGCTTGGGCTTACTCGTTTCATGAGTAAACAGTAAGAGCATGTGCGGTTGTAATGCCCGTTTACAACTCATCATCTAACAAGAAATGATTGCCCTGCATTGTATTATGATAGGTACCTCTATATACATGTTGCCTCTAAGCATGTACGACAGTGCCAGGCAAGATACCTGAGGCAGCACCGGGAAAATGACAACTGGGGCTTGATTCAGTCTCGATTGAACATTGAACCAGGCAACACCTTCCCATCAAACCGAAAAAGTTTGTATAGCAATAACAAGCAGCAGCACCTTCCCCAACTCGGCCACAGCCAGAACGTGACTGCCATTTCTTGTCATCTCTGACCGATCATGTCTGAATATCTTCATTCTCCAACCTCTAAATGAAGCCTCACTATCAAAAAGTCAGGTCCACCTACCATTGCTCTACTCTGTAACCAAAAGCCATAGAGTCTTCCATAATTCATGCCGGATACATTCACGACAATGGCGGATTGGGAAGCAAATGATCTCCAGCAGCAGCAGCAGCAGCCACGCTTCCTCATATGGGGAGGTAACGGCTGGATTGCTGGTCAGTTGAAGCGCCTTCTGGAGGAGCAGGGCAAGGAAGTTCACACTACAACAATCCGTATGGAAAATCGAGAGGCCGTGCTTGCGGAACTCTTCCTTACCAGGCCAACACACGTTCTGAATGCTGCCGGATGCACTGGGAGACCAAATGTCGACTGGTGTGAAGACAACAAGCCCCAGACGGTACGATCCAATGTCATTGGCACGCTGAACTTGGCAGATGCCTGCTTCCAAGCCAAGATCCATTGTACCATCTTCGCTACTGGCTGCGTGTATCAATACGACCAGAAGCACCCCATCGGAGGGCGTGGTTATACAGAGGAGGACCAGCCAAATTTTGAAGGAAGTTTTTACTCTTTGACCAAGAGCCACGTGGAGCCGGTAAGTCAAATTATCTTGGTGGATTGCATATAACATGTAACGAGGCTAACATGTTTATAGATCCTCAGCAGCTACTCCAACTGCCTTATCCTTCGTCTTCGCATGCCTGTTAGCGATGACCTTCATCCGCGAAACTTTGTGACAAAGCTCCTTGGATACGAGAGAGTGGTTGACGTTCCCAACAGCAACACCATGCTACATGATCTTCTGCCTGCTTCCATCATTCTTGCAGAGCATGGTGAGACTGGCGTCTACAACTTTACCAACCCGGGTTCTATCTCTCATAACGAGGTTCTCAAGCTCTTCAAGGAAATTGTGAGGCCAGAATTTAGCTGGAAGAACTTTACCCTGGAAGAGCAAGCCAAAGTCATCAAGGCTGGCCGCAGCAACTGCGCACTGGACACGACCAAGCTGGTTGCCAAGCTCGGGGAGTATAGATATAGGGTTCCCGAGATCCACGAAGCCTACAAGAGGTGCTTCAAGCGCATGAAGGCAGCGGGAGTCAAATGAGCCTGATACAGGGTTTGTCGTGATTCGTTGATGGCTCAGCCGTGTGGATTTATTTTTTGACCCTTGTTGAGAGCATCTCGCCCAGTGGGCGCACGTTGTCGCTTGTGATATTCATCTGTATTTAATGGCTAGATTCTTACTATGAGGTACCTGTGACAGGTGGCTTCGACAAGAATACACATCGATCTCTTTGGTATTTAAATTTAGTTAGTAACGCAACTATTTCGTGATATGCCCCTTTATATCCTTGTGACAGTGATTGCCGTGCTTTATAGACTGTGCTGTATTATCATCCGGAATCCCGCTGGTTGACAGGCGACATGCGGACTTTCATGTGAAAGGGTCTCTGACGGTGCTGCTTACATGTACTTTCCACTGTCCATCGGATTGCCCGTCACTAAATCTGGCCGCTGTTTTTAGGCCTAAGCAGGCACTGCCCCGCCATTACGTAGCGCCGACGAAACAAAAGCACACTCAACATTGGGCAAAATTTCGGTTGCGGAGAGCGAATATGAAGATGCCATCCCTCGACTAACGCCGCGGTAACAACTTGCATCTCCCACAGCGCAGCGCAGCCTTTTCGCTTTTCTTTGCTTTCGCAAACATACGCATCCGAAGCGCCGTATTCGCCGGGTCACCATCAACCATACAAAATGGTCGTCGATACGGCCTACTACGACACCCTCGGCGTCTCGCCGCAGGCCACCGAGCTGGAGATCAAGAAGGCCTACCGCAAGATGGCCATTGTCCACCATCCAGGTATTTAGCGGCGCGTCCTCGTTCTGCGTCTCTGCGTCTTGTTTCTTTGTCTTTCTCTTGTTGCGCACTGACTAACTGGCTGCCCTGACGCCAGATAAGAACCCAAATGACCCGACCGCGCACGAAAAGTTCCAAGCCATCGGTGAAGCCTACCAGGTTCTCTCCGACGGGGAGCTGCGAAAGGCCTACGACAAGTATGGAAAGGACCACGCAAAGCCGCAGGAGGGCTTTGTCGACCCGGCCGAATTCTTCTCTGCCATCTTTGGCGGCGAGGCTTTTGTCGACTGGATCGGTGAGATTAGCTTGATGAAGGATTTGGCGGCCACAATGGACATCGCCATGGAGGGGGAGGAAGGCGAAGGAGAGGCAGCGCCGCCGCAGGGGGACGACGAGTTCCCCGGGACTGCCGAGGCCATGAAGGAGAGCATGAAGGAGAAGGAGAACCGAGAGTCTTACACAGGCTCTGCGTCGGTGCCGTCGGTGCCGCCGCCCACGGTGGTCGTGGAGGATGAAAAGGCAAAGGCACCATCTACTACCTCGACACCGCCGCCCCGATCGGAAGCCACGTCTCCGACCCCCTCATTTGGTTCTCGGAATCGCATCCCCATCCGAGCAGCGCTTACGGACAAGGCCCACGAGGATATGGAAAAGGAAGTAGACACGACTGAGGACGACCTCAAAGGCAAGGGTCGCAAGAAGGGTGGGATGAGCAAGGAGCAGCGGGAAAAGCTGCTTGCTTATGAGAAAGAGCGCGCGCGCATTCGTCAGGAGCGCGTTGAGGCCCTCACGCGGAAGCTGCTGGACAGGGTCAGCGTGTGGACAGAGACAGACAAGGGCGCCGACGTAACACGAGCCTTCCAGGAGAAGATGCGGCTCGAGGTGGAGAATCTCAAGATGGAGTCGTTCGGGATCGACATCCTTCACGCCATCGGCCAGACTTACATGTCCAAGGCTTCGACCCTTTTGCGCAGCCAAAAGTTCCTCGGCATTGGCGGCTTCTTCAGCAAGCTAAAGGACAAGGGCACGCTGGTTAAGGACACCTGGAACACCATCAGCAGCGCCATTGATGCGCAGCAGACAGTGGAGGACATGGCCAAGATGGAGGAGAGGGGAGGCGAGGACTGGACAGAGGAGAAGCGTGTCGAGTACGAGCGCCGTGTCACGGGCAAGATCCTGACAGCCGCGTGGAGGGGCAGCAGATTTGAGATCCAGGGCGTGCTGCGCGAGGTGTGCGATACCGTCTTGAACGACAAGAAGGTTCCGCTGTCGAAGCGGCTGGAGCGAGCGCAGGCGCTCGTCCTGATTGGCGAGGTTTTCCTCAAGGTTCGTGCCGTTTATTCCCTCCCCTTTCTGCAATGCAAAGCTTATAAAACGTGTCCGTTATTCTAACTGTCCTTTCTCCCTTATAGGCCGAACGTTCTCCCGAAGAAGAAGGCGATTATCTGCTGTTTGAGCAGCTCGTCGCCGAAGCAGCCATCAAGAAGGACAAGGATGAGCACAAGCACAAGAAGGACAAGAAGTCCAAGACTGCGGAAGAGATTGCTCAGGATACTCTCAACGTGCCGAAACCGGAGGCTGCGGCGTAAGATGTACAGTCGAGTGGACGTGGCGTTTAATGGTTCGTGGAGGGAGAAAGGGAGAAGGTGAGAAGGGAAAATGGAAAACTGAGAATTTGTTTGTTTAGAGAAATCATGTCAAGATTGCCGGATAGAGAGCGATCGGCATATTTATTATATAGAGTATACAACCCGCTTCTTTTTTTTTTTGTCTTGCGACTTTTGTTATGTTATATGGATATTTTGGGGGTTTTCTTCTTCTAGGATATAGTTCTTCTGAGGTCTAGTTCTCTTGGAGGATTTTCATAAAGTCTTGGGGTCATCAAGTCGAATTTTAGCATATTTACATTGCTTGTTCTTACTACCTGTCACGAAAGCAAAATGTTTCTTTTACACGAAAACCAAACAATGGAAGGCATAATCGCTTTTCTTCTTCTATTTCCGTTTCCATCATCACCGAAAGCAGCGTATTCTATATCTCACACATACATAAAAATAATGCAGTTTCCTCTCCTTTGTATATCCAGAGAACATGCGAGCTCGTTACGTTGTATAGCCTGTCACGGCTAACGATATATAAAGTTCTTTTTTTCTTCTCTTTTCTTTCTCTTCTTTCAAAAGAAATAAAAAGCAAAAAAAAAAAAAAAACCCCATCAAAGAAAAAGGCGCTTCATCTTCATTCTCGTCTTTTCCTTCGTTTCGCGGCGCATTTTCATGTGTGTGTGTCCGTTAAGCTTTCCCCTTTCTTTTTCTCTTTCGTCCTTTGCTTTGCCTCTGCGGGTATCTTACACATTTGGAAAAACAACGACAAAAAAAACACGACAAAAACAACTGAGGTAGTCAAATATGACCAAGGATATCATATAGAAAGAAGGACTTTGCGGAGTAAAAAGGGGGGAAAAGCGGTTGTGAATGTTCTTAGCTTTCCCCCCTTTACTTAACGAGGGTGGATTTTTTTCGCACTCGGGTTTGTGGAAGAAGGGTATTTGGGGATATATATGAGGTAGCTCTCAAGTAAAAAAGGAATGGAGATAGCGGGTGGTTGGAAGAATAGAGTGATCATGGCCTTCATCAACGCAATGAGAGTAAAAAAGCCGGTTCTAGTATCAGCGTCAAAAGAAAAAAAAGAAGATATAGAGCATAAAAAACGCCATGCAAAATCCAAATGAGCGCCATGTATCCCCGATATCCCGAGATGCAACTATACGTGCAAAAAAGTAAAGAAAAGAAAAAAGTATATGCTGTCGCAAATACAAAAGAAAAAAAGGTAAGGATAGAAAGAAAATAAAGAAAATTTGCAGCAGTGTAGCAAAGAGAAGAAAGGGTCCGAGAAGAGAAGGAAAGAAAAAACTCGAAAATCCATGAGTGGTGATGTGAGCGAGAGTAAGAATTGTTTGCGCCGTTGAAACAAAAATATCGATCGGCCGATTTATGGAGAATAACGTGTCGACTTGCCTCCTCCCCCTTGGTGTATGCGAAATGTCGGATATCTAATGGCCCGCGACGGGCAGTTCTATGCCGCTATCACGATCCTGTGATTCTTTTGGCCACACTTCCGCTTCAGACTCCATGATTGATACGGTATCATCCCCAACAGAAACGGTAGATATTGTGTCTTCCTCAACTTGAGATGTGTCGTCGCCATAGTCGTAGTACGAAGCCGCCAGGACACGGCCGGGCATGGCGTCCACATCAGCGATTCTGACACGGTAAGCCAACGCCTTTTGCCCTTCTTTTATGAGCAAATCTGTCCAGTTTAGGCATTTCTTGAGACTTTGGTTCATCTTCTGGCTATCAAGTAGAAGCTCTTGGTGCCTGGTCAGATCCTGTTGGAGACGGCGCTCATCGCGCTTACGCCGTTTATCCCCAGGGGATTCTGCCTTCAACGGTGCTCCGTTAGATTTCGAGTCGGCGGCTGCATTTCCATTGGATAACTCGGAATCGACTAGCGAGTCTTCATCCTCATCCTCCTCTTCCTCTTCCTCCTCGTCTTCATCGTCTTCGTATTCGTCGTTGTGATTTGCCGGGCCAGCCTCCTCCTTCTCACTAACATCGGTGAGACCTCCTGAAGCATCCGGCACAGCTAGAGAAGCTCCGCCTTGGGTAGAGGCTGTAGAGCCGCTTGTAAGGCGGCCAGCTCTAGATAGGCGCCGGAAGCGGCGCAGTTCGGCAGACTGCTTGCGCAGTTGCCTCTCAAGAGTTCTATTGATGGCCTCCAGAGAAGCATTGGTAATTTCGAGATCCTGAACTTTGCGCTCCCGCCGTGCGCTCAGGACAAGATGGTTAAGGGACTCGGAATTCTGAGATGACCTTTTCCGGCTGATGGAGTCGGTGTCTGAGTAATCGCTGTTCCCGTCCTCTCCGTCCTCCCCCTCGCCTTCGCTGCCATCCTCATCGTCTTCGTCCTCTTCGTCTTCCAACTCATCAGCCATTTGCAAAATCGAAGCCATCGTCACTGGCTGTGCCAACTGCGGCAACGCGGGACTTAGAAGCGGCGGCGTCATTTCAGGCGCATGTATCATGGGCGGTGCCATCGTGGGTGAGGCAAGTTTCGGTGCTACTACCCCATCCATAGAATTGACACTGCCCGTCCGGCCGTGCCCCTGGTTCAACCGTAGAGGCGCCTCAATACTCACCCGCCTTTTGTTGACCTGGGCTGTGGTGGACGCCAGCTTCGGGGATGGCTGGGCCGAAGACCTAATCGGAGACGGCTGAGCCGAAGCTCTAATCGGAGACGAGGGAGATATGGCGCTGCCCCGTAGCGGTGGTGGCGGGTGCTGCTTATGATGTTGCTGTGGCGGTAGTGTAGGGTGTGTCAGATTCTTGGAAGGCGATGCTGGTCGCGAGTAGTGCTGGGTTGTGCTGGATCCCACGGCTGAGGAGTTGCTGGTGTTGGGGCGCGTTGCTTTGGAGCCGCTCGAGACCGTCGAGCCCGATCCAGAACTGCGCGCTGACAGTCTCGCGTCGACATCTGGCGTGCCATTGGCGTAGAAGAACTTGGTAGCAACACCCTCTTGCGCCGAGCTGAGCGAATGGGTGCTTGAGCTGGGGTATGCCGGAGGACTCGTCACTCGCTTGCTGGCGGCGTCGCTCGCATAGAAGAAGGTCGGCGTACTCTTAGTATGGACAACCGAGGCCGGCCGGGGCGGTGGTGCCTGGGCCGCGGGTTTTATGCTGCTCGCGTAGAAGAATTTTGAGTCGTTGTCGGGTCCGGTTGACGAGTTTCCAAGGCTTTTCCTGGAGCTCAGGCTGTCGGTACGTGCCAGCGGCGACATGCCCAGCCCGCGGTTGCTCCTCGTGTCCCATCCGTCGCTGGATTTGTCGATGCTCACCGTGCTGCTCTGCGCCGAGACAACGCTGTCGGCACGGGACTGTCGGGGCGCCGACCGCGGGGTCACGGTATGGCTGAGATATGAAGCCGGAGGAGCAGCGGCGCCATCGCCATGCGGCGACTGCGCGCCGACAACAGAAGCGCCAGATTTGCGAGCCAGCGGCGTGGTCGCGGACGGGCCCTTGACGGCGACCTTTGGGGTCAGGGGCGTCCGGGTCATGCTTCGGGGAGGAGCCGCGCTCAGCTGAGGCTGGCGAGGCTTGTCGCCGAGAGGCATCGTGGCGGCGTCCCTCTTGGTGGATGAACGCGTAGTTGGAGCAGCGGCAGCCCTCACAGAAAGCACATGTTGATTCGGCTGTCGAGCAGCAGGCGGCCGGATGAGGGGCGATCCCTGGGGATTGGGCGGTGGAGGCGTGCCCAATCGAGCTGCGGCGGTCGTCGCGGTGTTGGTGTTGGTGTTGGCGGCTGGTCGCTTGGATGCGGGTTTGCAGGCGGAAAGGCGCGAGGCGGGCGGATGAGGCTTGGATCTTGGTTTGGGCTTGGGATTTGGGTTTGGGTTGTCGGCGACGGTGTCTGAGTATGGGTTGACTGAGCGCATCGTCCGGGCGTCCAAAGTCGCTCGACAGCCGCCAAATGGCTCCCTTGGGTAGGTAATTAAGGCCGCTGTGACGACTAGGCCCGGGCCAGAAATTAGGGGGCGTGTGGAGGGATAAAAGGAGCCGGGACAGCCTGAAGAGTGTCCACTAAGCCCAGCGGGACGGCAGCTATGGAGGGATCAGATGTACAGGTACAGGCACTTGCACGGTAACGGGACGGAGCACGGAGGGACGGAGCAGGACCATCAGCGGCATTGATCATGGACGCTTTTAAAAAAGCAAAAGTCGGCGATGCAGTTGTTGAATAGTCTGACGATTTGAGGAGAAGCAACGCACCCGCAGCAGTCATGGCCCAATTCATTTTAAGCGCAAGCACAGCACAGGGTTTTTGCCCCCCCGCAAGTCTGTATCCAGAAAGGCGGTAAAGAGTGCGGAAGCAGATGCATCCTATGGGAGCGAGCGAAGAGCATCCACAGCTGCACGCACATGCTGTGCTCCGTCCGAGTACATTAGCATCGTGCGTTTGCAGACGACTAGACTACCTAGTACGGTAGGTAGAAGCAGCGGCGGCAGTAGTAATACCTAAGGGATTGACGTGCTGGGTTAGGTGTCCATAGGGAGTCTGGTGCTATCATGAGGCGCGATACGATACTCGGTGTAAGCTGTGTACTGTATAATGTGGGCGGTGGATATACAATATGCGGCAATGCAAGATGAAGATAGATTTGATGCAACATATACCACTACTATCACTACTAATACTAATACTATGTACTAAATATCATCTGCCAATCTGCGTGTTTAATGCCATGGACAGGAGGCCTAATATACAGTAAAAGTATGCAGTGCATACAGATGGTTTGACTCCCCTGGCTCCGATACATACATACAGTAGAGCAAGGTGGGCGAGATCTGCATCGAATGAGCAGATTTAAGCTACCCGACGAAGAACAACAAAACCTCCGTATAAATTAGTGCACACATCCATGCTCATTAGCCTAGTATCCTTCTTCTTTAAGTAGCGCTCTCATCTCAGCCATGCCATACATACACGGCGCCAGTTATGCGGGCCAAGTCAGATCACCCATCGTTTGTTTATTCGCATAAACCACTACAAAATACCATCTAGCCTGCTATCTCAAAAAAATCAAACAAGAGCAAACCCCGACACGCCGCAAAAGGTGTTCCAGAACTGAAGCCGAGGCCATCCCCTGATGAAACAAAACACAACCCAAAAAGCCGAGGATTCGCTCCCATGCCCATCCGGGTGTAGCGCCTCGTGCCTGGCCTCCCGCTAACGACGTCCCGGTCGCAGCAGTCGACGCACTCCATTGGCTGCGACACGTTGAACGGACCCCCTTGATGTCCCAAATTTAGAGACCACATGCATGCCTTTGCCGTCATCCTTCTGACTTGCTTCGCATCAAACGTCTGGAATTTCTTCATTTCTTTTTGTACCGTTTCGTGTCTCAGCAAAGCCTAGCATGGCCCTGCTTGGCATCTCGCTCATTGTCGCGTCCGTCGTCTTCGTCATCCTGCGCCCGCCGCCGTGGCTGTGGTTGCCATGGCAGAGCGTTGGGAAGCCCGCCGCCATCACCGACGGCAGGGAGACAAAGGCATCGTCAAGTCGAGATCGGGATGATGGGCAGCATCGACTCGAGCCGGCGCCGAAAATCGCCATCGAACCGTCAGACCATGTTGAACTGAGGGGGTCATCAACAACGACCTCGGCGGAACGAAGCTCTTCGACTCTGCGGCAGCGGAAGCCCGACGATGGCGCCCCTAATTCGCTTCCAACGATTGTCCCTCCAGCCATCCAAGAGCCGGAATCTCCAACCACGCCCAAGGCTCACGCCGAAACTCCGGCCCTGCCCGTCCCTAGCCTCTCCCTCGCCGAGCCTACAACCTCTAACAACATGATGCCTCCGCCGCCTCTCCCTTCAGCCCGTCCCAACGGCCGCATTCCCTCCCTCAACCAGTTCCCGGCTCCCAACTCGGCGCAGCGTGCCCGCGGCCCGGCTCCCAATCGAGGTCCTTCGGCATCTTCCTCCGGCCTCGCCCCTCCTCCGACGCTCTCCGCCAAACCCTCCAAGCCCAGTCGCCAAGTCGTCCTAACGCCGGGCCACTCTCCGCTGGACTGGGCCAGGATATCTGGTCCTAGTGCCGACCTGCGCGGCGTGGCGTCTTCGACTCCCTATTTGCGCGTGACGCCTTCGATGCTCAAGGTGCAGACGGGGCGCAAGGGCAAGGATGCGTGGATGGCCATCAACGGCAAAGTGTACAACGTCACGCCGTATGCAAAGTTTCACCCTGGAGGCGTGCCCGAGCTGATGAGGGGCGCGGGACGGGATGGCACCAAGTTGTTTGGGGAGATTCATCCATGGGTCAACTACGAGACGATGCTGGCGGCGTGTCTCGTGGGACTGCTGGTTGACGAGACAGACGGCAAGGAGAATGAAATGGACAAGATGGATTAGATTTAAATTAGGCTGCACATGAGCAAACAAGAAGCAGAATGGGCACCGCAAACAGCATAGACTATAGATGTTGTACATTAGTTAGAGAGAGAGAGATACCCCCATGTACGCAGATATTAGATTACATGTACAAGGAGAGCATGACCCAGTGCCACGCCTTGCCCACCAACTACCGTCTCTTGCCAAATCTAAACTTGAGATCGTCGTCGCTGTCATCGCTATTGTCGCTGTCCGCTATCTCGAGCATCTTCGGCGCCACCCTCGTCCTCTTCGCCGGCGGCGGGTCCTTAGCAGCGGCCGGCTCCGTGGCCGGTCTCTTCCCAGCCGCCCGAGACTTTGCGCTGGAAAGCTGGCTCCGTCCACTGCTCTGAGACTGCACCCCGGTTCCATCTGGCGTTGGCTCCGCCTCTTCCTCCACGTCACTGCTATCCGAGGCGATGACTCGCGCCGAGGCAGCTCGCCTCGCCGGCGACGGGGCCAGCAGGGGGGAGTTCCTTGCCTCGCTGGCGCCGGCAGCAGATGGCTGGCTTGTTGTCTTCTTCCGGTCACTGCTGACATCTTCCAGCCAGTAGTTATCGCCAACTCCAAATTCCTTGGGCTTGACTTCCGTGAGGGCGATGATGACTCTGGCGGGCTGCCTCCCCACCACCTCTCCCCTTTTGCGAAACTTTTTAAAGTTCTTCATTCCGTTCCACTTGGGATTCCACCGCCCATCTGCAATGTCCTGTTCTCTCGTCCTGTCTGACCCCCTTTCTGTGGGACGCGGCTCAATCTCTTCCACAATATTTAGCCGACGAATCTCGGCCAGGTCAATGCCCTCTGGTAGATTTGCCAGGTCCTCGGCCTCAGCCCGAGCCCGAGCCTCCGCCTCCTCACGATTCTTTGCAGCTACTGCTAAAACGTCCAGTTCCTCCACCTCTGCCTTCACTTTCTTCTTGGTCCCGGCCTTCGTCTTTGCCTGATCAAGCTCTTTCCTCTCAGGTTCGGGTGAGGGCGCTGCGAATTGCTCCCCCATCTCCAGGCGTTGCCGTTTAAACTTTGCTGCTGCTGGTGCCATCCCTTCCATCAAATCGCTTTCCGGTATGGGAGAGGGCGGCCTCTTTCTCTGTGATCGAAAGTTGGCATCATTGTCGTCGGGCACGAAAGGAGCATCTTGCTCCTGAGACACAAATAACCCTCCTTCATCCTCTTGAGGTTGCGGTTGTTGTCTTGCAGGTTCCCTAGCGGGAGGGGGGTCGTCTATCCCCATCTCGTCATCGTCATCATCAAAGCCCCCAAACCTTCTCTTGACTGGTTTCCGTACTCGACTTCGCCTGGGGATTGGCTGTGACTCGACCTGCTGGGATGACTCAGACACCACTTGTGTTGTTGGACTGTTTAGGCTCTGTTGAGTGGTCTGCTCAGGCTGCAAACTTTCCACCGGCCTTGAGTCATCGACTCTAAGGGATGATTCCGTCTCCAGTGATCGGCGCAATTGGCTTGCATCGTTGATTAGAATTGCTTCCAGGAACTCGTTTTGCTCAATAGGCCTGTGATCCAGTAGCAGGGAGACTGCCGTGATAAACTCGGTGTACCAGCTAACAAGCTCTCCTTTGGCGGGCAAAAACCTCACCAGAACAACTCCCTTGCCCTCACTACCATCGTTAAAAGATCCGGACCCCTTTTCACCGGCGACCCCCTTTACATATCGGACAAAATCATCCGCCCGCGTCTCCTCTGGCTCAATAGGATGCAGCATAGCCTTTCCACCTCCGTTTGTAATCGGCGCCATGAGGTTGTCGTACTGAATCTGGCTGTAGAAGATGAACGTATACCCTTCAAATACATCTCTTCTTTGACCATCAGGCGCATACATGTCATCTGGGTGCTGCACTGGCTCACTACCCCGCGTTGGTAGGTGCTCCATAGCGTTGGGCCAAAACTTGTCAAAGTCCGTTTCCAGAGAGCTCGACTCTTGGCTATCTGCGCCATTGGAGACCCCCGCAACAGAGGATATAGCATCGAGAAAAGTCTCCGTGACAATGCATTTGCCATTGATGAGCGCTTGTAGGCCCTTGGCTGTGTTTCGCTTCTTCGATATGACGTGCGTCGTGTGCTTGATGCTGTAGTCCGTCAACAGCTTGATATCCAGCTGCTCGAACCGCTCTTTAAGAGATGTCAGAGGCTGGGTTTGAAGTTCTTTGTTTGTAAATGAGAAAGTAAAGACTGTCGGATGCCATTTCAGCCTACTTTCTGTCAGCAACCGTATAAGCATTTGATTGCTCCGGCTGGGCATAAATACCGAAACTTATTCGGACACTTGCCCAGCATAATCTCGTACTCTTCAACTTGAGTATCATAGATACTTCCCTTGATCTTTTGTCCGTTTATCACCGTCCCTATCTTCGTTGCGAGGTCTTCAATCTTGATATGTGACCGGGTCGATAGATTGTGCGCGTGTCCTTCTATGACGTTCTCGACGGTGATTGTCAGGTGTTTGCGCGAGATGGTATTGTGCGACAGTGCCAGCAGGCCAGCTATTCCCATCTCAATCAGCCCTTGTAAAACCCACCAAAAGATATCAATGCAGGTCATCAAACTCACGCTCCACTGCTGTCCTCCCAAAGAGGTACGTTTTGCCTGGACGCAGCCAGAGTCGACGCCCTACGCAGAAACAGGCCGGTCAGTACCGCATCTGGCCGAATGCGCATGTCTCGTCTCACTTGCCTTGGAAGGCTTCTTCATTTTCCAGCAGCCACATCGCCACGGGCTGTGATTCATTCTAGGCCACAGGCCATCTCTTGCGGCGCATCTGCAATGACGCTGTCGTGTGCTGTCGTGAACTTTTTGCGGGGCGGCGCGTCGGCGCCTGGACGGTCTTGAACGCCAATTCACGTGCCGCTTTACACGCTTGATCCCTGAGGTTTTACAGGGGTCACAGCAGCGTTTCGCAGGAGAATAAGTTCGCCATTTACTTTGATTGCTCTTATTGGGTGAATATATGTGATTATATACCTCCAAATATTAATCTATACTTCCCCCATATACATGCGCTCGTAAAACGACAGAAATAGCCAACACATCAAGAAGAATGCTCCCATATGAAATTTCATCGCGCCATCCACTCCATATATGCCAAGCTGTTAATATCCAAAGTCCAATGCACAATGACAAGAACAGTATCACGACTACAACCGACGTGATGATTCGTTGAAATTGCCAGTGTGTAATTCGCCTCTCATTTGGGAGGGTCATCGCCTTGAACTCGGTCACAGCGAATCTCATAATTGGAAATCCACGGTTGATCCTTAGACAACCCTCTTCCTGTAGAAATCAACGAGCATTCGTCGTCGGCCAGCCTTTCTTCCTTGCTCAATCAGTTCCTCGCCATCGCTGGTCTTGTATCGATCGAAATCCTCCGGTCTCTCGTTGCGTGCTCTGGCAAGCTCGTCGATTTCCCCAATCTTCCACCCGCGAAGTATAACCATGCAGATTGTAGCAGCAATAAACATCAGGCCTGTCCATAATTGAGTGCCCAGATAACTTCCAGTTCCGGACACAATCTGCAAAGCGATTGGTTCGCTGAAAGTGCAGGGAAGCAGAATCATCAACCACAAAATATTAAGGGCAGAGGGCACATCTTGTAATCCAACAATTTCGGCTGCAACAGGTCCGACAACTGTCCAAAAGGTGCCGGCAACCATACCGCATAAGATAGAGTAGAGGATCAGCACGCCGTATACTTTGGCGTTGATCCAGATGGCCAACGAAAAGACACCAGCCAAGAAGCTGCAGATGGCGGCCATGTTCATCCGTCCAGTTCGATCACTGAAGTATCCCATGATCGGCCGGCCAATACTCTGGCCCAGGTTGAAAAATGCATTGATGAGAGCGGCCTGAGACGATTCAAGGCCGATCTCGTTGGCATAGTTGGCAAGACTGAAAATATCCACAGAATAGCCCAGGATACTAAACCAGCCGAACAGGATAAACAGCAGGAACTCGGCTCTCGTCAAAAGAGTACCTTTGAAAGCTAGATGCGTCGACCCTACAATCTTGTTGCGATCTTTAACTAGAAGACTGCAGGTGAAGTTCACGACGAATGCAAGGATTCCAAGTATTCTAAAGGCCCACGCAAGCCCCAGGTTCTGAATCATGGCACCAGCAGCAAATGAGTAGATAAGACCTCCCATGCCTGAGCCGGCAGCGGATATACCGTTTGCCAAGGAGCGATGGGTCGTAAACCACTGAGGGATAATGCCCACCGTGGCTGTGAAGAGGCATCCCATGCCGATGCCAAAGAGAACGCCCTGGCTGAGGAACAGATGCCATATCTTGTAGGCAAAGCTTGCCGCAATCCAACTGCCCGTTTCAAGCACAACCCCGAAGAGCATCACCTGCCTGGTGCCGTACTTCTTGACGGCTATGGTCGCGAACGGCGAGATGGCCATGGCGCAGCTAATGCTAAGGGAGCCAACAAAGGCATACTGTAGAGTCGTTGCCCCGGGGAAAGTGTTATTTTTGATGTAGTACGCCAAGAAGACTCCGTAAGTTGAGTTCATGCCCCATGTATGGGCGTTGATGATGCAGATGGCGGCGGTGACGACCCATCCATAGCCCCCGTTTGGGGGTGGAGGGGGTGCATTGTTCGCTGGTTGCTGATCCGAAGACTCAACCAACAACTCTAGGTTCCCCTTTTCCGTCTCATCGCTCATAGCTCCTTGGTCATTGTTGTTCGTTTGAGGCTCGGAAGTCGGCAGGATATCCTCTTTGTCATGTGTTTCACTGAGTACCTGACGATGGTTCATCTTACCCGCCCAAACCTTTCTCACTTCCGAAGCGAGAGTAGGTAACAGTCAGGCGAAACAAATCCGTCAGTGACAAAGAGGATAACTGTCTGTTGAAAAGATGAATAAAAGAAAAAGATAAAGAGGAGGGGGAAAAGTTTTGGCTGGCAACCGGCTGAATTGACATTATGTATGTGGTGTTTAACTGGGCCACCGGGGGCCACCGGGGGGCCAAATCGGCCCCATAACCGTAAGGAACAAAAGAGGCAAGCGATTACTTAAAATCACTTCCTGTTTTGTTGATTTGGGTAAGCCTCGCCCGCGACTTGGCTGGAGTCTAGTAAAGGGCGCGCTCAATAATCTCCTCTCTCCGACCCGGGAATATCTACCCGGGGATAGAGGGACTAGCCTCAAGAACTCAGCTACAACTTTCAATTAGCCTTTTCCCCCCTCTTCTTTTGCTATAACGCTTGGCTTGCATTTGTATAACTACTAGAAGTCTCATCACCGACAGCCATCGATTGTAGATGAATCTGCGGTGGCTAATTCAGCAACACATTGAATCAATATGAAGACAACGACCACATTATGGAGTTGACCCAGCGAAGCAGCCCAATGGCAAGCTCTCATTGATGAACCCCCCGTAGTTCCTCTAGATGCAACACGAACGAAGAAGAAAAATCTACCAAAACCAAGCCAAAAAAGGAGGTTGATGCCGGTGACTCAACCGGCCTCGGCCATCGTAAAAAGCACCAGATGGCAAACTTCTACTCTGCAGCGGCGACTAGCATCCCGGAGAGCGGAGAGTGGAGAGCGGAAGGCATTCCGCCCCGCCTTTTCTTCTCATTTCGATTTTTTGTATTTTTTGATGACACGCTCAAAAGGCATGGGGATGATAGAATTTTTTTTTTCCAGCTCTGGGGTGAGCCGTGGAGTATTACGGAGATTGTTTTGACACCAATTGCTGTTCGTTGCCTCGTCGCTTTTGGCTTTTCGAAACCTAGAGTCCCTTTGCTGTTACTGCCTAAGTAATACGGGGAAACCCCTGCCTTGAGATGTCGTATCCTACCCATCAATGGATTTCGAACTCGAAATAAGGTAGCAAGAACGTCTTTCGCTTTTACCAGATTGCTCTACAACTGACAATTCAAACACAGCACTTGGACGCAGGGCTGCCAAGCTTAACCATTGATTAGGGGGGCCAAGAGATGGAACATCTATCCGTCCTCTACTGTGAAAACGAAACATTGGCTCTTGGCAAAGGGCGTCACTTGTTTATCAGACACCTACCTCTGTTTTATAGATACTGCTTCTGAGATATATGAGATTAATACTACCTAGGTACTCCGTACGTGTATTTGTCTAGATCTTTCAGGCCAATCATCTTGGCCATGGCAGAGACAAACGCGGGAATTCACGTGATGGATTCACTCTCCCTACCTAGTATCCTCAAAGTAAGTCCAACATGTATTATTAGCACAGGTGATATCCGAAACAATAGTAATAAACGGATGCATGAACGGCAGCCTGCATTAGCACCAACTAATGGTGATACTAGTGAATGAGCCTCATGATGAAACATGTTTTATGAGATGGACTCTGATATATGCACACCCGCTTGGTACCCAGTAGGTACTAACCTGCTAAGATCTGAGACAAGATGAGATGGTCCGTTTGATAACGCAGTCACGACGAAAGTGCCGCCTGCCTCTTATGCAGATCGTCGCCAATCGAGATTCGCTTAATCTCTACAGTCACGAGGATGGGGGCACACAATCAATTAGGTAGTAGCAATGCTGGGCAGAAGACGTAGACGTCAGTTTCATTAATAAGGAGGTAGGTATATCAGCAGCTGGTATGCAGCTTCCTGTATTATCGCAATAACGTTTGGTAACCAGATAAAAAAAAAAAAAAAAAGGAAAAAAGGCCCAGTTGTAATCATTCCTACTCGCAGCCCAGCCCGCTAGGAACTGCGCGCTCGCTTCACTCAGGTATCATTCCTTATCCAACATCGCTCATAACCAAGAACACATCACACTTCCTACGACGAAACTCATGCCTGAGCACGCTCAGACTTGCTGGCACGGCGCTCACGAGCAGCCTCGGACCAGGGGAAGTGGATGACGGGAACCTGGAAGAAGGAGTTGCTGATTGTCTGTTAGCAAATATGCAGCGCACAGGCGCAGATGCGCCAGCATGTTCGAGTACTAACCTGCTGTCCTGGATACCGGCCAAGGCATTGTACCAAGCCGCGAAAGCAGCCAAGAAACCAAAGAGACCACCAGTCTTTTGCAGAGCCAGGGAAGCGGTCTCGTTGCCCAGGTCGGCAGCGTACTGCTCCATGGCGAGGAAGAAGAAGGCCAGGTCAAGGAAGAAGAAGAGGAGGAAGAAGGCAACAGTGGATCGCAGGGTGCAGAGCAGAAGCACGGTGGTGAAGATGAACCAGCCAGTCAGGAAGAAGCCAAGCACGCTAGCGACGTTGCCTTCGTACGGGCCATCCGGAGCCGTGATGCCCCATTCGGGGGTCAAGAGAATACCGTATGAGATCCAGAAACCACCGTATGAGCCCAGGGCAGTAGCACCGAAGGTGTTACCGGCAGCAATTTCCCTAAAGACGAACCATCAGTATAGGTCCAGGCTTATAATACTGCGAAATCCAGGAGCTCATGACTTACCACATGCCAGCAAGCAGCTGAACAAGACCGCCGTAACCAAAAGCGAGAGAGACGACGACATTGGGGGCCGAGACTCCTCGAGCGTGCATGTTGACGGCGGAAAGGACGAAGGTAGTCAAAGCGAAGGCAGAAAGACCCAGAGGGGCGGGATTGGCGAGCTTGCGGTGCTCATATGGCCTCCAAGCCCCGGGCTGGAGAGCACCACCAAAGGCCTGGGCATACTGGCCAATGGTCATCTCATGGAAGTCGTTGTGGTGGTTGTGTGTGAAACCCTGGCGTGGTACCGCCGTCTGCTGCTGGACACCGTTGGTCTCCTTCTCATTGGGAGCGATGTTGACGGTTTCGTCAGCCATGGTGATGGTGATTGTCGGACTTGGGAATCGATCGACCTGATGGAATATGCGAAATTGTGTCGGGTGGTGGTGACCTTTTTCGAACACCAGATGTGATTGGAGAGTACTTGTTTTGACGAAAGCAGCGCTTCACAACAAGCAGCTACTATTTATATCAGGGATGACCGAAGCAAGAGGAGAAAGAGCAGCAACTTTTCTGGTGGGGAGCAAAGGTTCTTATATTCACAGCCTATCTAGGACGAGCACGCTACCCTCCCGCCCATAGGTAGGGTCGGGCAAAATGGGACCGATGGCTGAGACCTTCAAGGGCGGAGACCCGATGTCCCCAAAAGTTGCCGTTTGGTACCACAGCTACTCCGTGCTTAGCACCGCACTGGGGGTGGGCAGGGGAGGGGGGGTTCCGGCGGTCGCGAGTCAATCAACAACGTGCGACAGATCTAGCAAGTGGAGAAGCAGAAAAAGGGTTGCAATGAGTGACACGCTGGCGACGGGCATGTCCCGTAGGCCCCCGGAGGAGCTGCTACTATGGAGTCATTGGAATATAATATGAGCCCGCATACGGTATGTGATATACCTGCTCCGTACATGAGGAGGATTTTAGGCTCGTCAATGGCAACCTTCAAGCCCAGAGACATGCAGCTGCCTGCATGGTGAGTCTACATACATGTACTCGTACTTGTACTGTATCCATCTCTGCCCATTTCTTTTCAAGTTCTAATCTGCATACAAAGTAACTACCTCTGGGTGGATTTCCGAGGTACAAACAGAACCGAACCGCACATCAATTGCATTCGTCACCTCGCAATTACTCACTATCCCGGGGCCCTGTTCAAAACGGCCTGCTCCATTGCCGAGGACTGTTCCCGCTAGGCCGCCCATCTAGCTCGAGCTAGAAGCGAGCCGAACAGCACATGTTCCATACCAGGCGCTCTCTATCGCACGCATCAGGTCGGAACATCCCACTACAACGCGGGACCCTCCGTAAACGAGCCAATGTTTGAGCTATGCGCAGAAGGCTTTTCACCACTAGAATGGACGAAAGGAACTCCAAGGCACTGCCGCCAAAAAAAGAAGCTATGGCCAAGCCACAACCACAATGGATTGGGGTACATGGGTGGGGATGCCTTGGGGTTCCAGATCCTTACTCTCCAGGGACAAGCCCGACAAATTATGCCATGGATTTGGGGTAGTATTGTATTGACCCACATCCTCCTTGAGCTGACGATGGGCCTTATTGCCGAAGAGGCGTTGCTTGGTGCTTGATCTCGTGCATGCTTAGGCTGTTTCTGTCGTGTTGGTGAAATGAGGCACGGCAGAAGAGAGAAAAAATCCTCCTTACCCCCGGCCAGCCGCCACAACAAGTACGAGTAGGGCCAAGCCCGGCCAGCCACCTCTGTCCAGGCCTTTCTGGAAATTTTTCAGAGTTTAGGCTATTTAGCCTTGTCGTCAAGCCAGAATAACCATCATCTATCTGGATTGGTTGAATGCGGAAAGGGATGTGTCGAGGCTCGGCCACTTGGGAAAAAAGACCCATGCACGATGAACAAACAAGGGGACAAACAAGGTGCTGGCCGCGAGAAGAGAAACAAAGAGCCATCATGCAAAAGGATTCCGCCCGTAAGGCTGCTGACCGGTCAGGCCAGGCCAAGGGCGCTGAAAACGGACTATTAGCTCCCCAGCCAGATCCAACGATGGATTGAGCAAAGACAAAGGATGATGAGATGTGATGACAGCCCCCCTCTGCCGGCCTGAGCCTGAGCCTGAGTTTGAGCCTGCTTCTATTTACGAGTACATACAAATACTCGTAAGCACATGCCGTGGTCACGATTGTTGTCATTGGCTCTTGAGAGTCTCCAGCATGAGAACCTAAACAAGAAAGTTTGTTGGTTCCAAGAGCGAGCGGGCCCCTCGAATCTCCTGAGCCTATTGTCCACTGCAACAACGGTTCGGAGCTGTTGGTCGTACCACGGAGCGCCAACCTCAGAGCAGTAACTCTTGCATTCCAAGGTCCAAGTTGACCGTATTGCTGGAGATTACCTGGCAATAATGGCAATGCAAGTACCTACCACCAATTGGCATCGCTTCGACAGCACACACAATATCACCGAGCACTCGAGACCATGGCGATCCACCGTCTCCGGTCTGACCAACACTTGAATTCAGCGTCCACCACTCGTAAGCCTTGGAATAGTATGCTAGTGCCATGCGGTGACGGACCCTGGCACTTTTCGCAACGGTGCTGGGGGATCGCCAGAGAACCGAAGGCGTACCTTATCTCAATCTGGACAAGAACTCCGGGCGCGAGTCAAGCCTAATGCCTCTCTCTGGGTCGCTAATCAAATGCGACAGGACGCTTCTGCATCATCAAGCCAGGGTCAGACCGCGATCGGGCCAATACATTGTTGTTAGGTGCAATCTGCAATAAAAAAAGCAAAAAAGGAAGAGCACACTCGCACCACGGCGTGACTTGCGAGTTTGTATTACTCCGGCCGTGTTGCCTGCAATGCCATGTACGAGTACAGTACAGACAACCTGCTGCAGCTTTGAATTAGGCTTCGATGCATTGGATCATCTAATCCTTGCGGTCTTTTTTCTTGATCTGTCGTATTGTGGAGAGAATGGAAAGGGGGTTGCAGAGATCTATCCTGGTGGCTACCGCTACCTACGTTACGGTACGAACTCTGTGGAGCTCACGCACATGAATTGCTCCATAATACGGAGCACAGATGCTGAAGCTGCTGCCTCCCGCAAGTCTTCATTTTGGTTGAGCCAGGAGGCGATCGTGGTATCAAGCTCGCCTGTCTGTGCTGCAGCCGACAATGCCGGAATGGGAAATGGAAGACGTTGTTCCAAAATTTGCCAGGAGTCGGCTAATGCAACGCGCAATCCATATGCCACATCCTCCAGAGCCGAGCGGTATATTTGCGGATCCTCGGAGGAAAGCAATTGTCCATGGGAGACAATAGACTTGGGCTTGGGACGAAAATTGAGAGGCACCGGATGGACGGCTGTGATTGAACTCGTCGTCAACAGGCTCCCCCCTCTTAGGCCCCTCCCTCCATCCCCCTCCTCCTCAGGCAAGCTTGGCAACTTGGGATCACAGCTACTGCATTAGCACATGGCTGATCACCGCCATACTTTTTTGCCTTAATTGCATCAGTCTTCCCTCGAATTCTTCTCGTCTACTCATTAAGCCCACATAGTGGCCCGATTGACCGCCAGAGCTCCGTCTCTACTCACCGGCCAAGAAACTCAAGATCAGAACACGAGTCGTAGCTTCGCAACTTTGGTGCCCGCTGAAAGTCTTGGAGCCTTGGCACGTCATATTCCGCTCGTGCGTTCGGATGACTACGACAACTAGCACCATACAAGCATTATACAACAAAACCACGAGCAGTTGTATGCGAGCGCTAAGACCTCTCAAGTACAGACTTGTACAGTCAGCCAACATGGCCAAGGTGGTACGAGGATTAATGTCAGCTTTCCCCTGGTGCGAGCCCCCCGTCAGTCAGCCTTCTGATTGTGGCATATGAATCACGCGATGTCATCAATTCAGCAAAGCAAAAATGGCTGGGGGACCCCATGGGGGCTTTGTTCAAAGAGAAGCGGTTTTCTAGCCGCGGCTTACAAACAGCCACCCGTCATGCCGATTTCGATTCCGGACGCAGAGCCGCTCATCAAGTTCCGTTTGCGGCAGTGGCCTTGGTGTCGTGACCTGCTAGCTCCGAGCCATCGGCGACCATGCCAACTTGCCCCTCTCACTACACGGACAAAGTTGTCATTGGGGGCAGATCCTCGACCTGCCAGATCGATCAACTAGCCATGATGGAATGGTCCAGGTTGGCCAACGCATCTTTTTTGCCGGGATGAAAGGGCTAATACGACTGTTACATACTACGTCCCAGAAATACCTATACCGTGGCTCCGATTCCCCCGCAAATGGTAGTCCGCCATCACTTCTAGCGCATCTACGCATCTTATTCCCCAGACTCGGCGTTCGGGATCTCTGGCTGTCGAGATTTACGTCTCCAACCCGCTTCCCCAGCATCGACTTCCCCGCAGAAACATTCATTACGGAGTCCTACTACGGCTTGCTACCCGCAGTACCCAAGGAGACGGTGTCGATGGAGTCGGTCGGCTGAGCGGGAAATGGGCTGTTTATCGAACTAGCTAAACGTGGGGTGGCTGCGCCTCTCGTACGATTCGATCCATGGCAATATGAGGTCTTGCTGCCAAAACGAAATAAAAGCCAAGACTGCCTAAAAAGATTTCCGAGAGACGCTACCCGGACTTGCAAAAATCTCCGGCGCCCAACGCCTCGAGCTACACGGATGCCGTTCGATTCAATACAAATCTACGATATTTTCGGGCTGCAATACAGCTATACAGACAGAGATGATGGGGTTTGCGCCTGCTGACTTCAACCCGCATTCGACTTGAACGTACAAGGCAGACGGTCCCCGTGTCCTGAGATGCCGTTATCCGGTCGGTAACCAGATATGCTCCCGAGGCCGCGTGTGGCCGTGGGTCTCACTGCATGGCCGTGTCGTTGCTCACGCGGTTCCATGCCTCCCGCGTCTCCTCCAGCGATTACCGCTGCCAAGCCGAGCAAGTGGCGGTTGAATTCATCGTGCTGGTGATGCTCCAGCTACCCCAATTCTGAATCTGAGAATACGCCAGCAGAAACCACTAGTTTTTGGTGGTAGGTTCGGCGCTTGGTGGTTTTATATGCTGGCGTTATGGAGTACCCAAAGATGACGCTCCCTTAGCCCGAGCACCATAACCTCGGTAACAGGCCGACTTCAAGCCTACCGTCTGACAAAGCATCACACGGATGAGTCGGTCGTGATAATCGTTACCAATTTGCTTCGGTGACTTTTTTTTGTCTTCTTATCCCATGCCCCTGGCGCACAGCCGCAGTTTCCTACTGCAGCGTAACTTTGGTCGGATAGTATTTTTCGCCAAGAAGCTTGGTATGGTGGTAAAAAGCGCCGAATATGAGGATTTTGGTGTAGGGTAGGTGGCTGCCCTGTACTACACACTTTACCACCCCCATGGAAAGGTAAAATCTTCACCCTGGTATTTTGGTATCAGTCGTCCAGTGAAGACGAGTTGTAGAATATTCAGGTAACACGGATTGACCAAAAATAATGTTCCAGTTCATATGTACCACCCCAAATCTATTTATTGACAACTTTGTGTCGTATTCGCCTGGTCTGCAGCAACCACTACGCGGTAACACCACCCAAAGTGTAATTATATCCCAGCCATATAAACCAATATATTGGAATTCATGCCACCACCACAACTGAACGCACTGGAATAAACAGCCAAGTCGGGCATGAATCAATGGTGATACAAACTCGTAATTAGAGGTAATTTTAGAAGACCAAAAAGAGGGTTGCATTCACACACTCTGCATGCAACATGTAGTTCCATACAAGCCCGGCAATGCCCGAATGAGCCGGTCCCCCATCAAGGACAATGTGCAAACACTCAAGCCTACCTGGTCAAGAGCTCATCCGCATTTCTCCAATACCTTGACTAGATACAGAATTGGTAATTTTTGCGCACATACTGCGAGTCGTGCGCTGCGCCGCAGAAACTTGATGCACGTGTTAGTTTGGCTGTCTATGCACGATTCATGCCCTTTGGCTCAACGGGCTGATGGCGTTTGACTCCCTGAACAGAGTGAAATGGTGGCATCGGCTTATGAGCCGCCTTTAATTAAACTGAAGCCTTATTTTCGCCATGTCTAGCTCCTTGGTATCCCCAAGAGAGTATTATTATGTCCATTCAACAGTAAACGGCCTGTGTATACGATTATGGATAGCAAAGGAATAGCCAAGTGTTTGAACAAGCAATCTGATATTTCTCGGCAGCTACTCTAATTTAGCTAATCTTCCACCATAAGCAATATGTTATACTCTACACATCTTGCCCTCAGTTGAAATAATATTCAGTATAACATTAGAAATCCTCCGGGACACAGATGTCAGCTTGCCTGAACCATATTGAACGCCTCCATAACGCTAGAAATATTTCTCGACAGATGACTACAGCCGCAATTTCTCTCGACGGCTCTTCGAGAAAATGGATTGTTCTTGTCTCGAGACCGTTGAACAGCGTGACAGTCTAGAAAGGCTAGTGATGTGCCTTTCGATTGTTGCTCTTGAAGTCGGAAAGGAGTCGGAACATGAAGCCACCAGTAGACTTCCCAGGTGGCTCTTGGTGAGGCTCGGATTTGTCCGAGCATAAGAACACATCTATAGCCCAGCTGCCACCACAGGCCTCTGTTGGCTGACCTTGACATGGCTTTCCGCACTGAGCTTGAGGAAGCCGCACAGCATCATCTCGAATGGAAGTTCCACACCAACATTCCCTGCCATTCTCTGTTCCGGCAAACTTATATCCACTAGAAATGCAGTGGCCTACACATTCCTTGGTAGACATATCTCCCTGAAGATAATCCACAGGTTTGGCGCCAAGTAATATCCGGGAAACGGCATCTTGAAAACACCCTAGCTGGCTCCAGTCGTCTGGAAGATCATCAGTATTTGGAAGTATCGTTGGAGTTGTAGCACCACTTGTGCCTGTAATCCCTGTATCTTTGGAGGACGGTCCTGCTACAGAGCTTGGAGGTGGCGTTGGAATAGGTGTTTCCGTTGAGGCACAGAACCAGCCTTCTGAACAGTGGTAGCATGGCCATCCAAGGCCGCAAGGAGCGACCTGCGCTGGTGTCTCCTGCGGAGGGCAGAACCAGCCGTCAAGACATTCAACACATTTGAAACCCTTTCCAGGACAAGGCCCTTTGGAAGGATCAGGAGGTTGATGAGCACTCGGCCCCTCGGGGCCCTCCACAGAGCAGATCTTGGGAGCGCACTGATCACAAGATGGACATGTGGGACACGATGGGCTTGCTGGTGTAGTTTCGGCAGAAGCACAATTGTTTGAGGGGGACCCGTCCTCGTTTCCTTCATTTGCAGGAGATGGACTATTCGTTTTGGTCGGACTTTCAGCTGCGGGCTTGGATGAGGGAGCCGGATCTGAAGATGAGTATGGACTAGGTGGTGCAAGAGTCGTGATTTCTCCTGAATTAGAATTGGGTGTTGGCAACACAGGTGCAGCCAATGTTGTGAGTTGGCCAGCTGAAGTAAGAGACTCGGCTGCATCACAAGGTATGACTGCTTCGAAAGAAACCTCGTCCACGACTTGATCAACGGCACAAAGGGGCTTGTTCAAATAGCTGGCAACAGCACTGACAATCATGGCAAGCTGGTTGACAACCCCTAGGAGCGATGGGTCAGTGATATCCTCAAGGGCTCTGCTGAGATCATTGATGACTGTTGTTCCTTGCTGGAGGACTTTGTCTAATGTTTCCACCATATCCAATGTGCTTACGGAGGGTATCGGAGGTAGAGGCTGGTCCATAGCCTTAGCGACAGCAGGAATGATGAGCGGAAGCAAGTCAGCAGCTGTAATGGAAGCCTGATTTGCGACCTTTGGTACGGCTGAAGCTATGGCGGACGGATTCACATGAAGAGCATCGAGTACCGTGTCTGTGAGCTTGGCAGCCGCTATAGGATCAATCTCCGATATTTCTGTAACAATCTCTGCCACTTCACTCAGGAACGAAGGACCATCGGTCGAAAGTTCTGACGGGGACACCTCTGCGATTGCTCGTGCAGTGTGCATTCGTAGTGTCAAGGCATCTGCCGAGAGCCCACCAAGGATCCTGACCGAGGGAGTCGGAAGATTTCCCATAGAGTTTGAACGAGATGTCTGGAAAGGGAGAGATATCGATGGGCCTGCCGAAAATTTCGCTGCATTTGACTGACCTACGATCAAATCGGATAGAACGCTCTTCTGAAGATGCTTCGGTATTGTGGATGGGAGCTGTTCTGAGTCTTTGATCGCCTGCTTCACTGCCGCCGCCAAGGTTTCCAGCAGTTCATTGGGGTCACCATGAGAAACATTTGATCCCGAAATCCCGGCGATTGTCTTTGAAGATTCAAGAATATGACTTGCCACTGTGGACATCTCGACTGTGGGGCTTGATATCCATGAAGCGGTAGTGGGATCTTGCTGCGCAGGCTCTCCTACTGATGGTATTTCGAGAGATTTTGTATCGATTGCCTTTCATACATTTAGTAAGATTTCGGAATGCCCATCTCTACAGAAGACAGTATATATGGCGACCATGATAACTTACCTCTCGAAACATGCCCCCCAGCAGTCCGCCGAGCTGAAATTGCCGCTTTATGAGGCCCTGTTGCTCAAGTCTTACAGTCTCGACTGTGATAGCTTTGACAAATACAGTTGAACATAAGGTGAGTAGGCAAAAACCAGCGAGGATCAAGACCCGTCGTCGGATAACTGAGAGCCTATTCGGTGACCAGTTGAAGTCGTTGCTTTCGGGGGGTTGATTCGCCATGGTGTGGAGAGTTTTGGTGTTTGTATATTGACAAGGATGAGTTAAGATGCTTCCAAAAGAGCAGCCAAAAATGGATCCCAAAAAGAAGCCTCCAAAAATCTGTCGATGTTTGGAGCACGAACCGGACAGGATGAAGAAGACAGGATTGTTTAGAGGCAGAGGGAGGAGGAGGATGGGCTAGAGAAGGGAACGTAGATGCCTCGCTAAAGATGGGCGGCTCCTTTCTCATGATGGTTGAAAGAGCTCAACTTTTGGCAACTCTTCTATGAAAGCACCTGCCAAGACAGAAATTGGATGCTTTCAAAGAAGCAGCTGCGAAGGTGACTGATGGGTATCATGTTTGCGTTTGCATTACCAGTTGTAGCGATAGCAACAGTTCTAAGGAGCAGACATCCCCCTTCAATCTTCCCAACTGCGTGCCGTGCCAAATCTTTTGGTCAATAATGTTGATACTAATTTTGTGACTATAAAAATACATTTAGTGAAAATGCAGCTCGCTACCAAGGTATATATGCAAAGACGCCAAGTAAGAAGACGAAGAAGAGAAGTCTGGTAGAAAATACATGTAAGTACCTACTAGACCCTTGGCACCTGGATATCTGCAGGTATCGACAAGAGTTGTGGGGCTCCCGATAGCGAGCTACCTACAAAATAATCCAACATGCCATACTCGGCAGTAACTTGCGAAATTGCATATTTAGAAAAAATCATACGTGAACATTATGGATATATGATAGGCATCAGAATGCAATACAATCCAACACAACCAATATGTCGTGTTGACAATCAAATTTACGCTGCTCTTATAGTGAACAAAAATGCCCTGACGGCGGACGAGGCCCTGCTAGAGACCGATAATTGGTGGGGTGGAGGGGCAGCCGTGCATGGGCCGCTGCTTAATTCGCCAGCTCTAAAAAATTTCTGGACGAGGCTGGCAGTTTTTTTTTTCTTGCAGCATCACGGCCGACAGCGTTGCGCTTCACCTTGCACAGCTTTGGAGGATTTCGGTGTCTGAAAACGCGTCAGACGCTGGAATTCGATTCAGCCAGCATCAATAGACGACGGTGAATTGGATCCATCACCACCATGGATATCCATCGCTGCCGGTTTGTGCCCTACAAGCCGTCGGCTGTCAACGCCGTAGCCTTCTCGCACCCCAAGACCAAGTCTGCAAAGCAAGGCTCTGTGGCGCGATTGGCTGTTGGACGAGCCAACGGTGACATTGAGATTTGGAACCCTTCCAGCGGAGCATGGCACCAGGAGCTGGTCATTCGCGGCGGCAAGGATCGCAGCATTGATGGTCTTGTTTGGGTCAACGAGCCCGATCAGGATCTGGGTGATGGGAAGATTGCTGTAGGCAAGTCGCGTCTCTTTAGCATTGGATACACGTCTACGGTGACCGAGTGGGATCTCGAAAAAGGCAAACCCAAGAGACATGCCAGCGGCCAGCATGGCGACATCTGGTGTCTCGCCGTGCAGCCTCCGGCTCTGAGCGGTGCATCAGACGACCTGCACTCCAACAAGTTGATCGCCGGCACGATTGATGGCGAACTTGCCATGTATTCGATCGAGGATGATGATCTCCGCTTCCAACGAGTCGTTGTGCGATCCCCTACGAAAAAGGCCCAGATGGTCAGTATCACGTTCCAGTCACGCAAAATTGCAGTCGTGGGCTGCTCAGACAGCACCATTCGAATCTACGACGTTACAAAGGGTCACATGCTTCGCCATATGACCTTGGGCGCAGATCTGGCCGGAGGCTCTAAAGATATCATCGTGTGGTCGGTCAAGTGCCTGCCCAACGGTAATATTGTCTCGGCGGATTCTACGGGCCAAGTCTGCATCTGGGATGGCAAGACCTACACACAGTCTCAGAGACTGCAGAGCCACAAACAAGATGTCCTCAGTCTTGCCATCAGCGCCGATGGAACGACCATCACAAGCGGAGGAATGGATCGTCGTACTGTACTGTACAAGCAAAATACTGGCACCGGCAACCGCTGGGCCAAGGTTTGGGGAAGAAGATATCATGACCACGATGTCAAGACAATGGCATCGTTTGAGCATGGACGCACAAGCGTCGTAATTACTGGAGGTGAGATCATGATGGTCAAACAAATAAAGCACTCTTATGGATTTAGACTGACCAACTTTCCACAGGGCCGGATGCAAACCTCATGCTGGTTCCCCTGAGAGAAATGGGCCGCGAAAACCACCGAACAATCAGCAATCTCCCACAACAGCCTCCTGTTTCGAGCGCACAAAAGGCAAGGTTCATCACCAGCTGGTGGGATAGGGAGGTTCACATCTGGGCTCTTCGAAAGCCTGCTACGGAGATATTCAATGTGGCTGGAGGAGAAGAAGTTGACATCAACCAAAACCGCAGACTTCTCAAGACGGTTGTTGTCAAGGGCGACTCCAACATCAGCTCTGCTACGATCAATCCAGAGGGAACCCTCCTCATCGTGTCTACAGCAACAGACATGAAGGCCTTCCGGCTAGAGCATCAAGATCCGGTTAAGCCTTCTGACGTCAAACTATCCGCGGTTGAACTTCCAGAGAAGCTGAGGAATGTCGGTGCCTCACAGGTGCGACTTTCTCCAGATGGAAAATGGCTCTGTGCTATCAAAGAGGGCTCTCGAGTTATCATGGCTAGTCTCGAAGAGGCCAATGATGCGGAGAACTCGTCACAGCTCGTCATTCACTTGCAGAGGCTCCCCCGTCTCCGGCGCCATATTCCACGATACATCAAGAACGGCGGGCTAAGAAGCTACGAGAGAAATATCACTCACATCTCATTCACTGCCGACTCGAAGATGGTTGCGGTTGCTGACATTGCCGGTTACATTGACACCTGGGTCTTACGCGGCCCCGACGAGAATATGCAGGAAAAGATGGAAGGAGATGGAGCAAATGACGCGGCACCGTCCTCGGACAACGACAGTGACAGTGTAAGCGACTCTTCGGATGACGAGGAAGGCCAAGCTAGCAGCGTGAACCGCCGCTGGATTCGCAATCCGAGCGCAAGCCTGCTGCCCAAGCTACCCTCAACTCCCGTCGTCTTGTCATTCTCGGAAGACGTACCCTCTGAAGATGCAGGCGAGGGCGGAGTGGATGCCATCAAGGACTACACCCTCGCCGCCATTACGGCCTCGTGGAACGTCTTGACATTCCATCCTCTCCAAGGCTCTCTCACACCATGGTCACGCAGACACCCCCGGAAAGCCCTCCCGGCTGCCGTGCAGGACCTGCTAGACTTGGCCAAAGGTGCTTTGTGGCAGGGATCCCGCCTCTGGGTCTACGGTATCTCGTTCCTCCTGATGCTCGACACTGCCCAAGACCTGCCCAAGCCCACTTCAGAGAGCGACGCCGTCGTCGTCAGCCATGGAGCCCAGTCCGGCACGAAGCGCAAGAGAACCGGTCATACTAGCGGTGCCGGAGGGAAAATGACCCGTGAAAATCTTGCACCGCACCGCATTGGCAAATACGTGGACGGGCAGTGGGTGAACATCGACGCGGACACCGCCTCTCCCCACGAGGATGGCAGTGACAGTGACGACGACATGGCTGATGCCCCCGAGGGCGACCTGGCCCAACTTCGCAACGCCAACGGCAACGCCAATGCCAATGGCACGGGGGACCAAGAGGCGGGAACTGACCGGAAGAGCTGGTGGATAACCTACAAGTACCGCCCAGTTCTTGGTATCGTATCTCTCAACGCTGCAGACCAGCCTTTGGAGGTTGCGCTAGTGGAGAGACCAGTGTGGGATGTGGAGATGCCCGAGAGATATTATGCCGGGGAGGAATGGGAGAGGTGAAATTTTTTTTAATGGCAGGAGGCCGTTACGAATAAAAAAACGGAAGATGGAATTGGCATGGCATGGGCGAGCAATGTGACAGAACAGAAACGGGGGGTGGGTTCTTTTTCAGGATCACCAAGTACATATCAAAGAGTGATTCAGGGCTGGGTTTGCTACTGGCTGATGCCTACAAAGTGCTGGTTGAGACTCGTGGCATATAGAAAGGGGTTGGAATGTTAATTTTGCTTTAGAGATTGCTTTTGAGCCATGAGTTGATGTGAAGTGTTGACGGAAAAGTTGAGTGTTGAGGAAACGAAGAATGGATGAATTGGATACGTAATGCTGCATGTTGACACTCCACCAGTATAGCATCACCTTTGAATCACCCTTTACGCACAAGGGATAAAACAAAGCTTTTATTAAGGTAGTATCTTAGGTTGAAATAAGAAATCCTCGTTGAAAGAATGGGGAGTGTTTCATACAAGTACGCAGCTCCTTGTTACACAGTATATACGCACGTCCACTAATTTGTTACGAAAGAGACACCAACTACTAATGGTATACACGGAAAGCCTGTTGGTCACAAGAATCATCAATTCACGTCACAAGCCAGTCTACGTCCCGCCCTAACGAATTTGAACATGGAAAGATGGAGACCACGATCCTGGCGTGAGACGGACGACGACGACGTCCGGGCAGACAGGGGGCGAGATCCAGTTAACGCGCGTCCCCTTCGAAAAAGCCGCGCTTAAAGCAGGGTGGCCGGGTGCTCTAGCCATGTCGTAGCCTTGTACAAGGTATCTGTGAGCACAGTACTGTACGAGTACATTCCAAATGATATTAGTCGTTGTGTCCTGGGACCTGGTAGGCTGTGGAAATTGAGCGTCAGATAAGAGCCTTGTGGAGCGAGGGCTCATGACGAATGTGAAATCATGCACCACTCATGGACTGAGCAGTACGAGTATGAGTCGGGAAGCATGAAAAGTGATATTTCGGTTAATGATGTGGCTCCTTGTAGTACGATAGAGTTCGATGAGAATCATGATATCGGGACCCTGTTGCGAGATGGCCATATGTCTGAGAGGGGAGGTGATGGGGTAAGCCATGTGAGATGGTACTGTACCAACCTAGTCCATTCGTCCAATGTCTGGTAAATTATCAGGGGAGTAGTAGTAAACAAAAGGTCATGCGAGGGTGATG